TTATTGTCCTTGAAATGTTGATTTTATCATCTTTTTTTGGCAATTCTTTGCTATTGTCTCAAAAACTACAGAAGCTATTTCCATAGTGCAAATTGCCAAAACGATCAGAAAGGGATGTTCTAATACCCGAAATGTTTCAAATGATTATAACGACCTTATTGGGAGTTATTACACCTAGAAGGTGAGATTTTACCAATTTACGTTGTTTTTTTTTTCTCAATGGTATCTTTATAGGAGCTATGTCAAAATTTGAATTGAAAAAAATATCATCATATCAAGATTTATCAAACCTGAAAATTTCAGAAAAAGTTAACGACGTGTTTCGGAGTTGTTGCCCCTGAAATATTAATTCTTACCGATTTTTTACGTGTTTTTGCCTCTTCTTCTTCTTTCGTAGATCCCTTCAATATGCTCGAAAATGAAGTATCTAAAGTAAAAGTGTAAAATGTAATAGTTATCAGCATAACAAGATCTATCTACCAACAAGATTTCAGAAAAATCCAGCTACCTCTTTTGGCGTAGTTGCTCCTGACATATTCATTTTTACCGATTTGGTAAATTGTAATAAAAAATAAATATCTAAAGGTCCTTACAAGCAGATTTGTATTTGATACAGGTGAACCTCTTGTTTTGTTCGGCCTTGGGTTTTACTTCGACTTAGAATGTTTGGGATACCCGATAACTTCTCTCTTTTTTTTTTTTAAATATATCACAGATAAATAGGAGTTGAATACGAATCTTAAATTGACGTTCTTTCAAAAAACATTTGAGGGAAATAATAGATACAATATAAAACTTAAAATTATTTAATAGACAAATGAAAATCTAACAAATTAATTGAATATGAAAATTTTCAATGTAATGAAACTTTATATGTTGTTTTTTTTTTATTTTCTAATTACTAGATTCTTTCCATTGTGTTTACCTTTACCGTGAGAAGATTGCTTGTGGATGGCAGGCCAGTTCGACATGTTCCAGTTGGACATTTACTTACAATCTAGAGTATGTTGTTCAATATTTCATTAAGTAATTGCATGATGTTTTTTACGCAAATGACGAAATATGTTTAAACATTTATATTTTAATTTCAAGGATTTGCTGTTCAACATAAAAAACAACACTAAAGTGTTTTAACAACATTGTCAACTAAGGCGAAGCCAAAGTTGACAATGTCTTTTCGAGGGGTAACAATCTGCTCTATCACCCTCTCAGATATGTGTTGTTTAATTTATTATACTAAATGCTCTGTTATTACTGTCTATTAAATTTCAAATTCAAATTACAAAACTATGACGTCTTGTACATAACAACCATTCGTATTTAATAAAGCGCACACTTGATCAAGCGTCTCCGTGAAGGGTAATAGAGTATTTACCATAGGATAGAGTAAATTGTCTCCCTCGTATTAACCAATCAAAATCTGGCATTTTGACATGAAGTATAATAAAGTATAATGTAAAAGGCTTGGTATGTGATCCAAGTCGTTTCGATTGCTGTATGCTGTTGCGTTTCTCCAAATCTGTAATTTCCATAAGGAAATTGTGTTAAATTGTACAGTGACTTCAATGGTTTAGAGAAATTTAGAATATAGCAAAGTGCTCTCGACCAATGAAATTGTAGGATTTGATGTCTCTTAATTGTGAAGAATGAATGTAAATCATGTTCTTAGTAAAAGAGGGACGAAAGATACCAGAGGGACAGTCAAACTCATAGATCGAAAACAAACTGACAACGCCATGGCCAAAAATAAAAAGACAAACAGACAAATAATAGTACAGATGACAGAACATAGAAAACTAAAGACTAAGCAACACGAACCCCACCAAAAACTGGGGGTGATCTCAGGTGTTCCGGAAGGGTGAGCAGATCCTGCTCCACATGTGGCACCCGTCGTGTTGCTTATGTTATTAAAAATCCGGTAAATAGTCTTATTCGGTAGGTCACATTTGTGAAAAGGGAAGGGTCTTGTAGTTACGACATAAGGAACATATCCGATATCATCTGTGAAACGGTTATTCCATAACGGTCAACCAACTCGTGATGGCGTCCGTAAAATTTACGAAGGGATGATTTCAACTTCACCATTTGGAACTCTTGGTTTAATAGCTTCCTTGTGAGCAGCAATCCTCTATCAAGGAAATCATGATAGGAAATACAAGCCCGGGAATATCGTATCAATTGGGGAATATATACTCCGTATGCAGGCGCTGCTGGAATGTTGCTACATAGAAATGGAAAGTTCACAATTGGGAAGCTGAACTCATTTCTTTTGTCGTAAAGTTTTGTTTTCAACCGACCCTCATTGTCAATTTCTAGATGTAAGTCAAGAAAGGGATACTCCTATCATCCGGGTCTGTTTACAGTTCAAAACAAAGAGTTTCTATAAATGAGTTACAACTGCCACGAAGCACATTTATCAGATTGAAAGGAGTTATCACACAGTGATTGAAACTGACTAAAAGTTGAATTGTGAAACAAACAACAACTCAAAATAAGTTGAAGTTTACTGTGCAGTAAAATAGCTACCGTGAATGTTATTATGAAAATATTAATAACTTCAAATTACTACATAATTAAACAATATCAAAGCATTTGCAAAAAAAGAAGAAAAAAAATACCTTAATCTTTAGCTTTCCAAAACTTTGATCACTGGATCAGCGGTTGGGAAGAATAGTTATTTCCAATATTCCGATAAAATAAAAAAAAAACAGGAATTTAATTTAAGTCTTGAACATATTAAAAACTTTTAAAGGCATTTTATTTGAACATTTCCCTGACATAATGAAATAGTATTTGATGTAAAAAGCCGGACCAAATTATTGGCTGTTAAATATAATTTAGTTGTAACTCAAATGTATCAATTGATTTAAACTGTAAATTAAAAAAAGGATAATTCCTCACTAAAATATTACATGATTTACATTCATACTCACAATCAGGAAACCTATACAATTCCTACATTTTCTTTGTTCTGTTGTGTCAGCTAATATGTATAACGCATTTTTTTTTAAATATTTCCCAAATCAAAAGAAAGTCCTTACATCACTAAAACTAATCCATAAATGAAATGCCTAAAAAATAAGTCATGCATAAATTATAAACATTGCACTGACAATAAAACTAATTCTTAAATACATCCAATTTAGAGATCATTTGAGCCTTGAGCACTTTACAATATTCTAAGTTTGTAAGAGAATGATAATCCTTTACTTCATAATAAGTACTCGCTAACGCTCGTACTTAATCATGAAGACAGGGATTGTCATTCTCTTACATATACTAACTCTTCTCATATTGTACAGTGACTTCGATGGTTTAGAGAAATTTAGGGTCCTCATATTCATTGCCTATAATGATCAGAAATAATGTTTATTACGTGAGGTTTGCGATAAGGTTTAAAGGCATCAATAAGTTGGAGAACATGATTTATATATTAGATGTAATTATTGGCTATGAACTTGATTTCAGTAACTGCGAGTTCTTTTAGATCGGTAATTTGTGTCTTTTGTGTTACTGATGGAGGTTGAGCGCTCACAAACATGTTAAATCCAGCCAATTCTTTATGTGCCTGGACAAAGGCAAGAGCCTGAAATCCAATGGTTGTCATTGGTTGCTGTCTTTAATGTTAGTTTTTCGTTTATATTGTTTTGTCAAAAATTAGGCCGTTGGTTTTCTTGTTTGAATTGTTTCAAATTTTATCTTGTAGCTGACTTACAATATAGTTTTGTTCATTGACGATGGCCGTACGGTGACCAATAGTTAGTTAAATCTATTTCATTTGGACTCTGTTGGATAGTTATCTCATAATGACTTTGGCAATCATATCACGTCTTATGTTTATTCACGGTACTAAAATCTGTCGCTACCTATAATTTGGCATTGCACAAGGTCATGTTTTTCTCTGACTGTTTATGACGTCTTTACACTAAATCAATTGGATGTTGGATGTGTACGGATTCATATTTTAGTCTTAGATACATGATTTTTTTATTAGTTGTTATTTGTTATGAACTAGCTGTCAGTAACTGCGAGTACTCTCATATCTTTACTTAGTGTCTTTTTTGTTGTGGAATATATATACGCTACTACGTCCGGTCTGTGTTTTCGTTAGATGTTTTTTGCTTTGTATCGATCTGATACATCTGATTGTTATAGCTTGTTCTTATGTTATACTGTTACACCACTGTCCTAGGCTAGGGGGAGGGTTTGGCGCCAGCAAATTAGTTTAACCCCGCCACATTCTATATGTGCCTATCCCAAGTCAGGAGCCTGTAATTTAGTGGTCATCTGTAATATTTGTTTTTCGTAAATTGTTTTGTTATAAATTAGGCCGTTAGTTTTCTCAATTGAATTGTTTCATATTTTTCATGTCGGGGCCTTTTATAGCCGACTACACGAAATGGGTTTTTTTCTCATTGTTGATGGTCGTACGGTTCCCTAAAAATTGCTTACATCCACTTCATTTGAACTTTGGTGAATAGTTGTCTCATTGGCATGCAATCATACCACATCTCCTTGTTTCTATACGCATACACAATTACCGTGTTAATTATGTGGCATGGATTTCATTATGGCTTTTTAGTTGAAAATTAACTGCAAGTTATGTATATATTTCATACACGCTTACACACGAATATTACAAACTGAAAAAGATGTAGAAAAGCATCCCAGTACGCTTCTCATCTTCTCTTAATTAAAGGACGGGATTCAAACAGCTTTCAACGATGCGGGTTTTTTTTTTGTTTTTTTTTTTGTTATTTTGTTTTGTTTTGTTTGTTTTGTTTGTTAGGTTTGGTTTTTTTTTTTTTTTTTTGTGGTTCCAAATTTGAGTATCAAATAGGCAAAGTAACTAAAAAGGTGTTAGATTGCACAGACATTTTATTAATTAAAATTCTACTTTATTTTTTTATTTTTCATCAGTCACTAAAACATTCTAAATAACAATTGTGAGTACTTTAGTTAATTTCATAACAGAGAGAAACAATTTTCTGTTACAGGAATTCCGTAGGTCACAATACTTCAAGACCTATCCACAATTACAACTGTAAAGAATTGATACCATTAGCTTACTGTACACAGATAGTAGACACTACAAACTGTTTGAATGGTGGTGATCTTTGTCTAGATGATTACAAATCTTATGAATTCAGATTGTTGGGGAAGTGCGAGAATAACACATGGGCTACAGGAAAGTTTGTTGTTCCTCTCAACGATACCTACGGTAAGAATATCATATGCTATACGTATTGGCGTAATAAATCATTTTTGGCGTGGCTTCATTTTTGCTTACTATGTACTTTGTCTATAGAGTGTCTATATGCCATTGTGTTTTTCTTTGTTGAAATAGTCATTTGTTTTTATAGTGATTAAGATTATAACACAATGATGACTGCTGTACCCCAATTGTTAACATGTTTACCTATTATGTCTGTTTGTTTTGCTCACATAGTGTTGTCAATATAATGGAATTCTATATGACTGTCATACAAATGAGCTATAAAACAAGGTTTAATCCAACATTTTCCACATAAGGAAATACGTGTACCAAGTCAAGAAAATGACAGTTGTTTTCCGTTCGTTTGATGTGTATGAGCTTTTGATTTTGTCATTTGATAAAGGACTTTCCGTTTTGAATTTTCCTGGGAGTTCGGTATTTTTGTTATTCTACTTTTTACTTAATTTTCTTATGTATAAAAAAAATAGTTCAAGTATATAAATAAGGAGATGATTGACAATGAGACAACTATTCATCAGAGTCCAAATGATGTGGATATAAGAAACTATAGGACATCGAGATAATGACAAAACAATGAGCAAAACTAAAAAAAATGCCGTTTAGTCAGCTTTAAATTTTATTAGTAATTTCATTACCATATTATATTGCATAGAAGATCTCAAATTCAAAAATGCCATTAATTACTTGTATTACAATCACTTTTTTGTAAACACATTTTATGCCTATGGTACAAAAGAGGGGCGAAAGATACAAGAGGGACATTCAAACTCATAAATCGAAAATAAACTGAAAACGCCATGGCTAAAAAAGAAAAAGACAAACAGACACACAATAGTACACAAAACACAACATAGAAAACTAAAGACTAAGCAACACGAACCCCACCAAAAACTGGGGGTGATCTCAGGTCCTCCGGAAGGGTAAGCAGATCCTGCTTCACATGTGGCACCCGTCGTGTTGTTCATGTTAGTACAAACCCGGTAAATAGTCTAATTCGGTAGGTCACATTCGTGAAAAGGGAACGAGATTGTAGTCACGATACTAGGAACATATCCGCAATCATCTGTGAAACGGATATTCCATAACGGTCAACCAACTCGTGATGGCGTCCGTAAAATTTATAAACGTGTCTTATATGATACAAAGTGTTAGAATCTTTTCTGTATTGCTACTACGGGACAAAGAAAATATCCTCTTAAAAAGTGTTTTCATACAATCATGTATGTCGTGTTTATCAAATGTGTTAGTATTTACGCAACTATATCGATATAGACTATTAATTGTTTCATCAATTTTCTTATTTCTTACAAATTTAATGAAGTAACACTTTATGTGAACTGATTGGGCACATCGTTCTGTTTTCAGCCAAAATGGAACCGGTTGAAGACATCATCGTTTCTCCAACATCGAACACATTTGGGATTAGATGGAAGTTCAACAAACCACTCTTTATGTACGACAGTCCTGAATACATTTGTCAGTTGGCTGTAGAGTCTCAAGCTCAGGCCTATAACGTAAGTTTTTGTGTGTATTTTATTTCCATATTTCTGCTGCTTTTTATTGAAAATTACCTTTTGAAAGATACAAGTCGAATGAATCTTGTCCAAAGTTCGCAAGGCGTGTAATACATGCATAACAGGAGACTCTTACCTGGTCGACGTACCTGGTCGATGGTCGACGTACCTGGTCGACTTACCTGGTCGACGTACCTGGTCTCACAGTATTCCCTCAGTGTTTGATTTGTATCTTCTTCATGATATTTTGAGATTTGAACGTCGGTAAACTAGTATTGCCTATCTACCTATCAAATGATGAATTATGAAATTATTTCAAAACAGCTTAATTCTATTTGACCAATTTATGACAACCTTTGTATCTTAAGTGTTTTTCATTTGTTTTTTTACTACACACGTTATGAGGTTGGTTTTTGATTGTTTCATATTTTGTCATGTTGGGGCTTTTTATAGCTTGCTATTATGAGGCGCCGTTTTACTATTTATTCCTTATTTTCTGATATCAAAAAATATTTCTTGATATCAAAAAATGTAATTCCTGATATCAAAAAATGAATATATGATATCAGGAAATATTTCTTGATATCAAAAAATATTTCTTGATATCAGGAATTCAATTTTTTGATATCAAAAATTGCCTTTTTTGATATCAAGAATTCGATTTCTTGATATCAGAAAATAATCTTTATTTCTTGATATCAGAAATTCGATTTTTTTATATCAAAAAATCATTTTTTGATGTCAAGAAATACATTTTCTGATATCAAAAAATGATTTTTTGATATCAAAAATTCGAATTCCTGATATCAAAAAATGATTTTTTGATATCAGAAAATAAGAAAAATATCAACGATTGCTCCCTGTGTGTCAATAAAAGCATCAACGTTCAGCAATGAGCCCTTACATTAAGTCTGGTGTTTCGGTCGTGTAATATACACGAAAGCATATATCAGAGTTCGGCTTCATCAGTCTCAATATAAGAAGTTTTGTGTTTTTTGTGTTTCACATATTTATTATTTTAAGGTTTATAGTCAACAATTGTAAGTTCTCACTTCTTTTATAAGCAGTTATTGGTTTCCTCTGAAACAGATTTGTGCAGTCAGGTTTTTGCAAATATCAAGCCCCAGTGTTTTGTTCATCTTGTTTTTATATTTTTTTCCCGTTGTTTATGTTGAGGATTTAGTAAGTAAGTTAGTTCTGTTAAGTTTAAAAATAAGGAGATGTGGTATGATAGCCCATGAGACAACTAGCCACCAAAGTTCAAATGAAGTTGATGTAAGCAATTATAAGCAACCGTACGGCCTTCAACAATGAGAAAACCCCATACCATATAGTCTCCTATAAAAGGCCCCAATATGAAAAAGAAATAAACAACTCAATTTAGAAAGCTAAAGGCCTATATGATTTATAAAAAAACAATTTACGTAAAACATATACGGCAGACATCATTCGTAAATATAAATCAACATTCAGACTTCTTATACGTTCAGGTATTTCACATCCAATATTTTATGGAAATATTCTTTACAAAGAACAAAAATGTCGGCATTCACCTCAAAGTTTAACCAAACCTTTAAAAAGACTTATTCGGAAAGGATATACCGGTAGTTACGATACTGTTGTCAATTAGTCATTAATGATTGAATATTTTGGTATTAATATTGATTCACTCATAGGGTCTTTGCATCGGAAATAAACACATTTATTCTAAAACCATTTGTTGGCATGATACGGTTTATGTTCTTCTCATGTATTCTATGATGGTATGATACTAAACTCCTAACGGGAGGGATTGTACTTGATTTTCTTATGATGAAGACATAATCTTTCAATCAGTTTAATTGAGGTCTGGAGCTGGCATGTCAGTAACTGCTAGTAGTCCTTTGTTCATTTATGCTTAGTTTATTTTATTACCTATTCTGACATCGGACTCGTACTTCTTTTAAACTGAGTTTTACTGTGCGTATTGCTATGTTTTTCTTTATTCTACATTGGGTAGAGGTATAGGGGGAGGGTTGAGATTTCACAAAAAATGTCTAACCCCGCCGCATTTTTCCGCCTGTCCCAAGTCAGGAGCCTCTGGCCTTTGTTGGTCTTGTATGTTTTTTAATTTTACTTCATTGATATGTTTTGGAGTTTAGTGTGACGTCCATTTTCACTGAACTAGTACACAATTTTATTTAGGGGCCAGCTGAGGACCACCTCCGGGTGCGGGATTTTCTCGCTGCGTTGAAGACCCATTGGTGGCCTTCGGCTGTTGTCTGCTCTTTGATCGGGTTGTTTTCTCTTTGACATATCCCCCCCACCATTTCCATTCTCAATTCTATGAACCAAGACAATGCACTAAACTGCAGGCTCCGGACTTGGAACAGACACATAAAGAATGTGGCGGGATGAAACATGTTTGAGCGCTCAACTCTCCCCCTAACCTGGGACACTGGTGTTACATTACAACATAGTGTAAGAACAAACGTGGCAGGGTAACAACAACAAAAAGACACAAATTACAGATGCGATAGTGACAACTAGTTCAAAGCCAACAACAACATAAAAAAAATGCATGTCTTGTATTTTCGAAAGATTTGTCTATTTCGTCTTTTTACGAGACTGCTAGTATTTCTTATGAACCGCGTCGTCCATAAACATTTTAGATACATATGAGCTTTTTCTGTGAAGTAATGAAACGTTTCAGTAGGTTGGATGTACGTTTTCATCTCTAAAATACCTTCATTTTGGAAAAGTTTGTCTTTATATTGAAAGGATTGTCAAGAAATTTTCACTTCATTTTGAGAAAAGTGGTATAAGTACAATTTAGTAGGGTATATATTTCGACTCTTCAAAATTCAAGAGTCTATCCTAAACTGAGGTAAACTATATGGTCTTCCAAATACCGTTTCGATTCCTAACATCACTGAAGAGATATTAATTGTCGAAATCCGGATATGGTGTACAAATTTTTGCACCTCATGTTTGCGGTATACCATCTTTTCCGCAAGTTTATTGTTTTCTGTTTGGTATTAAATTAATAATATAGATCAATTTTGTTACATCTTGTGATCCGTTTATTTGGCAATCGCCAATGGCAGTCAGCAGGGTTTAAGAACATCAGTTGTTCGACCTGTTAGCCAAATGCGTTTTGTTAAAATATTCTTTTTCACTTTTTTGATCTTTTGGAAAATGTTGTTTGTGCTGTATTTAGACCCCTCTCTACCAAGAAATTTGTTTTGCTTGCACACGTATAAAAATTTTATCCAACGCAATCATAGGTTAGAACGTTGTTTTCAATTTAGACTTGTTTATGCATTGTATTAGATATATAAGGCGAAAAGATCGTGTATATCGCCAGTTGAACCTGAATATATTATCGAGCCATCGTATCTAAATCTTGAAAACATTTTCCAGTATGTAATAAATTCTTAGGTCGACATATCCCGCCCATTCGGATTGTATGACACAAGAGTAAATATGTTTTATTTAGGAATAATTTTAAAAAATCTTCCATATATTGTCTTGTAGTGCATGGGTCTTAAATTTCGTAATAAGTTTGATCAAACTGGAGATTAGTGTAAATATTTTTTTTACTTCAAATATTGTTATTAAATAGCAGTTTTCCGGAGACTTTGAAGTCTTATTCATGTTTATAAAACTTGAAGTGTATAAGCATTTTGTTTTTGTAACAAGGGACACAATGTCATCAATATAATGACCAATACCGTGTATAGTGGTACTCCACACTATAAAACAATTGGTCTACCGGGAACATTATTTCAGATAATTCCTGATGTTTGGCCTCATTGGTGAGCCTGAATGTTTTAAATGACACACAGGGAGCCATCATTCATTTATTTCTTATTTTCTGATATCAAAAAATCATTTTTTGATATCAGGAATTCGAATTCTTGATATCACAAAATCATTTTTTGATATCACAAAATCTATTTCTTGATATCAAAAAATCAAAAATATTTTCTGATATCAAAAATTCGAATTTCTGATATCAAAAAATCTATTTCCTGATATCAAAAAATGAATTTTTGATATCAGGAATTCGAATTTTTGATATCAGAAAATATTCTTTATTTCTTGATATCAAGAAATCGATTTTCTGATATCAAAAAATAGAATTTTTGATATCAGAAAATCATTTTTTGATATCAGAAAATAGGTAATAAATAGTAAAACGGCGCCTCATATGCTATACGGTATGTGTTTTACTCATTATTGAAAGCCGTACGGTGACCCATAGTTGCTAACATCTACGTCATTTTGGTTTATGGAAGAAAGGAGTCTCATACATCTCCTTATTTTCAACTAATAAGTGCTACAACAGAATATTATTCTTATTAGATAACACTTAACACATCACAAACAACAGTGGCTACTAATATATCTGGTGTGATGCCTGGAACATCTTATACATTTAGAATTAAATGTCGCCCAGAGAAGTCTATTATTTGGAGCGAGGAATCTGAAATTCAAGCTACCACTGAATATACAGGTATTCACAATCAAGGAAATTAACATAATATATTATTTCAAGTTTATTCAATATTTACACATCAAAAGCATATACAAAATGAAAATAATTGATTCAGTAATTCAACTGGACTGAAATACACTGTTTATTTAACTAACATACTGATTGTGTTCACTCACTCATTATCTTTGGGAATACACTGTGTTTGTTGTCTCTCTTTTCCTGTATAGTTTTAGTTTTATTGTAATTTTTCAATAAAAAAAAGTCATCACAATTATTTGTACACTTTAATTTAAACTGTAAATGTTCTGCTCCTCGGGGCGTCTTGACTGGCAAATAAAATTGTTATTGTTGTTGTTGTTGTTGTTATTATGAGACTTCAGACCAGTATTATTCAAACACCACATTAATGTTGCACTTTATGGAATATGTAATAATGAATTAACAATACGTATTCATGAGTTGTATATCGTTTATAGTTCCCCTAACTGGGCCATCGCTAATTTCCGGTGGATTTGTCACGAAGAAAGGAAATTTATACATTTATTTCAAGGTAAAGTAATTAACAGATAAATTTTTATTTTTTAATATTATTTTACTCCATTCTTCTTAAAATAAAATAAAATCGTACAAATGAAATATTTTTGCATCATTCTATTTTTGTGATTATATTGAAATGTTATTTCGTATTAATATCAAGTCTGATATATCCTAGGAACCAGACAACTATAATGCACAGGGAAATATTTCAAATGTACAATTGACCTTACAAAGTTTAAACTCGAATGATACCATGACAACAACTGTCCATGATACAAACACAGCGGATATAAAGACTTGTTGGGCATCTGGAAATGCTGGATTTAGACTAAATGCAGCTGTAAAGAATCAAATAGGATGGTCTCACACTGTTACAGAAATCATATTCTATCCAGATAATGGTAACTAAAATATTCTAATTAAAAAATAATGCATTTTACTAATTGGTGAAGTATACTTGCTGACATATTTTCCTCTTTTTATTTTTATTTTCAAGGGAATTACGTGTTACCCTTGACCTCCGTCCTTCCGTCTGTCCCATTTCCGTTTCCGCACTCTAACTTTAGTGTTACTCATCCAAATCTTATCAAACTCATACACAATGCTAAAAACTAAAACTGGCAGACATAGTTCGAATTTGGTCAGTGAGTCACTTACCGTTCTAAAGTTATGCCCCTTTTTAACTTAGAAAGTTGCCATTTTTTTTTTTCGTTTCCGCACTCTAACTTAAGTTTTCCTCATCCAAATTTTATGAAACTCATGCACAATGCTAAGAACATATTTGAAAACTCGAAAGTTCGAATTTGGGTAGTGAGTCACTTACCGTAAATTAATTTTTCTTCATCCACATTTTATGAAACTAATACACAATGCTAAGAACCACACCACGCAGACAGAGTTCGAATTTGGACAGTGAGTCATTTAGAGTTATACCCCTTCTTAACTTGGATAATTGCAAAGCTTTAGCGAATGCAATGTGTCCTCAGACACATTTTCTTTTATTTTTCATTTTATTTGTCAAAACATATAATATTATATGGAAACTGTTAAAGTCTTTATTGCGCCACCTTAGTTGCAAATATTGTTGCAAGCTAGAATAATGTGTTTACGACTATTTTTAAATGTTTTTTTTTCTGTATTACAATTCTATAGATGTAAACAGACCATCGTATGTCATTGTGGAGGTCAGCAAAACAATAAACTCTTTCACCATTAGTTATGAGGGGGATATCAGTCCTTCAAATATAACATATATTTGGTGCCGTGGACGTATGGAACAGGAGTCTGGAATTGTTTTATGTGAGGTAAGAACAAATTCAAATGGATGACGAAATACAAGAACATAATCAAATGCATAATACAATAAATCATTTTTTTCATCCCTAAATAAAAAAACAAAACCAAAACAGAACAAAAAAAAATGAAATAAAAATATAAAAACGTACGCCTCATAGTTCTTCTTAACTTATTTGCACAGATTGATGCCAAAATACATGAAAGAGTGTATACGGATTTTAGTTAATGTATCACATCGAGGTTCATAAGCACGGGAGTATTCCTTGGAATTTGTATGAATTTTAGATAGGGTGACATATTTTTTTTAATCAAAACTGTGATGAGCTCAGGTGTCCAAAAAGAAAACGAACAGTCCATGTCAGTCGACTGCCTATGGTCAATTTCATATCCTTAAAATTTTGGATATATCAAAGAAACAACACTTCCACAAAATAGATTTGTTGTTTTGTATGTGACAATTTTTATTAACTATCTTTTAGAATTCGTTAATGCAATGTAGCGGAAAATGTCAGCAAAAAGAAATAAATACCAGCTTCTCAAATATGTGTCCACGGTGTGGATTTGGTGGCTACAGTGCTGAAGGTCCTGGGTTCGATTCTGACTCGGGGTGCTGGAAATTTCAGCACACCAGGAGGTTGATTTTCACCCTACAACACACCTAGCACTCTCTTTGTGTTGGGTTGGGGATTGTCCTTGTAAATATTGTTAGTGACACATCTCCATTAATCCCGATAGGTAGTGTCCATGCATTCCACTGTACCCTCGCATCTTTCGAGGGATGCTCCGAATAACGGAAGAATCTACCAGTACATTCATACATACATACATACGAAGCCTTTGAATAAGGAACATTCACATTTTAAAGAAATAAGTAATTAGAAGTTAACCGATTTCTGAGGTATTGAAAGTTTATTTGCTAATTGTATTTTAGGAAGATGTTGACTGGAAATATTCTACAAATGTAACGTTTACTGGAATACTCGATAGTCAGTTCAGTGAAAGTTGGCATTTTGGAATGTCTGTTTCAATGGGTAAAAATGATTCTGGCATCGTATGGGAAGATTGTATATTTCATCAGACAGAAAGGGGTATGTCTTTATTTGTTGCATGAATTTATATTATCTTTATTCTAAATAATTTTCCATGTACCTTGTTAAAATCAGCTTTACCCGTCACTGCATTTTTATTTCTCAATGAATCACGGGGGCCAATTTCAGAATAAATTTTACGTTTCAAGGAAAAAGTTTTGATGCCAATAAATCACTTCTTGTCCATCAATTCCGATATCTATGAGTTTTTCCAATGTTACTAGCTTTAGTTGGGTCTGAGGGTTATCAAACTGTTTGATACCTAAACATACAATGAGGACTAAAACTGAGTATACGTTTCACCCAATCTAGTTTTTTTAACACGTTCAGAAGGAAAATTAATTTGTCATAATGTCTTTTTTTTTTCAAGACTGCAGATTGAATTTTTATTTCAAATTCAATGTTTTATTGATTATCCAAAACTATTCCAAATTAAATTAAGAAGTATAACCAACCCAGTAAAATGCAGAGCTTATGGACTTTATTAAAATACGATATCACCGTAGATTTATAGTTTATAACTATGACAAAAATTGGTGAGAGAGAAAAAGAACATGACAATAGAGAGTGTATGACTAAAAAGTAAAATAACAAAAATATTGAACTCCAAGGGAAATTCAAAACGGAAAGTCCTTTATAAAATGGCAAAATCAAAATCCCAAACACATCAAACGAATGGAAAACAACTATCATATTCCTGACTTGGTATAGGCATTTCCAGATGTAGAAAATGGTGGATTAAACATGGTTTTATAGCTAGCTAAACCTCTCACTTGTAAGGGAGGAAAATGACATAAACATTTTTTTATGGTGAACAATCTGGTAAATTTGAGAATAGTTAAAAAAACAATTAATGCAGCAGGAATAAATGCCAATCAATTAATCATTTTGGAATAGAAATAAGGAAGAAATAATAAGTAGAAATTACCGAAGTACTGCCTGGCTACTGGGATGGTGATATCCTCGGAGAATAACAGTTCACCAGCAGAAGTATCGACCCAGTGGTAGTAATAACATTAACGGTACTAATGTTTCTTCTCCAGATCCGTATTTTGACAATTAATGTCTATTCAGCAACTAACATTTCTACGTACTTATACATCCCTGGCTTTCAAATATTTGGAAAAGCGCTTCGGACGCACAAAATCTATTTATGTATTATTTAAATTTTTAGCACTGGGTCGATACTACTACTGGTGGACTGTTTGTTCTCGAGGGTATCGCCAGCTCAGTAATTAGTGCTGCGGTATTAACATGGTTTCTAAAAATTGATAAATAAAGAAAATGCTAAAAAAAATTAAGGTTCCAATTACCTCAGGCAAAGTTTACCTTAGATGAATTTGAATGTGTAGATCAATTTTGGTCATACGGCTCTTACGTTTCTACGCATTTATACATCACTGGCTTTCAAATGTTTGGGGTTGAGTGTCCATGATGAAGGCAATCTGATTAACATACAGATCATGTGTCCAATCTTTGCTTACAAGGATCTGACAACACTCTGTTATACCTACTTATCTGATAAATAATGATCAGCCAATGAACTTGCAGCCTTCAAATATTTGAAAGTGTGTATTAATCCGACCAATCCATAGGATTCCGAAGCAAAGTCTAAATTTCTTTAGGGAAACCCTAAAAAAAATTAATTCTAACAAAAATTATTAACACTTGCATTATATGATTAAGATTCTGAGAAAGTTTTAATAAATTCCATTTAGTGGTTTAAGAATTACGGACACAGAATGAGTATCCCGTAGATTTAACAATGGCATAGTCCATGATTTGCTAGGAAACCTAAAAAAAATAAGAAAAATATGAGATGCACATTGACATCACATGAAGACAACGTTTCATTAGATGGTTTAGATACAAATGTGACTCTAGTTTGCATATCTGACAGTCTACTAGTATGCCATGCAAAAGTCTTTTGGCTGAAGAATTAAAGTAGATGATAAAATTCATTATGTGAGTAAGATGTAATGTAAATTCTGCAAAATTCTGTCTAACGGTTTAGGGGTAGTAGCGTATATCAACAGACGGACGAGGAAAGAAATGACGGACACTATATACCTCCTAATTAAAAAAAATGGGTATAACTAATGTTTTCTGTGCAATTAACTATGTTTACTTGTAATAAAACCCTGAATGAGTTTGAATATTGAAAGTACTATTTTAAGTGTTGTAACTTTAGAAAAAAAATGATTTAAGTTCCAACGTCATGATAAGATTTACATAAGAAATTGGCATTAATAGTTAACACCGATGGATTATATAAATATCTTTGGTCTATGAAATTTACAGTCCTATTTATGCCCCACCTAGGGGGATTATGTTTTTCGGTCTGTGCGTCCATCCGTTCGTCCTTCTGTCCTCGCTTCAGGTTAAAGTTTTTGTCAAGATAGTTTTTGATGAAGTTGAAATCCTATCAACTTGAAACTTAGTACACATGTTCCCTATGATATGATTTTTCTAATTTGAATGCCAAATTAGAGTTTGACCCCAATTTTACGGTCCACTGAACATAGAAAATGATAGTGCGAGTGAGGCATTCGTGTACTATGGACACATTCTTGGTATCATGAGTAATGATTGTGCGTCTGTATTTAACTAATATCGCTTTAACTGAGTTCGTTGCAAGCGGTACTTATTTTTTTTTAAGAAAAGAGAGAGACAGGAGATACCAAAGGGATATTCAAACTCAGAAGTTGATAACAAATTTACAACGCCAAGGATGAAAACGAAAAAAGACCTAAACACAACCAACAATATACAAAACACAACAAAGAAAACTAAAGACTGAGCAAAATAAACCCCACCAAAACAAATAAACAATTGTCTATACGAGGAAAATAGTTTTCAACCACGAGTTATTGTGATAAACTATTGATCAATGTTTGAATATACAAAACAAACAAAAAGCATTGTTACAACAAATTGTGTTTTTGAGCAATTTTATTATTGAGGATTTAACACATTTGAAGTAGAAAAACTGAACTTTTTTTGTTTGTTTATTTTTTGCTTTTTTTTTTTTTGCTTTTTTGTTTTTGTTTTTTATTATCGTTTACAAATATTGTCTTATATTCATTTTATTGTTTGTTTAAATCTAAGGCAAGACTTCCTTTTGACCCCCCCCCCCCTTTTCATGTATATCTACTCTAATTCCGTAAATAAGAGGGGTTCAAATGGAGTCTTTCCAAATCATTATTTATAATTTCAGATAATGAAAAGGTAATGCCGGCAATTAACAAAATTGGTACCACCTTTATCGTGTTAATAATTCCAAGAAGCTTCTGTCAGCCAAATGGATACAGACCATTACAGCACTTTGTTCAATACGGACCTTTAAATGGTTAGTATTTCATATTCATTAACCCTCCTTAAACGAAGGAAAGACATTGATTATACATCAGTGGATAATTATATTTTTATGGAATTCTATCAAGTACTTTTGCTTACAAGGGAAGTGCCAGGAATGCCTAAATTTAGAATGGGAAATTTGAAAATCTAGACTTCGAAAATTTTATAGTCGTCGTCACTATATACTTAATGCATCTGTCTTATATGTAACCAGAACGTCTTCTGTTACAGGACCATAGTTCTCATTCGTGAATGAAAAACTTATATGAGTAACCCGATAAGTCACATGCTTTCAAATTTGCTTCTAGAGTGACTGGGAAGTCACGCCATAAAAGATGTTTAAGAACTGTTTCATGTAATATTCTTGAGAAATACATTTTCGTGAGCTTGAATAATTAAAATAGCATATGTAATGTTAATTTCATTAACCGGAACAAACATTAACGATTACTACTAACATTAACGATACCAATTTATCTGTACCAGATGCGCATTTCGACAATAAATGTCTCTTCGTTGATGCTCGAGGCCAACATATTTGAAAATCCAGAACTTATTAAAAAATGTAAAGCTTTCAGACCAAAAAGGAAAAACAGTTTAGCCAAAGCCGGGCAAGGAATCAGAGCTTTGCATGAGGAAGATATATTCCTTTATTTAAGATAATTTCCAAAATGAACAGCAAATTTTAATATTATATTATCCATATTGTCATGCCAGAACCGGAGTACTGGCTACTGGGCTACTAAATTTGCTAATATTATTTTAGTATAAAAAATGATATATATATGTTTTTGTAGAATAATTGTTTATATACCGAAAATATACCTCTGATCATTATTTTGGTTTCTTCCTATCAAGTTTTCACAAAACTATTAGTTGTCTAAATTGGTCAACTTTGATGCAACTTTTTAAATAGCATACATGGTGAGTGAATCTTAATTCTCGAACAATTTTCAATTTTGAACAATATAATTTTGTAGAACAGTACAGCAAAGATGTTCATATGGGTAAATGTTTTATTGTTCAACAGTTTTCCATATTTATCTCATACAAGGGCATTGCATGCATCTTACAGAATAATTGTGTCGTCTAACAAAATCTCTCGTATATCTTAAAAGTATCTGTTTTTCGGGGAAAGGGAGTATTCATCAGTCTAAGTATATGATATAATTTAAAACCAAGCATGGAATCGTCAGAGGGCAAGTCAATCTCTAATTCTGGTTATCAAATGAAGACTTTTCCATCAAATTAAGAGAGAGGCGAAAGATACCAAAGGGGCATTCAAACTTCTAAGTCGAAAATATACTGACAATGTAGGACAGCGGGAATTGCTACTGCGGGAACTATCATGTGGACAGTTAGGAATATGTCAGCGATCGATCAATGACAAGATATGCAAGATTTTGATTAAATCAATTATATATGAAATCTAGTACAAAGAGTATAAACAAGTAGTTTTTTTCAAATTTTGCCAATTTAATTTATTTGATATACTACTAAACTTACCTTTTCCTTTCTAGACCATGTGACAAATAAAACAACATGGAAAGCTTCCAGTACAAGAAACAAGATAACAATTGATGGACTGACGTCAAATACTGTCTATAAACTAGTCTACACTACACAATATACCTACGGAACAAATCTTCCAGTTTCTTTCAAAGTGACAACATTAACAGGTACATAAATACAAATAACATAATTCATTACTTGCCTGCTGTTTACGCTGGAATGGAAACATGCTGAATAGTATATATAAATATATCATAGGGTCAGCTGTTTTGAAAAATCAAATAAGTACATCTACCGAATTTGAAATAAGGAAATTGAATAAATTGCATTATATACGTATAACACTACATACTGAAAGAACGAGAAGTATGGATGGATGGGTGGATGGATTGGGGAATCGATCGATCGATAAATTGATAGATGAAGAGATACAAACAGATAAGATTTATATATAAATGAGAGAGAATGAGATTGGAGTTGAAATATAAAAAAAAATATTTACGTGTTACATTCTACAAGTAAAATTATTGTAAATAATTCAGATAATTATATTTTATTTTATATTTTGTTTGTATAGAACCAAAGGACTCTGTAGTATCGAATAGCGTTGTTATCTTGGTGACCTGTTTAGCTGTCGGGTTAGTGGGATGTGTACTTTTAGCGATCAGGTATAATGATCTACTCTAATTGTTATAAATGTATAGAAATATGAAGTTTTATTAAGGCATTAACACACTGTTTTGCAAATTTGTTGAAAGAAAAGAGACTTCTCAGTATAATTTAAAGTTGACATGTAAAGAAATGGTTGAACATCAATGAGATAGCCACTGAACAACACGTGTTAACCAAAAACAAAGACCATTTTGAGTTTTAAATTATGTGAAATTGTTTAAACCATACGAGAAACATATATCAGCACAAGTCTAAACAAGTCAAAAATGAAAATTTTATAAGCAACGAACACGAAATTTTGTGTTGTTTGTAAAAAGAAATTGCATAAAAATCTATGAAAGTTGCTTCCGATATTTTGAATAACTACTTTAATTATATAATAACATATGAAAGGAAATACTTATAATATATATGACAAAAACAAGAAGATAACATCGGGAAAACCCAAACGCCATAGAACGACGGAAATTATCATGGCCAACAGGTTAGTAAGATTGAAAGAGATTCAATCAAACGATAAGCAGAATATAATTTGTAGATATTGGAGCCTTTTGCCTTAAGGTTGTGGATGATAGCCTTTTCAATACATATTTCTTAGTTTTATTTCAAAATAAGTTAGTTTATCATTATTTAGTAATGAAATGCTCCTATTTTAGATTTAAAGATAAATTAAAAGACATCTGCAAATGTTTGTGTTATAAACCAGACATAGAAGCGCCAATCATACCCATCAATACTATCTCCAGACAGGTGAGATTTACTGCTGGTGAACTGTTAGTCCCCAAGGGTATCACCAGACTAGTAGCAGGTTATGGATACTGTGTTTTTAAAATTTGCAGTTACTTGATTTTGGAAATTACTTTAAGGAATATAAATCACAGTCTGATTCCTTACTCGGCTTTTGTTATACTGTTTGTTCTTTTTGATTTTATCAGCCATTCAATTTTTTAATAAAGTTTGGATTTTCAAATATTTTGACCTCGAGCATCATTGAAGAGACGTTTATTGTGGAAATGGAAATCTGGTGCAGAAAATTGTTACTGTAATTACTGAACAGGAACGTCCAGGCCTTCTTTAGATAGTCGAAAATCTCTACATGATAAGTACATATATCAATTGATAATTAGTTTATAGTAGTACTCATGATAGTATAAAATTTTTGAAGGTAAACACAATTAATTGAAGCGAAAATAGTTTACGGATGTCCAAATCTCGTACATCGATTAAAGAGAGACAAGTCAAGTTAGCAAACAAGAATTGAAGAAATAGAGAGCGAGATCCGGTACATAAGCGTCTCCTACTATACTGCTATGAATGCATCACCACCCATGGGAATCTACTCTTAGTCAAAATGTCACAATCGGTAAAATTACAGATAATATCATCATGGAACCCAACAACAAACAACAAATATGGTTATATGTATATATTTTCAAAAGACCCAGAAAATGTGTTTTCAACAGCGATTACTAGTATACAAAATTGAAGCTTTGGTTGATATGTATAGATTATTTGGTATTCTCCATACTAATATCGTAAAATATCTGCCGCGAGCCATCATGTGAACCTTATTTGGCGAGTGAGCGTAGCGAACGGGTAAAAAAGCTTCACATTGTGTTGAATAGCTGATATTTAATGATATCTATGTGTAGAACATTGGATAATCTGTTTGTTGTGCAATTTCTGGCCTTTTCTTCTCCCTTAGACAGTTTTACGCTTGACAAAAGTAAGCTTAATATTATCTCTTATGGGTGTTCCCTCTGTTTGTTTCACTCTGCTCAGCTCTTCATAAAATTGCATATCACTGCTTTGTGACGTTAAATACGTTAACCCAACCTTAATAACTTTGACTCGGACATATCACCGACGTCATAATGAATGAGCCAACGTTAAAAGTTTGACCTGAACTTATCAAGTCATCTTCCGGTTGAAAAAAACACTTATTTCTACCATGCAAAATACACAAATACAATCCTATAAATCGATTATCAAATTTTCATCATATTTATATTGTAAAATATTAGCTGCTCGACACAAAATGAAGCCTTTTTGAATTCGTTCGCTGCGCTTACTCGTCAATAAGCTTCATATTGTGACTCATAGCTGATAGTTTACAATATTGATATGCAGAAAATCTGATAATCGATACCTCACTTATTGTGACGTCACTAATAACTTCTCCTCAGACATTGTGACGTAGCTGATAAGTTCTGTTCACGTCTAAAGCCGTGATACGAGAATTACGGAGCAACTGAGTAGGGTGGTTTAGGAAAAGGGAAGCACGATAAGAATTAACATTAAAACCGGAATTGTTACCAGGTGTTCTAGGAAAGGCATGCTTATTCTGCGTTTCCATACGACAAATTTCAGTTTGTCCATTTGATAAAGTGGATATAACTCTATGACTATGGTCACATTTTGACAATTTTGGCTTTTATAGCCTTTTTTGTTTTAATAACCTTTAATTAAATTTAATAGCTTTCCAGACTACGGTCTCGAACGAATCTGGTAAAAGGTAATCCTCAAACACGTGTTGTGTGCATGTAAGTTGGTATCTTATGTTATTATGTGTAAAACGTTCACCGGATGATGACGAATCAAATTCAGTATCTGAATTTTAATTACAATTGACTATGAATAAACCATTTAAAATTTGAAGGGATATTTTTAAATGTAAGACGAATAAACTGTAAATTCAGAAATTCTTACGTGCATTAAGTATTGTGATTGTTGAACAACAACCAAAATTGCTTGATTAATTATTGCAATTTGAAGAAATGCTTCATACAACTAATGCTATCAAAATCTAAATTCGAGTTGTTTATTCGTGCAAAACATATCCCGTTATAATTTTCAAAATAATAAAAACATCGCAAAAGTTTCAGAATTTATAGGAAATAACAATACTTCAGCAATATTTTGGATCACGATATCTAGTTTCATTGATATTGTATAGTTCACATTACATTCCGTCAAATAAAAGCTTTGATGTGTAAATATGTAGGAACTAGATGAAAGAAATCAAGGAAACATCCCAGAACACAATAACAATATGGCTGACGAGGAAAATGACAATAGGCCTGACAATGCCGCACTGGAAAAAAATAACGGTTATGTTAAAGTTTTTGGTACAACGAATAGTAATCATTCTGATAGTTCAGATCTGTCTGATGATGCTGCAAATTCAGCAAGTCCTTTGCTTGAAACAGCAATCGGAAATTGTTTGCATTCTAAAAAAAACTCGGAGAACAAATCCTTTCCTATAAATGAGTGTGAATCGGATCGGGTAGTGGAAGAAGATCAGACTCGAGATAGGAATGAATGTCTTGTACATTCTCTTCATTCATATGTTCAGAGCGACTTCTTTGTAGTGCCAAGTGTAAAGCAGGAAATAACAGATGGAGGTAAATCTTCAATATCTAATTTGGAAGCAAATAACATTAATGAAGCCATCAATGATCAAGTTCACCAGGAAATATTTCCAGTACGTATGATAATTATAGGAAATATCTTATTTTACCTCAATCACCCGAGGCCCGATGTTACCGCTAGTCATTTTATCAATCCGAAACACAAAGAGGGTAGTAACTAGTTGGTGTCATGTGGTATATACAGCTCCAACGGTTTTCTTTTAACATCATTGGAATTGTGCACAATGGCTGCACACAGAATGAAGATGTTTACCTCCTTTTATGGACAGCTTTCAATTGGTTTTTTCCAGATTTCGAATGTGTTTTCATTTTTTTTTCATTGTGTTCATGAAAAATAATGGGGATTAGCTAGTTTTCTAATTGAATCACTTATTTGCGTAAGGCAGAGTTATTTGTCTGTGTATTGCAGGTCACCTAAATGTTATTTGTAAGATAAAAAGCTACATCTGGCTTCAGTGTTATACGGAAAAAAACATCTTAAGACTTAGCATTTTCTGAACTACAGTGGGAACTCGATTTTTATGCATTTTGATTAGTTTCAAATATGACAATATTGACGAAAATCTTAAAATTTTCGAATTTTTATAGCACTGAAGTTTTGTTCTTTAAAACCTCAATGACTTACCGGCCCATTTTTCTTGTAATTGTAAGTCCTTGAATTTTTTTTTTTCTTTCATTGCTCGGTATCAAAAAGCAAAGTTAAGTGATCAAAACCCAGCTAAACGTCACCACATGTTCATATGTCTGCTTTAATTCAGGAACCTAATCAGTGTTTAGCTTCAGTTGTATATCTCAATGTTGTCTTTTTGGAGGATTAGGTGTTGTTGGATTATAGATCTTAGATAATACGCCTTTTATAACTTTTCTAGACTCGGGGCGATGTATAGCTAACTATAAATTCTTCTTCAAAACTAATATTTCAGTTTTAAAATAAAAACGTTATGAATGTCATTGTTTTTTTTTCTGAAATAAATTCCTTTCTATATAAGACTGTTATCATTTGCATAAACTACCATGGCTTTAAATACAACTCTATGTTTGTTTCAGACTAGGTGTGGTGTTCACGCAAGATCGTGTCAGCAGATACATGATGATATTATGGATGAAGAAGTAATTCCCTATTGCAAAGATCATGAACATTCATTTTATCCGAAAGACAGTATAAAACTTACTTCAGCATATGAATGCACGGGGAATTTAGCAAAACACATAGCAAATGATGAGCATCATATAAAGAAAAGATCTAACCAAAATGATAAAGTTAATGTATTGTCAAATCATACAGAAGATATTTCTAGTCAGCAAGATCTGGATAATGTTACCTCATATGTGCGTACAGAGGACTTGCATATTGCAAATTTTCAAAACCAGCAAGATGTTAAAAATGCCTCCTCGTACGCCCGTTCAGATGACTTGCAAAATTTAGACTTGCGCTTTGCTCCCTCACACAAAGGCACAGAAAACTTGCCAAAAATACCATTCTGTCAAAACATGCTTTTTTTCTCTACGTGTGTCCACACAGAAGACTTGCAGAAGTACCCTTTTCAACAAAATTTGGATTATGTCTTATACTCCCGTACAGAATTACAATCGAACAATCCACACATTCAGGATTTACCTCCTATACAGAATATAAATGCGGATGAATCCAATAACGTTTCATCGGAATCGCTTAATCAACCCTCTCAACCAATAAGCGACAGTAGCTCTTTACACGATCAAGGTGATTCAGAGGGTCAGTCAAATTCCGGGTACATTTCACACGAGAAATTTATCAACCTCAGCTAACATGTTTTTCATTTAGGTGAGCACATTAGATAGGTTAGATCTCCCAGAATATTTTTGCACTAAGTGAATCGTTAAATGGCTCCTTGAAATTCTTGCTTTAAGTAATTTGTTTAATGTGAATAAAGGGAGATGTGAAGTATACGTTAATGCTGCAGAAACTACAGAAAAAGACAAACGAAATCGATAGGTGAACTACTGATCTTCAAAAATAAAAAACAGATATTTACAATTTGTCAACCCCTTAATCGCGCTGAGTCTCGAAAAGATGTACATAAGTTTATCAAAGACTATCAAAGATCTACTATCAAATATCTGCCGTCAAACCTTGATTTCTCAATAAACTAAAGAATAAGTCATACTAGTAACAATCACTGACGATGTTTTAGCATGAGACTAGCATGAACATTTGAATTGAGGTTTAACTAGTTTTGAGAACTCAAGCCTGTCCCATTTAATCGCGATCCGTGGAATAACTTCACGAAAATAGAAGAACGTATCACAATTTACTCAGAAACAGCATGGAACTCAATATCGTAATAATCGAAAACAAAAACACAGATTAAAAAACTCAAAACCAAAACACAAGAGAGTTTTAATTTTATTCAAGTTAAACAATATTAGATAATACCATATTAACGAATGCATGCAACTTCAGAATGCAAGGTACGTATAATACAGAAACAATTAGGCAATACGTTCAAATGTAGATTTAAAAAACAAGATATAACCATAAGATAACATCATTAAAAAATCTCTATTTATCCGAAATGACTTTAAAAAAAACAAATTGCAATAGTGCATCAAAAATTGCTCTATCAGTCATTTGTAGTATCTTAACAATTGATTTAGTAATAGTAAGATCGCATGAATTCACAGAATTGATACATAGAATACAGAATGGAAACGGGGCATGTGTCAAGGAGACATGCGTTTGAAATGTCTTGCAATGGTAAGCAAGAATATATATGGAAATATGTAGTTTTAACGGTCATATAAAAATGTGTACCTTGAATGTCAAGGTCAGATATCATCTTCCATGGTATTCGACACAAGTCTTGAAGTGTTGCACCCGTGTGCCCTATACATTTTGTACTTTTACTAAAAGCCTATGTCAAAGTATTAAGTTTTTTTTTATCTTGAGGTCAATGGTCAAGGTAACATTATGAATTGCGACTAACCGTTTTATTGTAATATACTTGCATGTCTAATGTCATAAGCCAGTGTCAAAAGAAATGAAAAGTTATGACCCAGACAGATTTCATAAGAAGCAGAGGAATCAGATGAAAAAAGAAGAAGAAACAGTACTTGTTTCACATACCGAAAACAAAAGAATCCACTTTGATATTTATAACCATATGTTTTGGGAGGGAAGTCGACACACGTGCCCTTTGGAAAACTCGCACATTTTTCTAAACATAGCGTCTCTGTTGGTCGAATGGGATACATAAAAAGTTGTTTCTGCAAATAAGGTTAACCGGCATGAATGATTACAACATTTTATGTAGACTGTCGCAGTAAAGACCCGAAATGTTGGATAGGGTCAGAAATTTTTCAATTCAACAGATTGAATGTCCATACAAACCTTCAAAAAGTTGTTGCAAGTGTGTTTTAAAATGCGTAGAGGGAGATAGCACAAATTGTTTTAACAACGTACAAATTGTAAGTCTTTTTTTCTTGATGTAATCGCATGACTGGTGATGCATTCACATGCCTACACTATCGTCGCACCTGATCTCGCTCCTTTTTGGTTTCGTTTTTGGTTTCATGATAAGATCTCAGAAAACCATGTGTCCTTCATGGCCTCATTGGATATTTCAATGAGCAATAAATCTGAGGACTTTGTTTATATTGGATACCTAAAACTTCACAAAGATCCGTACATACCGGTATAACGGTACATTGACGGCACATCTACGTGTTCTACCAAGGAATTTTCCTTTAGATTAATCAAAATTCTGTTCTCAGTTAAAGAGGGATTACAGAAATGCTGTATAGTGCCAATAACCGTATGTGGATTCTTAAGAACTCAAAGGAACTTCAAGGAATTTTTAAATGTTGGTCATTTTATCAAAATTTCGATTTTTCTACCCTTTACACCATCATACCACATGAAAAATTGAAAACCAGTTTAAAAGAAATAATCTACAATAGTAGTATACGCTACAAACATATTGTTTTAGGATATAATTCGTCATATTTTGTAAAAAAAAATGAGCCTGAAAATAAAACATGATACACCGAAGTGCAAGTGACCAGCATGCTGGAGTTTCTCATTGATAACATATTTGTTGAATTTGGAGATAGAATTTTCCAGCAGGTTGTCGGCATTCCCATGGGAACCATCTGGGTAACTCTCTTAGTCGAACTTTTCTTAATTTTCATATGAGTTCTTTCAGACAGGCGTAAAAACAAGAAGATAAAAGAAGCTAATTCATTTAATTTTTACAATTAGGTATATTTATGATGTTCTTTTCATTAAAAATCCAAACTTTTAATTGGGTCTCATTTATGTATCTTCCTGGACAAGAGATTAAATAAACCAAACATACAGCTTCCTCCACCACATTTCTAGACATATAACTCGAATTTGACTACAACGGTCATCTCAGTACCAGAATCAATGACAAACGAGACGATTTCAATTTTTCTCACCTTAGCAGCTATATACCAACTTCACCAGGTTATGGAGTCAACATTTCTCAACTCATACGATATTCAAGAGCTTGCAGTTGCTACTCAGACTTTGTAAAACGTCATCGATGCCTGAGCAAATATTTGATTATCCAGGGTTTTGTCAAAGAATGTCTCGTCCTTTTTGTAACAAAAAAGGTTCATCGGAAAGAACTAAAACCTAACAGATAAAGATTCAGTGTCTTCTTCACAATTGATATATGGTGATCTTTAGTTATAGATTCTAGGTGCTGACGTGTATTTTTTTTTTTTATTATTTGCTTAACAGATTCTCTTTTATTTGTCTTTGTGCTACTATGTTCATTTTGGGCGTATGACTATTGACGTGACTCGGTATTTGTGCATCCAGCTATCGGGAATTTGGCTTTTGGTGTTCCTGTTGCATATTTGCATTTGGGTTCAAATGTGCTATTCGGACGCAAGAGGTTTTTACAGTTGTTTTCATTTTGTTTACCCTTTTATTTATAGTCTACTTGATTAATACCTTATCAACTATCAACTACAACTATTTGTATGTTTGTTTGATTTTTTTAGTCAGTTTTGTTGTATGTCTACTACATTTGGTTTAGTGCTTGCAATTTAAAACATGTAGTAAACCAGTGACATTTATTTCAGATCACGACAGGTTGGTTCCATGGCAAAAGAAGACATTCAGACGCTAGAGTGTGTACTGTCCTTATATTTATTTGCAATGTCATTTAGAATCTTTGTGAAATACTTTAGGAATTTCCTATGCAATTTCTCAGCCAGATTTGTGTACTGTGTAATTGTAATACATCATTTCCTTTTAATAAATTTATGACATATTTGTTGATTTTGTTTAAATGATGTTGTGAAACAAATGCCAATGACAAAAAAAGTCAAATACACACATATCAGAACTAAAAGAGTAAACTAGAAGTCAACGTCGATGTTTCAGCTATAAGAATTAGTTATATCATGTGTTAAATCAGCTTTAGTTTGGTCATGATGTAACTGAATCAACCTTTATTACCAAGCCAAAGGAGCAATGTTTCGATCTTCAAAATGAAAAAAAAAAACTGAGCAGACAATTTTTCGAACTTTAGATTGAAAAAAATATAAGAATGCTATAATTTTTAAGTGTTAAACTATTTTTCTGTACCAGTTGAATAACAATATGCCAAAAAACGAGCATAAGAATCCGCCCAGAAAAATGATTCATTTCAATGATATTGGTTAAACAGATGGTAGATTAAAATTAAAATAATCTTATACATGGTATCCTATAAAAGAATGCTTACAGTTAATTATATGCATCCAGTTCAGATTACGTTGTTTGATGGGTTCGAATCCCTGCCAGTTTACCCTTTTCATATAAAAACAAGGAGAAATGTTTCGATTGCTGATGAAATGCAGCTATACATAAAGGCTACAGTATAGGCGGAAACAATAACAAGTCACCGTACAGACTTCATCAATGAGAAAAATTCATACCGTAGAGTAAGATATATAAAGTCTAAGTAATTTAAGTGAATGTCACACAGCAAGGTAATGAACAGTGAAAAACCACCTCCCTAATGCAATTCCCAAAGTTGACCCTTTAAAGAAAGAACAATATAAACGTACTTTGCCAGGGCGTTGTCAGTTTATTGCCGACTTATGAGTTTGAATGTCCCTTTTGGTATCTTTGCCTCTCCTTTAAAGTGTTATTAGATGTAAATAACGATAGATGAATGGTTTTTAGAAATACAAGAGACAAGACTTCAACAACAATTGTATGTTTTAGCCTATACCAGTAACTTTTCATAGCCAAAAAGACACTATTCATGACAACCGAAATAAACTGTAAAATGTGTATCTCGTTTCAAACTTTGTCTATTTTTTAATGATAATGCAAAGCGAATATCTTGCAATTATAACCCAAAAATTGTCTTTAATCGGCAGACCTGTTTTCCGTCATTTGAGAGCTGTCTTTTTATGGAAAAGATGTCTTTGGGATTGATTTTAAATTGTTCTACCTGTCCAATCAGTTGATTAAAGACTATACGGAGGCGCTGAGCATGAAATGAATAATGCTAAAATGGACATGAAATTGGACAGTCCCAGCGTGAAATGAAGAGAACGAACTTTCGGCTATATAATATATGTTGGGCTAGTGGGAGTAATGTTCTCGTCATTGAAAGATTATCATGCAAATGATTATGGGGTTTTTATAGAATCTCTTGAAAGTCTTGGCCGATCTTTAATGCATTTGTTTTGGTTTAATTCGTAATTTATTGGTTGAGTTTAAAAAAAAAAGTAAAATAACAAAAAATACCGAACTCCAAGGAAAATTAAAAATGGAAAATATCCTTTATCAAATGGCAAAATCAAAAGCACATCAAACGAATGGAAAACAACTGTCATATTCCTGACTTGGTGCAGGCATTTCCTTATGTAGAAAAAGGTGGATTAAACCTGTTTTGTAGCTAGCTAAATCTCTCATTTGTATGACAGTAGTATTACATTTAAATTACCCTGAAAAATGTCTAGTACAAATCTTTTCTTGAAAATGTTTACAAAGTCTTTCTGGTGACTGTTAGTTATGTAAAACGAGAAACATAATGAATGAGATGTTTTGTTCATTTCTCTCCGACGAAGGTCAAATACACATCTCTCTTATGAATGCCAAATGCACGTTTAGTACATCAACTTGATACAAACTTGCTATGTAATCAATTTTCCTACTACTTCAGCTGCATAATATTATGATATAATGTCATAAATATCATATTTTCCCATTGGGATAACTTCGTAATCGTCATTCAGTTGATCGACACTAGGTTCGATGAAATTAATTTTTATACAGGGAAAAATATTTTGCCCCATATCACAAACTTTTCTTTTCATAGAAGACTTCAATAGCACATAAAAGGTAATTACCAAAATTTAAGCAGATTCTAGATTTCTTTTCTTACGATTTGAAACACAAATAATGTCAATGCTAAATATAAGGTAAAAGTCAGAGTCAGCTTTTTCCCACCATTTTTAAAAAAATCAAATATCTCGAAAAGGAGTTCCATAACTTTTCAATATTTTTTGCTTATTTTGTTCCTTAACTAATGCTCTTCTGATTTATAGTATCAATTCTAAATTTCAGATTTTTTTTATTTTCACCTGACTACATCTTTTACGGGCTAAAATCAGGACTTATTTGAAATCATTGAAATATGTGTCTAGCAAAAATCATCATAATTATAAAAAACTACAGCATCCTAGAAATTAGAAGTTTTACTATTGCTAATGTTTTGGCAATGAAAACGGCAGTTTGAAATGCAAGTTTACTAATCTAGAGATTGATCGTAAGGCATCGAATATCAAAATGAATGTATGCCAATCTGATTAAAAACAATCATAACAAATCTAACGGATCAGAGTGAAAGACCTAATTTTAATCAGATTGTACGTATGTTTTAATAAACATGCTAACAAAGTTACTCTCCTCAAAACGGAATTTTCTACTTTGTTGTCTTTTTTTTCAAAATAGGACATTGAGCTCAGTAATCGAAAAAGCGTATGAAGTACTAGTATATAAAACATTGAATAGAAAACCGGTTAAACTTAACGCCGAAGATAAATCATAACTGTGTTTCCAGAAAGTAAATCCTGATACAAAAATTTCATAATTTAGACATTCAATCACTATTTATTTGGCTTATATCCAGTAAAGAAAGTCACATTATCAAATCAAATGTGTAACTTGATAAATAATTTGAGTATTGTTAGAAAACAATTTCTTAATTGTATTTATTTCAAGACACATTTATCGTAGGTACATTCATGACATTCATTTTAGTGATTTATTTATTTACGATTGTCATCTTGTGAATATAACTGTATGTTTATGCCAGCCTTGGCCAAACAGAATGTTTTATTCTTTTTATTTTGTCAATGTCAAAACAAAGATTTAAATAAACATTAGTATGTTTTTCCGCTTTCTTCGTTAAATTCATTTATTAGTAACTAAATCATTGTAATCACTCGTAAATAATAAAATGTTAATTGATTAGTCTACCTGTAATGGGCGTTTCTGATTGACAATAACAAGTTGAACTTGAACTTGGAATTGGACTTAATAGCTGCTGCATGCTTACTGGGTTTATTGTATCGTCTTTCATTGGCTGTTTAAACAATGTAATTTAAAAATTGTTTGAGATGTTTGTATAGTAAATAGGCTCCACTAACAGGATATTATTTCCAAGTTCAAGTAAAAATATGGTAGTGGATTTACCGATCGTTTTGTTTTTAAGGGGTTCGTGTTGCATGTGCTATAGTTTGCTGTTTGTCTTTAACTTGAATTTTGATTGTCCTCTTAAAAAATGTATATGACCGATGGTTCACGAATTTGGTGACGTCTTATGGTTAGATAAGAGTCAATTGCCAATCCGCTAAGTTGTGATACCTACTCACTTGATACAACTTAACAAAATATTTTATAGGAGTAACACGGCGGGTGTCATATGTGTAGCAGGATCACCTAACCCTTCCGGAGCTCCTGAGATCACCCCCGTTTTCTTTTGTTTTTTTTTTGTTGGCGTTTGTAGTGCTCAGTCTTTAGTTTTCTATGTTGTATTGGTAGACTGTTGTTTGTATTTTGGTAGGTTTTCGTTTTGTTTTCGAATTATGAGTGTGACTATCCCTTTAGTTTCTTCCACCTCTCTTTTGTATCTTTTGTCTCTTATTTTAAATCATAGCGATGAGAACCATAAAGCAATTCTTGCATTCTGTAGCAAAATTGTGAATCAAAGGTTATTTGTAGTTTTTGCATTTTTGTTTTCAGACAGAAGTAGCAGAACATCAAATATAGCCATTCCTTTAAGACCAAATCTACACCTAGAACGGAGAATTATAATACCCCACTTTTGTAATAAGTTTTCTATGACTGTGATTTGTTTTGATGGTGAACAACTAAATATAGAATATCTCTTTTGTAAACTATGTACTAAATGACGAGGATGACGAATTCAAAGCTCGCTCAGACCTTTAGAAAATGTTAGCAAGTGAATACAATTATGGGGCAAAATTACAAAAGCAACAAGAAGAGAAGAATGATTGATTCACCGTTGTGTCATTGTTCATCAGTCAACTGTTTGTCGTGTTTGCAGTAACAATGAATATTAAAAACAAATGCAAAAAGTATTTCATCCGTCATGTCATCTTCTGTTCTTCAAATCATACTTCATTGTATCGTATTTCTGTTTTCATTTTTATTTTCTATTGAAAAATATAGGACAATGAAAGAAATTCTGAAGGAAAAGTATAAACAGTTTAATACTCACTCATATTATGAGAACTATGAGGTATAAAATACGTACATTTCGTACATTTTGCATTGATAATGTTTATTTGCATTGATAATGTTTATTTGCATTGATAAAGTGCATTTACATTGAAAAGCTTAATTTACATTCACAAAATTCATCCGCATGGATAAAATACAACATTTGCATTGATCCTGTTGATAATATAAACATTTGCAATGACAATATACATTTAATGAGTTTATACATTTGCATTAATTGATAAATTTATCAGCAATGAGAATGTTCATTTACATTGATTTTTAGATCATTTGCTTTCATATTAAGATCATTTACATTGATATCTAACTATCATTTGCATTGGTATTTAGATCATTTGCATTGATATTTAGATCATTTGCATTGATATTTAGATCATTTGTATTGATATTTAGATCAGTTGTATTAATATTTAGATCATTTGCATTGATAAAGTTCATCTTTACATTTGTATTTATAAAGATCATTTGCATTGATACTGTTTATTGATATTTATTTAAGTAGCAATGGTGTACTTTAATTTTCAAGACTAAAACGACAATATTCGAAGTGTTCAAAGTTTGAGTACTTGAAACACAACTAAACATTTTGTTTTAAATGTGTAAGGTTAATTTGCTTAGTCATGTAGGCTTAAAGAAAAGTGTATACATAGCAAATATAACAATGACCTTTATGAACTAGTGTAAATAAAGTGAAGGCTAAGTTATTAATCGGTTACGACTGGATCGACTCGGTTATTATTTTGAATGCAAAATCGTTAATGGTTCTTTTATGTTGAATTATTTACAGAGATTTATGACGCAAATTACTTTTAAATGCGAAGTACTTTTGTACGTGAAATACCCTTTACTATACACCCTTAACTGATATCTTCTATTAATAAAATAACCCCAAATGATAACTTTTCTCTATTGTTAAGCGATATGTACTGAGAAGATTCTAAAATGTTTTTATTTTTAAATGAAACCCATATTAAATGTATAGAGAGAAAACAAAACTAGGGTTATCAAACAGTCATTTCGAGTATCTGATTACCCGCTTCAACGTTTAATAACACTAAAGCTACACACAGCCACATGCTGTAACGGCTATATTTGGTATTCGTGTTTCTTGAACTTTGTCGCCATCAAAATACAATATTGACTGTGGCCTATATGAAATTGGTGCACAACATGGCGTCAGCGCATCCATTTGCTTCTCTGTTGCTTTTGTCCAACGGTATTCTTGTATTAAACTAGTATGGTTTGTTGTCATGGCATAACGGGCTAAAATAATAAAAAATAAATTATAATTGCCTCAAAATGTATTTTTATAGTAGGAATGATTGTTTTCAGAAGTAGACAATACTCTTTGCAAAGTGGCGCGTTTTTTTTTTTTTTTTTTTGGTTGTGCGGAATGTATAAGTACGCAGCCACGTCTGGTCAGAATGGGACGTTAAATCTGATGCCTCGTGTAGAGAGAGTGCCACGCTCACTGCACGTAAAACCTTGTAACAACTCTGAGAGGAGCCCGAAGGTGGCCTGTTGCAAGGCAATATTTCTGTTCCTATCCAAACTACCCTCATTTTCAAGTGTCAGTCATGAACATGCATGAACTATTTGCCACTGAACGTGTAGGAAACATCAATCAATCAATCAACCTTGTCATTAAATAAAGCTTAAGAAAATGACAATGGTTCATAACAAAATATTAAACAAATAAACAATGATGTATGTGACAATTCTCTTTTTAGTGGATCCAAGTTGACTAAAATCCAGAAAATGTCAGAAATGACACCACAATATATTTATTTTTAAATGTGGTTTTATACGAAATATGAAGCGATAAATCGCAAATGACGAGTACTTAGTACATGACAACTTTACGATGGATGTTTTCCGTCTAATAACCTAGGGTTGTGCAAGGCTAACAACACAACTTATATATATATCGTCTTAAATTTACTGAGCCCAACAATGTTAAATTGATCTGCAAATTTGTAATAGAAAGTCGTCAAGTAATCTTACCATGACAGCTTCCTGTACAATAATTAGCCTGTATGGACTGAGGGTGTGCAATGGAATCCCAGCCTATATCTCTAAAATTGATTGTAAATGGCATTAGACAACATTCTGTTGATGTATCTGTACATTCATTGTTAAAGCTTCTTTTTCCTCGGGCGTGTGATTTACGTGTTGTCACCACTAAAAATGGAAGGGAATCCGTTTTTGTACTGTAAATAGTTCTATAGTTTTTCCGCTGACAATCTTTACATATTACTGCCATCCCATGATTCAACCTTGGTTTTAACAACCATTTCATTGCAGTCTTTGTGACATCAATTTTCAGCCATCCATACTTTTGGGTTGTTTCAAACCTTTCAGCAAGATTTTTTATTCGTAAATTACTTTTCCGTCTTTTGACTTCTTCTAATTCGGAAACAACGTATGTCGTCATGTAAGGATCGTTATGGTTGAACAGTTTATATATCCACAGCTGAACTGACTGTACTTCTGATGGATCAACCCGTCCCCGAAGGTCAAAGTAATAACATCCGGTAGACCTCTTCTTGAAGCACCTTTGTGTTACTGAAATCATAGAGAGATCTGTATGATGATCAAAATCAAATAATTAGACAAAAAGGTCAAACCCTTCGCAAGATTGATAACCAGAGAAGAATAAAGTTTCTAGATGTGATTGATATGTATAAACTACGGCGATTAACTCACAATCTGAAAAAAAAATGTTTTTGACTTTTATGTAAAGTTTGGGAGTCAGCAGACCAGTTTACACACCAATAAACTCTATAAATTTTCAGTTTCAACTTTTTTGAAACCTCAGAAATCCATTCATGTGTATCGCTGATGAACTTATCACAGTGAAATCAACATAGTGTTACATAGTAACGAAAGTAACATTGACTACCGAAGTTTAAACCAAGGAGAAGAATCTCACGGACCAATCACGTTCACGTATTTTTAGATCTGCAAATCATATAACTATTGTCAATAGGCAAGTTGTTAACCCTTCTTTTGGTTGCACGTGGCGTTAGATTGCTCTTGACGTTTTTTAAAAGTGGTGAATATATTAATTTTAAATAAAAGAGTTGTTGAATACCCTGTTTTATTCAAAATCAAATCCATATAGAAACACACAAGTTAAAATAATATGGAATTACAGTATACATTTCAAAAGGTCACTATGAGAGAACTTTTTTAACAATATTTCATTCATTTCATTTACATAACTTTAAAATAATTGACAATTATTTGCATTTGAGTTCTGTGATCTAGATGTAATAACAGTAGCCGTGATAGAAAGACGACACGAGCTGCTAAGATGAGCTAAAATCGGAGTTAATTCGATCATCATCAAGGACATCGGGTTTTTAAATAACTTAACACGGAAATCTCCATGATCTAACCTCGAACTTTATTTGCACTTGAAACTATTAAATTTGATTTAAAAATTTATACAAAGTTCGCCTAGTTTCCTAATCTTCGTGGCTATTACAATACTGTAAAAAAATTCTGAAACCAAATGAAATAAAACATAAGACACCAACCATTCATCTTTTTGTGGGGCATAGGCTTTTTTAAAATAAATTGTTTGATTCTAAATTTCTTGAAAAAAATATCTGTTTCAGAAATGAAGTGAAGAAAAACGTAAAGTTCCATTGATTATAAGGGGGAAACATAAATTGAGCTTCATGAATAATTCTTGTTCCTGTATGTCATTGAAAAAAATTGTTAGTGTGTGATTAAAGTCGAGAAAATTGTTTGTTTTGAGAGAAAAAAAACCATGCCCCCTAAATTTAAGTGGTTAAATTTTGTGTAAAGTTATCAGACTCGTACAAATATATCCATTGGTCGAGTTAGATTGTTGCTAATTATAGTAGTTTTGAAATCTTATCTCAGAAATCCTGAACATTTATCCATAATCAGCGAAGCTATGTTGTTAAGTTGGCCAGAAGTTGTAAGAATCTCCTAGATGCACATCAAAGCCAAGTTGCATGACATAAACGTAAAACAAAGTCAATGAAGCATCAAATGTAAGTAAGAATGACATACATATTTGGCGATAAGCAATCAACTTATTCTACTAAGTTCTTTAATATCTGAAAAGTGAACATTTAAGGTAACCTCTGGACATTGAAATGTGAAATGGACGTTAGTTTACCGCATTTGATAAAAGTCTCTACTACGATGTATCTACGATGTATCTATTGTCATACCAAGTGATATGGCTGTAGGGCATTAAGTGACAAAACGAACAGATTTCCTGAGAGAATAATGGAAGTAGAATGCGGCCAATTTCGAGTTTTTGCATTATTGCAATGTTCTCGTATTTGCAATGGCGAAAACGCGAAATTTCTAAAACGCGAGTATGATCCAGTCAGATTAAAGATTAAAGATACGAGATGATTGACAATAGTGGGCAGTAATTGACAAACGCGAAAGCGAAAAATGAATTTGATTTTGCGTTTTCGCTTTCACGCTTTTGTGCTTTCGATTTCGCGTCTTCTCTTTCGTGATTTCGCGTTTTCGCCTTTAAAAAACAATGTCGATAAGGCGAAATTGGTCGCATTAACGATCATGTGACCTGTTTTTCATGCACCGTCATCCTAGTTGTTGGTTTGAATACGGACATGCTCATTGATGGTGTTTTTGTTTAACACGTCCTGGTTTTGTCCTATTGTGAAAATAGGAAAACTGATGATATCCAAGCACACATATCTTCTAAAAAGAAATATTCCAACAACTTCTCTATATTAAGCAAACAATTAGAGGGGGGATTGTAAACTTCTGTTTGCGAGATCGATCAAATATACAGGAATAGTCGGAGACATCACTAGAAACTGTGCTTTCTACTGATAATGTATGGGTTTTGAAAGTCTGCAAAACATTAACGAACCCAAAAGAGGCATATGCAAATATCGATGAGTAACTTCTTTAACTCAAAAACATTCTTCAGAAATGTCACCAGGACATATCTGCTCCCTAATGAACATAAGTTTACTATTACTGACCTTTGAAAATATGCGTTTGGGATAGCAAAAATTCAGGACCTTTGTTGTACTATAATTTAGTCGAAAAGACGATGAAACTTGCTATACATTTTTCAAACTTTATTTACGACTTTGGTGTAGAAATTTTGTCATCCTTTGACTTTTAATTTCTCTTACCATGCTTAAGTATGGTATCTGTTTGGCTGTGTGGATGTATAAATACGCAGCCACGTAGTGTCGGAATGGGGACGTTTAATCTGATGCATCATGTTGGGTGGATGCCGTGCTTTCTGTACGTTTAAGAACCCTGGCAACAACTCTGTAAGGGGCCTATTGCTACATCGTAATTTTTCAGGGGCGGTCCAATTTTCCGCCCTTCATCATGGATGATCTACTAATGAAAAATTTACTTATTGTATTCGTTGTAAATAAGTTCTCGTCCTAAATATGCTTGACATATTTGCCACTGGACGGTAAGCAACTACAATCAATCGTTTCAATGAACGGAGAATACCGTTTGATGAGTTATCGAGTACTTATATATAAACGGGTCAATGGAAACTATATTTATATTGGGTTTCCTGCGTAATAAACAATTAAGTGTTTATTTATATTGCAAAAAAAAAAACAATATAATTAATGAGTAAATAAAAGTAAAATAACTGAGAAAGTGATTATTTACTTACCGTCTGTTCCGACGATAAATTTACGAACAGTTTTAGCATAATAATGTGATGTTCTTCTGTAACTTTCATCATTACTGGTGGCAAAGTAAACCTTTTGTATTTCATCCATAGGGAGTTGTGGCATAGGTTCGCGTAGTATAGGTGGAAACGACAATCGAAGCTTTGCCAGAAGTTGTTCCTTTATCTCTTCTAAATGTCTGCTTTTGACCAAATCCTGAATTTGCTTTGGTTTCACAAACGGTTTCATCGTTGCACTTTCCGTATCGTTTATGTGTTTTGTTTCTGATTCTGTGATCGAAGGAAAATTTTCAGGAACAGTAAAATTTTCGGGAGGAAGTCCACCTCCAGTGTCATTTATGTTATTTTCCTGGACTTTTCTACCGATTTTCTTTTCTGAATCAATCTCTTGGACATACCCAGTTGTTTTTACTACATGTTCGACTTCCTTGTGAGAATTTTGCTCTGTAGTATCATCTTGTTGATTTTCTCCTGATGTCAGTCTTGGGGAAGAAAATGCACATCCAACAATGGCAGTAAAATACACTGTACAAACGCACATTACTGTGTGTCCCATTTTTACGTTTGCGGTTAGATTTAAAATAAAACTGAATTAAACCGCAAGTTTCAAAATTATATCTACTATTAGTTTTTAAAGAAGGTTAAGCAGTGTCAATAGCGATTTGCTTGAATACACATGTGGGGGACTGGAGGTGTGTCAACCTAAACCAATCAATTTACGCATTCTCCAAAACCCGCTAAATATATTTATAACTGTAAACTTAATGAATTGCATCATATGTTTAGAGTGACGCTTATTTGCCGAACTCAGGAAAATTGCTGATGATGCAATTACACGCTACGATCAGCAGTGTACCCTTAGCGATCGCAAGTAGTAAACAATCTGGAAAATCCGAGATTAACTTTATTCTTTGTTAATAATTCTTTTCAATTATAAAACCTTGACCTAATCTAAGATAATCGAATAACAAAGTAATTCACAGTTATTCCTTTGTCATCATTTTATAACATAATAAATGGTTAAAACTTAACCGAAAGAAGCGACGATTTTGTATCAGCATGTTATCTTTCTGGTTTTAAGGGGGTTGGGGAAGGGGGGGGGGGGGGGTTATAATACATTAATTCTTAATATAACTAAATATAAAGGACCCGTCGTGTGCGCTCCCATTATCATAAATGGCTGATTCAACCCATGAAATTAATCTAGTTTTAATAAGTTACTTTTAATTGTTAAAATATGTATATTTAATATCTTGTAGTCGTTCCTTCTTACACTGGAATGAAGGTTTTGCTTGATAAATCGTTTTTGCAATAGCCAGTATGATATAACGGTATTCACTAAAGAATTAATTAGATCATTATATTTAATTTTTGTCAAATCATTAACCGATCACACCAACCGAGCAGGGATGGTACAAAGTCCAACGGCATACTTGTTTAAACGACATTGACCTTTAGATCAAATGAATTTAAAGAAAAAAACCATGCATTGTTGTGTAAGGGCATTAAGCACAGCTGTACCAGTCGCTACGTAAACATCATGCAACGATTGTTCCCGTATTCATGAAAATGTGTATTGCATAACAGTTTGAAAGAACATTATAATTTCGTTTTTGTCAAATATATATAAAGACATCAGTGATAAAAAAAAATAGAGGCTCTAAAGAGCCTGTGTCGCTCACCTTTGTCTATGTGCATATTTAACAAAGGACATTCTCCAACATTGTAGACGAGAATAGAATTCATGACAAAAATCTCTGTTTTGTTGATCTTATATTACTGATCATTTAGTCTTTTTAGTTTCTCTCTATCTTCTTTAGAATTTACTCAAAACACAAAAGAGAGTAATTTTTGTGATCTAAAGTGTCTATTTATCTATTATAATTTTTATCATATAAGGCAAAACGCAAAAAAGAATTTGTAAAAATCGTCATTAAAGGGCAATAACTCCAATAAGGAGTCGTCGGACGATTTCCTCCAAATTTTCTTAATTGTAGATCTTGTCTTGCTGATCGTTTTCGCTTATTATAATTTTTAAGATATAAGGCAAAAACGCAAAAAAATGGTAAAAATCGTCATCAAAAGGCAATAACGCTAATAAGGAGTTGACTGACGATTTCGACAATCATACTTATTTATAGAACTTGTTTTGCTGATCATTTTTGCAATTTAAAGTTTTTCTCTATCTATCATTTTTTTCAAGATAATAGGCAAAAATGAAAAAAAATGTAAAATTTGTTATTTAAGGGCAATAACTCCTATAAGAAGTTGTCTGACAGTTTTGACGTATATAAACAATTAGAAGAGCTCAACATTCTGAACATTTTAGCTCTGTCAGATTTTCTCTATTTATAACGTTTTTCAAAATAATAGACAAAACTTGCATTTTACTCTATGTTCTATTTTTAGCCATGTCGGCCATCTTGGTTGGCAGGCGGGGTCATCGGACACAATGTTTAAACTAGATACCCAAATGATGATTGTGGCCAAGTTTGGTTAAATTTGGCCCAGTAGTTTCAGAGGAGAATTTTTTGGTAAAAGTTGACGACGACGACGGATGACGACGAATGACAGATGCTAAGTGACAAGAAAAACTCACTTGGCCCTACGGGCCAGGTGAACTAAAAAGGAAAAAACATGCCTAAATTGTGTTCGCTATGTTCTTATCCTGATTTTCTGGGTTGAGATTCTGAAAGTGAGCTAACTTTATCTTCAAACTACAGTCCTTCTAAACCTGTACATCCCTGTAACTGTTTTTTGTAAAAAAAATATTGTATATTGTAACAAATAGGCCGGCATAACATGTATGAACAAAGTTTTATACAAATGGCATATTCACAGCAAGGTAATTTAAAATCATAACAGCAATGGAATATACAATGTTATAACATAGGATTAATTTCATAAATAATATAATGGTTATATATTTGTGGTGGTTAAATCAAACTTTTAAAAAAACAACAACAAAAAACGTTGATTATTAAGTCTATGTAACAAATACTGGAGTCGATTTCACAAAGAAACTTACGACTACGATTAGTCGTAAGTATACTGAAATGTTCATGACTTACAATTAATCTTCGACGTAAGTTTTTTGTGAAACAGACTGCAGGGACTCCAGTATTTGTTATATTCATCTTCACCAGTATTTGTTATATTCATCTTCAGAGAAGTTTTTAAGTGAAATGTATTTTTCTAAGTTCAAGTTTTCCTTTCAATATTTTTTTTAGGATTTAAATTTGTCAATACTTCTTGTAATTTTTTCGGTAAATATAGTATTTTGTAAGCAAAATATTTTTATTTTTTTACAAAATTCAATTCAATATTTTCGAAGTTACCAAAAAAAATAATTTTGATACTCCAAGGAAGTACAATAATTGTCAATTCAAAAATCCAATAGTTTAGTGCATGTCAGAAGCTAGAGACCAAAATAGATGTTCTATGGTCTCTGTTTCTTCTTTGCAGAATTTACATAAATATTACTATTGTTTATCTTCGTCTTAAAAAAGCAGTGTATTAGTTCCCATAATTCTATATTAAACCAGCAGGGCTTTGTGGTTCTATTATATTTTCTACATGAAGTCGGTTTTTAGTCAAATTAAGAAGATGGTTTTCCCATTTTTCCTTTGCAGCTAAAGTAACATTTTTCTCATTCAATGCCTTGTACATTTAATCTATTGGATGTTGGATGTGTACTGATTGAAAATTTAGTCTTAGATGCATGATTTTTTTATTAGTTGTTATTGGCTTTGAACTAGCCGTCAGTAACTGCGAGTACTCTCAAATCTGTACTAAGTTTCTTTTTGTTGTTGGGATGTACAAGTACCCGTCCCCGTCCGCTTTGTGTTTTTGTTAAATGTATTCCTATTTATCCATCTGATGAGTTAATATAAATAAGAAGATGTGGTATGAGTGCCAATGAGACAACTATCCATCCAAGTCACAATGTGTAAAAAGTAAACAATTATAGGTCAAAGTACGGCCTTCAACACGGAGCCTTGGCTCACACCGAACAGCAAGCTATAAAGGGCCCCAAAAAGACTAGTGTAAAAGATTCAAACAGGAAAACCAACGGTCTAATCTATATGAGAAACGAGAAACACTTATGAACCACACCAACAAACGACAACCACTGAACAACAGGTTCCTGACTTAGGACAGGTATATAAAAATGCAGCAGGTTTAAACGTTTTAACAGGCGCCAACCTTCACCCTAACATGAAACAGTGGTATAAAATTACAACATAAAAATACACATAATAAAATATCAATTAAATGGCATAACTCGATCAAAAAGACAATAACAAAAACAAGTGAATATACACTGAACGAATAAGTTTGAACTATGACACAATATAAATAAAAAACGATGTTTCAATGTCAAAAAGACCTTTTTTATAGTTTGTTCTTATGTTGTACTGTTACACCACTGTCCCAGGTTAGTTTAACCCCGCCACATTCTGTATGTGCCTGTCCCAAGTCGGAACTTAAAATTCAGTGGTTGTCGTTTGTTGCTGTGTTACATATTTGTTTTTCGTTCATTATTTTGTATATAAATTAGGCCGTTAGTTTTCTCGTTTGAATTGTTTTACATTTGTCATTTCGGGGCCTTTTATAGCCGACTATGCGGTATGGGCTTTGCTCATGGTTAAAGGCCGTACGGTGACCTATAGTTGTTACTTTCTGTGTCATTTGGGCTATTGTGGAGAGTTGTCTCATTGGCAATCATACCACATCTTCTTTTTACATTCGAACCTTTCTTTGATTTAAAGAAAATTCTTATATTGAACTGTTGCATTGCTTGAGATCTTTTCTCTTTTACATCGATATTGATACATTCCTGTTATTACCGTTACACTCTAAATCATTATTTCGGGATAATCAAATTATGAAAATAGATTTGTCAACATGTCTGTTGTCCCGGTCTGTTATAAAAATAAGGAGATGTGGTAAAGATCAAAAGACAAGCTTATATTGGTCACACTTCGTGGTAGCGTTCTATTCTCAAGTGCATCTGTTGTTATAACCGCAACCAGCTATAGAAACTAATGACTTAAAATATATAGGCAGCTACTCTATCAAACATACTAAGGAGTAAGAACAACGAACAACGGATCGAAAATCAGGGTAATATGTCCGATGATGGAATGCCCTACTAACATATATACGTCCTTGTAAGCATGTAGCATTTGCATCTTGCATTCGTCCGGGTCAATCAAAGCTATTTTCAGAATCTGTGTTCATTTCAACCAAAATTGCCCCTTTAACTTTCTTCAATAAAACCACTGAACTAATTTCAACCAAACTTGGGTTGAATTATCTTTAGGGTATATCGTATAAAGTTTGTGGTTTCTTTGCGGTCAGTCAACAAACATAGCTGCCACGACTGAAAACAAGAACACAAGGGTAAAATGCAGTAATTGTGTTAAAACTTGAAAACTGTAATAGAGAAAATCTTACTATTCAAAAATGCTCACAATGTCATTGATATCTACCTACTTCATTCTTTCACTAAAATGTTCAGATGACTTAAGGAGTTATTGCCCGTTAAAAATGATTTTTTGCTTATTTTACAGCTGTTGTCTATTATCTCGAAAACTATAAGGATAAGTAGCAACTGTAAAAAGGAAACATAATCAGAAGTACAAAATCTCCAAAAATGCTATTGCAACCAGGAGTATACGACTTGTTGACTAATTTTCGTATCCGTCGTATACTTTTTCAAAGATCTCTTCTGAAACTACAGAACAGATTTCAACCAAAGTTTGTGTGAGTGATCTTTAGGGTGTCCAGAATTGAAGTTGTGAATTTCATTTCTGCCCACCAATCAACATGGTCGACATGGCGGCTTACAATGTAAAACAGAGCATAGGGGTAAAATGGAAAGTTTGTCTATAATCTTGAAAACTAGAGAGAAACTTGTTAATGTAATAATAATCAACAAAACAAGATCTACAAAAATGTATACCGACCGATCCTAATTTTGTGTCCGTCGTAAACTTTTCAATGAGATTCTCCTTTGAAATAAATGAACCCATTTCAACCAAAATAGGGGTGAATGATCCTTAGGATATCTTGTATAAAATTTATGTTGTTTTTTTTTTTGGGTCAATCAATAAACATGGCTGCCATAAGAAAAATAGGATTTATTTGACAAATTATCTTATATCTGGAGAACTATAATAGATAGGTAGAAATCCTTAATGAACGAAACTTTCAGAAATTATTGCCATTAAATCACATTTTTGTGTTTTGTCAATTATCTTATCAATGATCAGTCAGACAAGATCTACAGAAATGCCAAGTGACTGAAACCATTTAATGACTCCTCAAGGAGCTATTGCCATTAAATTACGATTATTTTTTAAATAAAGTTTTGGAAAATTATCTGGAATTTACAATTTTTAAAAGTATGATAGATAGGCTAACACTGTAAAAAGCAAAAATTATCAGCAATTGAAGATCTGCAAAAATGCAAATATGACCAAACCACTGGATGTCCTCATAAACAAAGAATATGTTCCTATTAGAAATGAATATATGATGGATGATAATCATCAGGCTAAACAAACAGTTTATAAAACTAGAATAAGGTGATATCTTAGTGATCACAGATACCCCCACAAAAAAACTAGAGGCTCTCAAGAGCCTGTGTCGCTCACCTGATTCTACTTTGGTTTTGGAAATCTTGTAAAAATAGATTAAAATCATAACAGATACCCTAATAATGATTGAGGCCAAATTTGGTTTAACATTGGCCCCGTAATTTTATCAAAAGCAGAAGACTTTTGTAAAGTTAACAGAAATTACCAATAAATTCATATAAACAACAATTACGAAGTACACATGGTTCTCTAAAAGAAAATGACTTCATAAGGACAAAGACAAATCAGCTACAAAGTAACAACACTTGGTCAGCACCTCAAAAGAAACATTCATACAATGTTTGGTTTCAATCCATTAAGTGGTTTTCTAGAAGAAAACATTTGTATATATTTCCCATAGGGTCCTTTGTTAAACTAAGTCCCCCATTGGCAGCTATCTTGGTTGATGGATTTGCTACAAAGTAACAACACTTGGTCAGCACCTCATAAGGAACATTCCTACCATGTTTGGTTTCATCCCATTCAGTGGTTCTTCAAAAGAAGACTTTTGTATGTATTTCACATAGGGTCATTTGTTAAACTAAGTTCCCTGCTGGCAGCCATCTTGGATGATTGATTGGCTACAAAGTAACAACACTTGGTCAGCACCTCAGTAGGAACATTCATGCGATGTTTGGTTTCATTCCATTCAGTGGTTCTCTAAAAGAAAACATTTGTATGTATTTCCCATAGGGTCCTATGTTAAACTAAGTCCCCACTGGCGGCCATCTTGAATGATTGATCGCCTACAAAGTTGGTCAGCACCACATAAGGAACATTCATGCCATGTTTTATTTCATTCCATTTAGTGGTTTTCTAAAAGAAGACATTTGTATGTATTTACCATAGGGTCCTATGTTAAACTAAGTCCCTCTCTGGCGGCCATCTTGGATGATGGATCGGCTTCGAAGTAACAACACTTGGTCAACACCTCATAAGGAACATTCATGCCATGTTTGGTTTCATTCCATTCAGTGGTTTCTCTAAACAAGACATTTGTATGTATTGTCCATAGGGTCCTATGTTAAAAGAAGTCCCCAGCTGGCGGCCATCTTGGATGATGGATCAGCTACATAGTAACAACACTTGGTCAGCACCTCATAAGGAATATTCATGCAATGTTTGGTTTCATTCAAATCAGTGGCTCTCTAAAAGAAGACATTTGTATGTATTTCACATAGGGTCCTTTGTTGAACTAAGTTCCATGCTGGCAGCCATCTTGCTTGATATATAGCCTACAAAGTTACAACACTTGGTCAGCACCTCATAAGGAACATTCATGCCATGTTTTATTTCATTCCATTTAGTGGTTCTCTAAAAGAAGACATTTATATGTATTTCGCGTAGGGTCGTATGTTAAACTAAGTCCCCTGCTGGCAACCATCTTGAATGATGGATCGGCTTCAAAGTAACACCACTTGGTCAGCACCTCATAAGGAACATTCATGCTATGTTTGGTTTCATTCCATTTAGTGGTTCTCTAAATGAAGTCATTTGTATGTATTTCCCATAGGGTAATATGTTAAACGAAGTCCCCCGCTGGCGGCCATCTTGGATGATGGATCGGCTTCAAAGTAACAACACTTGGTCAGCACCTCATAAGGAACATTCATGCCATGTTTGGTTTCATTTCATTCAGTGGTTCTCTAAAAGAAGACATTTGTATGTATTGTCCATAGGGTCCTATGTTAAATGAAGTCCCTCGCTGGCGGCCATCTTGGATGATGGATCGGCTACAAAGTAACAACACTTGGTCAGTACCTCATAAGGAACATTCATGTCATTTTTTGGTTTCATTCCATTCAGTGATTCTCTAGAAGAAGTTCAAAATGTAAAAAGTTAACGACGACAACGACGGACGACGGACACCAAGTGATGAGAAAAGCCTTCGGGCCAGGTGAGCTAAAAATGAATGGTAAATGCCATTATCAAAATTCAAATTGACAAACATGAACCATATCTTATGTTTCAAGCATTGTGAAAATGTTAAAAGATTTTGTCAATCAGTCCTTTCATTATAAACTGGAAATAAAAAAAAGAAGGTAACTATGGGGAATAACTCTTGAACAGTAAATGCCAAAACCATAAAAAAAAAAGACCTATATTTTATGATCCATTGCAGTGTGTTCGAATTTCAAAATATTTGGTATTGGTACTATAATTATCCTTCAGTAATCAAGAAATACCAAAATTTAAGGTAACTAAGGGGCATAACTTTTGAATAGTTAAGGTCAAAACCTTCAAACTAAATCTGTATTTTATGGTCTATGACATTGTGTTAAAATTTCAAAAGAATTTTGTATAGTGGTAACTTTAGTAATCATTCTGAACTTGTGACACACAGACAGCATATAGCTTTAACGCAAATGTCAAGACCATTAAAATTGAACTTGTATTTTATGGTCCATGACATTATTTTCAAGTGTCCAAAGATTCAGTCTAGCAGCACTGTATTTTAATTATCACCCTGAAACTGATGAAAACTGCAACTTTTAAGGTAACTAAGGGCAGAATTCTTCAGCCATAATGGCAAAACCATCAAAATTAAACTTAACCTGTATTTCATGGTCCATGGCATTGCCTTAAAATGTCAAAATAATTGGTCAAATGGTATTTTCATTCGATCTTGAAACCAAAAAACCCAAATTTTAAAGTAACTAAGGGGAATTACTCTTTCAAATTTAACTTGACCTTGTATTATGTTAAATGATTTTTGTCAAAATTTCGTAACAAAAGGCCTTGCTCAAGTTGAAAAAACATGTGAAATAGTTTGCAATTTTCCAAGTTATAGAGGGGCATACCTCTAGAACAGTAAGTGACTCACTGCCCAAATTCGATCTCTGTCTGCGAATTTTGGTTCTAAGCATTTTGTATGAGTTTCATAAAATTTGAATGAGTAAAACTTAAGTGGAAACAAAAACGGGACAGACTGAGGGAAGGTTGGTCAAGGGTACCACTTAATGCCCCCTTTGCCTTGCTGCGGGGTCATAAAACACAGAACTAATAAAAACACATTATAATGTAACATTTTTATTAAAATATAAACTATGCATTGAATAAATGCTGTATGGGCCAGCCCAGAAAATGTATAAACAATACAATTGTTTACTGTCAACAGTAAAGTTATTTTTGCAAAATTTAATAAATGAATGATACAAGAGTACTAATAGGACTATATAAAGTATGCAAGATCAAGGAACAGTAAACAGACAACTTTTTTGTACATGGAACTATGGACATGTCTAATATAAAAAGGCATTTTTTTACTTTTACTTACGTGTACTATACACGATTTATTACGGTAGTTTATTAAATGATTCAGAAATGTTCGAAAAAGTTGTTTTTAGCTTCATACTCATAGACTTTTAGCGACATTTCAGCTTCAAACTTACCTAACCTCACCTATCCTCTTCATGCCTGTCAGCATTTAAGGCTAAACATAACCTTGGGATATTGCATATGTCAAGAACTTCAAATGTAGCTTTTCACTGATAGTTTGGTTTAAAATAATTGTATTTGCTGAATAGGAAAGTAGAAACAAGAGAGAAATTTTTTTGTAAAAACAAACTTAATTCTAATAATTGCATATTATTCAACTAAATCTGAAGAGTGATATGCAATGATTGCAAATTGTCTCTACCAAAAGTGTATAAAGTGGTAAGGCCATTTTTTTAAATTTTATCTTACTATCTTATCGTAGTAACAGAACACATCTGATATAATTTTAAAAAGTATTTATTACAGGGACAATTCGTCTAAATAATAGTGGGGGCCTCGGTGGCTGAGTGGTCTAAGTACCGGTAGTTACTACTGTAATCACTAGCCAGTCAACACTGAGGTTGTGAGTTCGAACCCCGCTCGTGCACGGTGCACTCGACTCCAATCTTAATTCACTAGGATTGTCAGTTTTCCTATCGAAGGTCTTGGTTTTCTCTGGACACTCCGGCTTCCTCCACCAATAAAAACTGGCCGCCACGAAATAGCCCAAAAGCGGTGCTTAAAAGTGGCCTTAAAACACCAAAAATCAAAAATCAAATCTAAATAATAGTGTGTCTAAATTGCATTGCAAATTCAGATATGGTACTGTAATGAGACACAATTTGAGTATCAAATCTGAGAAGAGTGATCACAATTTGTATGCTTGTTTTATAAATAGAAGACTCAACTATTACTAAGACAATGGACACAAGTCACACAACATGATAGAAATAGCTCAAATAGTCTCCACAGATAGAGAAATAGCTCAAATGGTCTCTACAGATAGAGAAATATCTCAAATGGTCTCCACAGATAGAACATTAGCTCAAATGGTCTCCACAGATAGAACATTAGCTCAAATGGTCTCCACAGATAGAGAAAAAGCTCAAATGGTCTCCACAGATATAGAAATAGCTCAAATGGTCTCAAAAGATAGAGCAATAGTTCAAATGGTCTACTCAGATAGAGCAATATCTCAAATGGTCTCCACAGAGAGAAGACCTCAAATATTATACTGTAAACAAACTTACTTTCTTGACTTTCGAGAGTAGCAAAATAACTCAAATATATATAGTCAATATATCAAACTTGGATCTTCTATTATATAGGTACACTAACAAACTTTGAAAATTCCAAAAAAAAATAAGACGTAAAAAAAAACATATAAAAAACCTAATAATTATATTTAAAATTAAAATGTTAGTAAAACATAGTAAAGGGACGGATTGAGATAACAATGAGAAATAAATTAGCCTTCTTTCTATATAAATTAAATTATAACACAAGTTATTTATTAATTAACAAAAATTTCAAAACATTTATGTTTAACTAAAATATTTAATCTACTCTTGTGATTTGCATATATATTCAAAATTAATTTTGTTTTCACTTTACAAATTTATAATGTTCATCTTAGAAAAAAAGAATTTTCTTTCCCCTATACATTAATCACCATTTATCCTTATTTATTTATAAACTCTTTCCATAAACATCAGAAATGTGACCATTTCAGATAAACTTTCCCTGCTTCCTTGGTCATCATCATACCAAGAAATCCCACTACTGTTTTTGATTTAACCCTAATAACTAAAATTACATATTTCCTTAAATTAGTATCACTTATAAAACTAAATGTTTGAAAATATGCATTTCATCTTGTAAAGATGCCAAATGATTTAAATTCTAGAGACCCTAACAAGGAGCTGAAATACTACGCATCAATTAAAATAGTAATATATGTCCACAAACAATATGTCAAATAGGTTACAATTCTATCATGGATATTTTTATTATGTTGATGATCTATGTTTCTTCTGTTTGTTTGGCTGCTGCTGCCTCCTCTTTTCTGGCTATGATATCCATTAACTCTTCTATCATTGTGATGGACTAAAAAAAGGAACAATACAATTACTAATGACTTTTATAATCAATATGCAATTATTCAATGCTGTTGTTTGAAAATATATACCAATTCTTTTTCAATTGCTTTCATATTGTATAAATTTAGAATTTAAATTAACACATCATTCGATTTATATTTACAGATCTTTGAACTTATAAAAAAATCTATATATATAACATTTTGAATCTGAAAGTAAAATTTTAAACACAAAACTTTGGCAGAAAGTGTCTAATGAGATGAAATCAGCATCAATCCATGTGAAATCAATTATCATATGTCATATAGCTTAATTTTCATAAAATGTGATTACTAAATTATAGATAGTTCGTAAATATTTATCAAATTTCAATAATAATTAAAAATGTTTATCATTTGAAAATAATTTCTTTTTACATATTTCTATCAATCAATTATAATATATATAATGTCAATAACTTTTTCAAATTTATAAAATTTGGAATTTTTTAACAATCCTTTGCATGTACATGAATAACGAGTAAAAATAGTGCTGATTTATTATGTAGGTAGAGCTAATCCTTCTAGAATCTTGGGTTGTTTATATAGTTAGATTGTTTTCATACAGATAAGTTTGTTTTCTTACAATTTGGTAACATATATATAACGAAATCAAATGATTTGTCTTTTTTAGAACCATTATGAGATCATCATTTGTATGAATTGGACAACTACTGTAAATTTAAAACTTAAACAGATAAACTGGCTCAAACTCTACACATAGGTTCACAAATTTTTCATGCAAATTTAAAATGATAAAAGAGTTTTAAAAATTTTAATGTTAAAAGTTGATTCCAAATTGCTTACACAGAACCTATGTTGATCAAAGGCAAAGTTATATGAAATAAGCGGTCACATCTCACCAAATTTCCAACAGCAAACAATTTAAATAAACAATCTATTATATATATTCAAAAAGGAATATGTAATTCCTGGTTAAAAACTGATTAACAAATGAAAGGTTTATGCTGTATTTTTTATGCAACTAATTCAGAATTAGTGAACATATTGATAAGATATTCAGTTTCTTTTAAATACATTGTGAACTACATTCTAGTCCAACAGTACTTGTATCATCCATCATTCTGTCCCACAATTTTGTCCACATATGTAATTGTCTCCAAGTTGGCTAGATAAATATTATATAATGGTGAACACAGATATGCCAGGGACCAACAGATTAATGAACCCTTTAAAACTACCCTAGACACATCTATCACCATATTATATCATTTTATGTCATATGACCTTTATTTCATAGAACTAGGTCATTCTATTCAGATGTAGTTCCATACAAAATTATAAAGCTGTATGTTTACCATTATCTGGATATAGGCATGGACACAGACATGGACACTGAGGGTACTATCATCTACCTCAACTTCATTGAGGCATACAAAAAATCATGGAAACTTGACTTATGACTAACTAAATCTTACCCAAACATAAAATGTTGCTGCACCAGCAGACACATCCCTAATTTCATCCAGTTCATACTTCTCCAGTAATGTTTGAGCTCGTTTAGCATCAGTAACATTAATTTTATCAGGTTTACATTCAATACACCTCCTCTTCAATCCCTCTTTACCAGTCTTACCAACCAATGCCTGAACTGTCTTCCATATCTTCAAGAAGAGTTTTAAACATTGAATAAAGTGCTTGATCTGAATTTGGATCGTGATTAAATATTTGACACAGCATAGGTTTCTGACACAGAATGAATGTAGTCTAAGAACTTCAAAATTTTAAATTGGACATTTATCTATTATGGTCCAATATCCAAAATCTAAATACATGGTTAGATTCAGCATATCAAAGAACCCCAAGAATTCAATTTTTCAACCCTTTGAACGGCATAAAGGGACAACCCGTGGTAAAATCAGGATATATTCAAGCCCCCATGAATTATTTCGATTCTAATAGGACAAATACGGCAATTCTTTTGGATCGAAGCGCTCTAGGTGAAGGCATTATTTGCCGTTCCCATAAATAAACGCACTATTTAATTGATGTAAAAGAACGGAGAAAACTGAATAAATGGCATGCTTAAACTATTTACAATGACATATTTAGATAGGTTTGGATGAATCTAAATGATAATTGTATTTATATGTCATATAAGTAAACAAAAAATGGCTTATATAACACATTTTAGCATCGTTTGTTTACGTTTCCTTGTTGTGATGATTTTCGGTTTCACAAGCTTGTATTTTCCTGTAAAATGCTTATATTCTTACGTCATCATTCTATGACGTCGGGTAGCTCATTCATAAAAAAGCATATGACGCGGAAGTACGATTGGAACAGCCCAAACAATATATTCATATTTTACCACGGGTGTGTACTCAAAGCGTTTGAAGAACGTCATGTTAGAGTACACGGTTAGATTTGGTATATATCAAAGAACCCAAATAATTCAGCTTTTGATGAAATCAAACAAAGTTTAATTTTGGACCCTTTGGACCTCAATGAGGACCCTGTCAATTTAAAACGGGGCCCAAAATCCAAAATCTAAATACACATTAGATTCAGTATATTGAAGAACACCAAGAATTCAAGACTTTCAATTAAATCCCATTGAAATTGGTCAAGTAATAAGCAATTTGTACAATGTATTTGTATTTTTGGCCCCTTTTTCCTAAAAACCATAACCCCCAAAATCAATCCCAACATTTCTTTTTTGGTATGGAACCTTGTGGTACAATTTCAAAGAGATCCATAGACTTATTCTTAAGTTATTATCCGGAAACCAGAAAATCCTTGTTTTTTGGCCCCTTTTTTCTAAACAGTTTGGGACATAACCCCCAATAATCAATCCCAACCTTCCTTTTGAGGTATGGAACCTTGATGTACAATTTTAAAGAGATCCATACATATATACATTATACACAAGTTATTATCCTGTTTGTTTGTGGCCCCTTTTTGGCCCCTAAATCTGGAAACCAAATATCTTCAAACAACGACGACAATGTCATACCATTAAACAGGCGCAAAAATTTTGCAGTCATATAAAAACTTGCTACACAAAAAAGATTTTTACTTTTTCATGTGGACAGTAGAAGCATATAACTTAATACACATGCGAATCAGTTATTAATAATCATACAAGAAATTCTCCGAAAACTACAAACAAAACCATAAAATGCCATTTGAAAGTCAGAAGAAAACTTGAATTGTAAATCCAATTTCATTGTAATTTATAATCAACTTAAAAAACTTAAGGTTACTCAAAAAATGAAAGTAGTGTAATCAATTCCTAAAGAATTTGCAGTTTTAAGTCATTAAAATCTTTGCAGTATTAAACTGTAGCATTCTACAAATTATTTTTCAATGGTTTTACAATAACAAGAACAAAATTTCATTAAGTCATTGAACCGTGAAAATGAAACCATGAAAAACTCACATATGCAAACAAAATCCCCACAAATCATAAAACATCTTTACAACAAGAGTGCACACGCTGAAATGTCTCGCCTGTTTTACTCACCATTGATTTTATGTTGAAAGTCTTAAAGATAAAGGTTTTACTACAAGTATCACATAAACTTAACATTTTTAAAGATCCATGACAATGAGGTCAAGGTCAAATAAAAACTCTCACACAGACATGTACACCTTACAATTATTCCATATACCAAATATAGTTGACCCATTGCTTATGGTAATTGAAAAACAGACCAAAACACAAAAACTTAATGTTAATCAATGAACCATGGAAATGAGATCAAGGTCAAATGATACTGGCTTGACAGACATGTACACCTTACAATCATTCCATATGCCAATTATAGTTGACCTATTGCTATAAGTATTTGAAAAACAGACCAAAACACAAAAACTTAACATTGACCAAATGAACCATGAAAATGAGGTCAAGGTCAGATGACACCAGCTAGACAGACATGTACACCTTACAATCATTCCATACACCAAATATAGTAGACCTATTGCTTACAGAACTTGAAAAACAGACCAAAACACAAAAAATTAACAATGACCAATGAACCATGAAAATGAGGTCAAGGTCAGATGACAGACATGTACCCCGTACAATCATTCCATACACCACATATAGTTGACCTGCTGCTTGTAGTATCTGAGAAAAGGACCTAATCACGTAACTTTAACCTTGTTCATTGATCCATGAATTGAGGTCAAGGTCAGGTTAACCCTGTCTGACAGACATGTAGACGTTGCAAGGAACCCATATACCAAATATAGTTATCCTATTACTCATAATAAGTGAGAAATTTACATGATAAAAAAAACTGTTAATTTTATTTCAAGCAGTCACTGAATTATGAAAATGAGGTCAAGGACAATGGGCATATGACAGCTGGAAACTTCGTAACATAAGGTATCTGCATACAAGGTATGAAGCATCCAGATCTTCTACTTTCTAAAATATAAAGCTTTATACAAATAGTTTACACCGCCGCCAAAGCCGGATAGTAATACCTTTGTCTCGCACACTGCGACTTTTGTTGCAGGGGAGACAAAAATCATGAATTATATTGCTCTTCTACTTTTAAAATATGTAGATTTTTACAGTTAGCTTACATCATTTTTGCCCCTCAATATAGCATATTCTACACTTTTGCTTAATTAGCCAAAAGAAAGAAAATCCATAAATTTGAAGAAAAAAATCTTATTTTACTTGGTTTTCAGACAAAATATTCCTTAATCTATGTACATAGTTTGGACATATATCTTCAAAATGTACACTTGCTTCATAATTCCCATATTTTGATTGATTGCTCAAATTTATCTCACACATTATTAGGCAAATATCTATTAAATATAGTACCTTCGTTTCCTTTTCTTTGTGACCTAGTAACAGGAATGTAGACGTCATGACAGTATGTACAACTTGAGGTGGACTTTGATAACTTCTAATTTCTGCTACTGTGGATTGTTTCAATTGCAAAATTTCATGTCTAATACGTTCTAATCTTCTTAGTCTGGTTAGTAATTGATTAGCTTCCAGGAGCTCCTTAGACAACTCCACTTCAAATCCATGTTTTTTCACAGTTTCTATTGCTCTGGAAAGTTCTTCAAGTTCACGGTGTGTCATTGCTCTCTTCAAATCTGTAAATAGACAATAAAGTGACTAAATTTACATTCCTGATTTTGATATAAACCCTTTCACAGTAAAAATTCCAATAGAATTGAGAATGGAAATTGGGAATGTGTCAAAGAGACAACAACCTGAGAACAAAAAACAGCCCAAGGCCACCAATGAGTCTTCAACTCAGGAAGAAAATCCCGCACCCAAGGGGTTCCTAAACAATAATGTATACTAGTTTAGCGAAATGGACGCAACACTAAACTCCAAAACATATAAATGACATGATGTCGTTTAATTAGGTAAATAAACTTAATATTGTTTTGACAAATGAAATAGAACACAATATAAAACATTAAGAACCTTTTATGAAATTTGAAAGAATTTATCTAAAATTCATAATGTATTAATTGAAATAATTTAACATAAAACTGATGGCAGATCAATTGAAGCTACATTTTATTAATCTAAGTGTTGTTACAATTGTTAATCCAGAAAAAGGGATAATTAAATTGTTACAACTTTTGATGTGTTGACCTTAGGACTGTTCAAGATTTTAAGGCATGGAGGGATGGAAGGCACTTTTTTTAGACCTCAACCACTTGTAATATAAATTTTCATTTTATTTATAATTCTTACAAAATTCTAAGAAAAAATGCAAACACCCACAATTTATTATTTTGAGTACCTCCCATACCCCATGCGTTTAAATCTGGAACAGCCCTTACTTATTTTATAATATTATATAATTAATGTAATTGTTTTCTTTTTTTTCTCTTTCAATATATTACATTATGCATGTATATGAGCAATTTTTATTTTTTGATCATTATCAATACTAATAATGTTGTACTTTTCATTATTGAAAATCTTGCATTGATCATTTGATGTTTTATTTTGGTGTGTTTAATTTTGGCCCTTTCATCTAAGACAACAAGTAACCAAAAACTTATGCAAATATTATGTCTGTAATCCTAGTGTTTTACATACCATCTCTACAAGATATCTCCTTCAGTAGTTTTTCAGCTTTTATAAGATCCATGTCTTTATCTTCAACTTTTTCAGTCTTAAACTCATTTATGGTATACTTAAGTTTGTATGTGTCTCGAGTTTTCATAGCTACTTTCAAGTCATACCGTAGTCTCTTGTGACGTAAACCTGGATTAAAAGATAAGGTACAAAGTGCATTTATGGCTTATGATATTTTGAAAAAAATGTATGCAGTTTTCATCAACCAATTATTTTTCAGAATAAACATCTTTTAAATATTAATTTGAAAATTTCAGATCTTCATTTCATTTCCAGTTATAAATTTGTTTTAATTTTAGCCAAATACCAATTAAAAAAAGATAATTACTCAATGCACAAGAGTGCACACGCTGAAATGTCTCGCCTTCTTTACTAATCATTGATATTATGTTGATAGTCCTAAATATAAAGCTTTATTACAACTGTCACATAAACTTAACATTAACCAAGTAAACTAAACATTGACCAATGAACCATGAAAATGAGGTCAAGGTCAGATGAACCATGCTAGGCAGGCATGTACAGCTAACAATTCTTCCATACAACAAATATAGTTGACCTATTGCTTATAGTTTAAGAAAAACAGACGAAACACAAAAACTTTAACACTGAGCAATGAACCTTGAAAATGAGGTCAAGGTCAAATAAAACCTGCGTGACTGACATATAGATCATAAAATATTTCCATACACCAAATATAGTTGAACTATTGCATATAGTATTAGAAAAAAAGACCAAAACTCAAAAACTTAACTTTGACCACTGAACCATGAAAATGAGGTCAAGGTAAGATGACACCTGCCAGCTAGACATGTACACCTTACAATCATTCCATACACCAAATATAGCTGACCTATTTCATGCAGTATTAGAAAAAAAGACCAAAACTCAAAAACTTAACTTTGACCACTGAACCATGAAAATGAGGTCAAGGTCAGATGACACCTGCCAGCTAGACATGTACACCTTACAATCATTCCATACACCAAAAAAAGTAGACCTATTGCATACAGTATAAGAAAAACAGACCAAAACACAAAAACTTAACTATAACCACTGAACCATGAAAATGAGGTCAAGGTCAGATGACACCTGCCAGTTGGACATGTACACCTTACAGTCCTTCCATACACCGAATATACTAGACCTATTGCTTATAGTATCTGAGATATGGACTTGACCACGAAAACTTAACCTTGTTCACTGATCCATGAAATGAGGTCGAGGTCAAGTGAAAACTGTCTGACGGGCATGAGGACCTTGCAAGGTACGCACATACCAAATATAGTTATCCTATTACTTATAATAAGAGAGAATTTAACATTACAAAAAATCTGAACTTTTTTTTCAAGTAGTCACTGAACCATGAAAATGAGGTCAAGGACATTGGACATGTGACTGACGGAAACTTCGTAACATGAGGCATCCATATACAAAGTATGAAGCATCCAGGTCTTCCATCTTCCGCCGCCGGATCGCTATCCCTATGTCAAGCTTTCTGCGACAAAAGTCGCAGGCTCGACAATAAATAATACAATTGAGATACATCCTTTCCTCACCTTACTTTGGGGCTGCCATATTTTTGCCCTTAATTTAAGCAGAATCCAAGGACAACAATTTAATTTAGTGTGCCCATATTTTTATTAAATTTTATCAAGCAATATTTTCTACAAAAAAAAACCTGCAAGGTTTAGGGAATTTTTCAACAATGTTTTCATCACATTGCAAAAATTTGGTCATTCATTAAATTTCGTCTCCCATTGCAGGGAATCTAAGTCATAATGTGAGTTAATGTGAATTAATACTGTCTGACTTAATCTATAATTGTATGTTTGAATGAAAGGAGATTTGTCCACTAGTCAACTAGAAAAGCATCTCTCTGCCAGTTCTATTGGTTCTTCTAATGAATAAAACATATACCGGTTAAATGATTTAAAAAAATTTTGAAGTGTTTTATCTTTTTCAAAAGACCATTGCTCCACTGAAGACTATAGTCTCATTTGTCAACATTGAATATACATTTGATTATATATAAGTCTAAATTGAAAACAACGTTCAAACCTATGATTGCGTTGGATAAAAACCGCAATTTTTATACGTGTGCATGCAAATAAAATTTCTTCGAAGAGGGGTCTAAATACAGCACAAACAACATTTTCCAAAAGACCAAAAAAGTGAAAAAGTATATTTAAACAAAAAGCATTCGACTAACAGGTTGAACAACGGATGTTCTTAAACCCTGCTGACTGCCATTGGCGATTACCAAATAAAAGGATCACAAGATGTAACAAAATGGTTCTTTAATATTAATTTAATACCAAACAGAAAACAATAAACTTGCGGAAAAGATGGTATACCACAATCATGAGGTGCAAAAAATTTTGTACACCATATCCGGATTTCGACAGTTAATGTCTCTTCAGTGATGTTAGGAATCGAAACAGTATTTGGAAGGCCATATAATTTACCTCAATTAAGGATAGACTCTTGAATTTTGAAGAGTCGAAATAGGATGAATGGATCATATAAACCCGCAGGCAAATATAATACAAGCCCAAACGAAAAATACAAATAAGTCTAAATTGAAAACAACGTTCAAATTATTTATATATACTATTGCCAAGCCCCATCAGGACACCTTGACTACCAAGAAGGTATATCTTACATTTAAAAAGACAGATTTAATATATTTATCAATATCTATCCGAATGATAGAGTGAAAAGTCTCCAATATAAACAAGAGATTTTTAAGATATTAGACAATTAATACATTTTAACCTTTTGTTCTATTTTTAGCATTGATTGATGGCAGAAACAGAAAACATTTTTTTTTAATAAATATCCTAAGGATCATTCAGTTTAACTGTGACGTTAATAGCTCACAAGGCCCATAGGGCCAGCTGAGCTAAAAATCAGGAATAAAAATTCAACCTGGTACTACTATTACTCATAAGACAATTTAACAATTAGAAAATAATTATCATAACTTCAATTGCATAAATACACTAAAACATTGTACAATAAAATTTTTCAGCTGCTTTTTTTTAAGAGAAGAAGTGATCACATTGACAACTTATGGGCAAAAATTGGTGAAAATGTTGGAAATTTTGTGATATAAAACAGCCAAGTAGAAAACTTTTTGGTCAGTTCTAAATAGTGCTCTAGAATTTCTGAGAGCAACAGGCTTCCATGCAATCCCTTATTTCAAAGCCTGATGAATTCTTACGTCTCTGATCCTCTTCATTCTTAGCATTCTTCTCCTCTTCCTTTGCATCCTAAATAATTGAATAGTACATCTATCATAAAAGCTCTTATAAAAAGTCAAAACATTATGCTATAATTTTTAGATTCTTTAGCATTCCTTTTCAAAATGTATTGCAATTGTTCTTAAGAATAGTAACTCTTACAGAAGTAATCCGACATTTTTATATTAGAAAAACCATAAAGGTAAAGCAATTTACAATGCCATCAACAGTTTTCATAAAGATTTCAAGAAAAAATAAAGAAGATTTTTTTTTAGGATGACCCCAATTTAACCCTTCATAACTGGCCTTCATATCCCAATCAAAGTGCTTGTGAGCACTGAAGGGTAAAGATTGCTTGGAGTTGTCTTCCTTTCTTCATAATAGTGCATTTGTAGTTAAACTTATTTTTATAACAGATTCATACACCATGTATTACTTTTTTAATTTTTAATAAAAAATGTTTTCTTGACAAGTATGGTAATTCAAATACACATCATATTCTAACTTAAATATCAAGTATCATCAATAAATTGCATGTCATTGACTTGATAGGATCTAAATAATGATCACTTCACTGCACTATTTTGTTTGAACTATCAAAGGTAGTGATAAACCTTGGAAGATATAGATATCAAGTCAGTGCCATAGGGTTTGATTACATTTCATGCAGTCTTTACCCAAAACTGTACAGTTATGTCAAATCTAGAAACAACTTTAAGATAGAGACTTTTATAAAGAATGCTAACAACGCATCAAAATCTGATGAAAAATAAATGCTCATGGACATCAAAAATTCAGTATTGAATAAACTGAAAAAGTGGTGCCACAATTCCCATGATCAAAATCAGCCCTCGTTTAAACTTTAAAAAACATTGTCTTTAAACTTCATAATAATCTGTCAACTATATCTGAAGTGAAGTTGTTGGATAGAAGTTTTGTGTTTGAAAAAATACAATGCCAGGGGAGATGAAATATAGATATTTTTATACAAAGTACACAAGTTTTAATTCATCAGATAAATAAGTAAAACTGTGCAGAAATCATTCACAGAAGCATTGCTCAGAGACTGATTTAACAGTTTTAAACATGAAACTACACAGTATCAATAAACCATTTGTATTTTGTTTAGGTACTATTGCAGTTTTTAACTGTTTTATCTTTTATAATGATACATGAAATCTATGATTGTAAATAAGCTGTGTAAATATCTGTTTTTGATTGTATTGCGTGTGAGGGCCTCATTGAAGATTATTTTGTTGTAACTAACTGTGTTTACCATCTCTAAATAAAGAATTTATTATATGTTATTATTATTATAAAAATTGTCACCAAAAAATAATAAAGATGGTAGAGTATGCAACACAAGAAGTAAATTGTATGAAACTGTCCACTTACTCTTGCAAGTTTTTCCACATCTTTATATAATTCTTCTTCTTCCTTCTGTCTTCTCTCCCTCTCTAACCTTTGCTTCTCTTCCAACTCTTTCAATCGTCTCAGTTCCTGGTGAGTATAAAAGTCTTATGCATTACTAAATGCAGCATTCAAAATAAATTTGAAGAGATATGTGCCTTATTACAAATCTTAACCAAAGTCCATTGAACATAAATTGTAAGTCACAGTATTCCATAGAATTATTGTAGTAATAAAATATCTGTGGTTTTATGAATAATAAAACAATGAAGCACTTTCTTGCACAATACTGATGCTGCAATATGAAAGTAAATTGACACACAATGGATGACATATAAGAGTGTAAACAAATTATTTCCAAAAATAATTTGAGTTTGCTCTCAGTAGCTGTGAGCATTCTATTGAATAGTATTGTTGTCGAGCCTGCGACTTTTGTCGCAGAAAGCTCGACATAGGGATAGCGATCCGGCGGCGGCGGCGGCGTTAGCTAACTTCTTAAAAGCTTTATATTTTAGAAGATGGAAGACCTGGATGCTTAATACTTCGTATATGGATGTCTCATGTTACGAAGTTTCCGTCAGTCACATGTCCAACGTCCTTGACCTCATTTTCATGGTTCAGTGACTACTTGAAAAAAAAGTTCAGATTTTTTGTAATGTTAAATTCTCTCTTATTATAAGTAATAGGATAACTATATTTGGTATGTGCCTACCTTGCAAGGTCCTCATGCCCGTCAGACAGTTTTCACTTGACCTCGACCTCATTTCATGGATCAGTGAACAAGGTTAAGTTTTCGTGGTCAAGTCCATATCTCAGATACTATAAGCAATAGGTCTAGTATATTCGGTGTATGGAAGGACTGTAAGGTGTACATGTCCAACTGGCAGGTGTCATCTGACCTTGACCTCATTTTCATGGTTCAGTGGTTATAGTTAAGTTTTTGTGTTTTGGTCTGTTTTTCTTATACTGTATGCAATAGGTCTACTATATTTGGTGTATGGAATGATTGTAAGGTGTACATGTCTAGCTGGCAGGTGTCATCTGACCTTGACCTCATTTTCATGGTTCAGTGGTCAAAGTTAAGTTTTTGAGTTTTGGTCTTTTTTTCTAATACTGCATGCAATAGGTCAGCTATATTTGGTGTATGGAATGATTGTAAGGTGTACATGTCTAGCTGGCAGGTGTCATCTTACCTTGACCTCATTTTCATGGTTCAGTGGTCAAAGTTAAGTTTTTGAGTTTTGGTCTTTTTTTCTAATACTATATGCAATAGTTCAACTATATTTGGTGTATGGAAATATTTTATGATCTATATGTCAATCACGCAGGTTTTATTTGACCTTGACCTCATTTTCAAGGTTCATTGCTCAGTGTTAAGTTTTTGTGTTTTCGTCTGTTTTTCTTAAACTATAAGCAATAGGTCAACTATATTTGTTGTATGGAAGAATTGTTAGCTGTACATGCCTGCCTAGCATGGTTCATCTGACCTTGACCTCATTTTCATGGTTCATTGGTCAATGTTTAGTTTACTTGGTTAATGTTAAGTTTATGTGACAGTTGTAATAAAGCTTTATATTTAGGACTATCAACATAATATCAATGATTAGTAAAGAAGGCGAGACATTTCAGCGTGTGCACTCTTGTTTTTATTTAGATGTGATATTTAAATCAATGCTGATTTTATTCAACTTTGATTACTTTTTGTTTTACCATTGGCTGAGCTAATAGGCAGTAGGGCATACTTAATACTGGTAACATAAGTTCCCTCACATGTTAGTGCCTATCCCAAGTCAGGAATTTTTCATGTGCTTTTTCCTTTTGAGAATGTAGTGATCATGTCAGATATTGGTCATTTCTGTTCAATTTATAACAGTCTTGTATAAACTGGGGTCTATTTAGGGCTTGTAATATGGTATGTGCAATCAATGAAACTCCTTCAAAGTATCTTTCTTTTTAACTTGTGTTGTTTATTTGTTGGCCATTAACATGTTTCTATATTTATTAATTCATAAAACTTGACAAGTTACTCTTTGTGCTTCAAATTTTGTATTGTATATAAGACACAGGAATAATGAAATATCCTTTATGTATCATCACAGCTTCTCAAGAAATGAACTTTTACAAATTCAAAATTTAAGCAAACCTGTGTACTGCACATACAAATAAAGGACAATGGAAAATCTATATTCTATCAAAGTTTGTTCATGTATGTTCAGCAGTTCTGTTTCATGTACTTTCATGCATTTATCAAGGTTTTCTTTACAGGAGTACATAAACATCTATTTTGTAATCTTTAAAAGTGAAGCACAAGCATAAAAAAAATCAGATTTAAGAACTGAAGGTGAAACAGAAGATTATAAAATCAAAAAACTGAAGGGGGACAACAAATAGCAAATGATTCAACTTATGATTTTGTTTAAACATGTGGTGAAAAAATCATGGACAATTCAAAATGGGTTCACATAACATAATTTTCTGACTGAACACAATCAAAGGGCAAAAAAGAAATGGCATTCATTTGTTCCTATGTTTATCAAAACATTTACCTCCTCTTCTCTTATTCTTTCTTCTTCCTTTCTTCTTTCTACAAAAAGATTTAAAAAAGTACCTCTCAGATAAATTACATCCTTTCTAAAGAAAAACTTAAATGTAAATAATTTTTCACATAAATACTGTTTTAACAATAATATATCAAGATATAACTAATAAAAAAAATTTATTATACCATTTTATTTCATTTTCGAAATTGATCTCAAATTCAAAATTTTTAAACTTAAGGTAATGTTAATACATGTGTAGTTTACTTATAAAATTGCACCTTTTAACAGCTTTATCAGATTCTTCAATTCTTTACTATGACTGTTTAGTATTGTGAAAATAAGAAAATAGCATGCACACAGAAAAGTAATTGATACTGGAATCATGCAAGGTTGACTTGCTTCTATTGGACTTTACCTGCTTATAACCTGAAAATATGGCTATTGTGAGAAAGCTTAGCATCAAGAAATACCTTATGGTAAGATTAAGAAATCTTTTTTTTTCTATTGTATTGTTGTGTTTCCTATGCCTTGGTGTTCAAATGTTTATATTTTGGAGGAATACACCAACAAATTGTTTTTATTTTTTTCTGTTTTCTAACTGAGAGAAGTAAGAACATGAAAACAATTTAAAAATATTAGTTAAGAATTGTTCCAAGTGAAAGCCACAAATAAAATGTTTAATGAAATAAACACATTCAAAATAGTTGTTCAGGTTAATACTAGTAATTCAGTATCAGCACAACAAACAAAAATTTTGAATCATAGCAATCAAAGATTTAATGTAATACCTAATTTGCTGACTGATAAATATAATTTTAAACATTACTTTACATAAAATTAGTGCCAACAATTACAAACACCAGTACATTAATAAACTGTACACACATGATGCAAAGACATGCATGTGAAATCACTGCATTGGTACTGAACCTATATCATTTTGTATTACTATTCCTTCTTCCAACTGTACTTCATGCTTGTCTATGGAATAATAAGTAGTACATATCATCTGTATAAATAAGAACCATAAATATGCTAGGAATTGCAGAAAAAAGAATAGATAGACATGAAATTAGAAAACTGAAAACTGAAAGAAAACTTGTACTGTAAAAATGTTTGTTTGATGATTTACCAATAAAACAGTGAAGCCTATTCATACTTGATCATACCTAAAAACTGTGTAAATCAAAAATATGTCTAAACTGAACTATTGTTTACAAATGCACATCAAATATTCTTCAGTAAGTTAACCTGTGTAAAATGAACATCTGTGTTTTATCTGAACTAAATATTTAATTCTAAAGGGGTTTGGAATAGGCAGGTTTCACTCTTGTTCAAAGTTTTAAACATTGCACATGATAAGGAAAAGAATAGCAAAATGTAATAAGATTTTTAAGGAGTAGGACAGGAAGGCCTGTTTTTGGTCTTTAAATTATGACTTAAAATGTGCTACTAATATCTTATCTAAAAACCAATATTTATGATCTAAAATATGCAAAATAAACTAAACTAGACATATTTTTCAGTTTACTGTTTGTTTAAAACAAAACAATGTTTTCAGCTTCAAAAGTATAAAATTTAACCAGATTTTAGCCATATTTCCTGTTTAACTGCATTTCAAAGATTTACTTCCTTCTGGAAAACATTGGCCACATCCTTCACCCAAAATTAATTTGTCCTAAAAAGATGTATTTATGTATATGTGTGACAGACACACCATAAAAAAAAATTATGGTAGTGGATGCTTGTGGCCAACGTCAGCTGACATAACTACATGTATCATCATTTTGATAATAGTCAATCAAAATTATGATTTTCATCATTAGAGAGTACAATTGTGTTGTCATAATGAAATTATTACTGTTGAAATTTGTCAAAGCTGGTAGTTATTGTATTTGTCATATATTTTTACATATCTTTTTCTTCAAATCTTTTCTTATATTACTGAATTTAAATTTCATGAAATTCAAGGGCCAATATTGACCCTTCTTGAACCTACTGCATTGCTGTTCTGATTTACAATAAAATCCTTCAAAATTGATATCACTCATATGAAAGTACATTTGTTATTAAAAATAGTGCCTCTCTTTGTCTGTATATCCATTCTAACTTATGATTCAATTATTGCAAATCATTTTTATCCAAAATTTAAACTAAAATTTCTGTTTTAAATTGTTGGCAACTTAAAATAAAAACAAAAAATCTTCATAAAATTTGGGTAAATCTCTATCTATTACTTAGATAATAAAAAAATAATATCACATTTAAATTGTCAAGAAATTAATATTGAAAAACAAAATTAATAAATTAATAGAAATTGTGAAAAAAAAACATATACAACTTGAAAGACAGACATGAGACAATTGTATTAATAAATTCCCCAAGAATTCACTTAGAGATAAAGTCGGAGAACTGAAGAGTTTGAAGACCTTATATGCCATTTGTAAGAATAATATATTAGTTTTATAGATAGACAAGCAAACATCTAACTAAGATATACTCTGATTATATGTTCCACACCTTTTTCTATCTGTCTATTGTAATCTTGAAACAAAACATGCAATTTTTAGTATATTCAACACATATAAATTAATGTATTTTCATTTTAAAAACCTAAAATATAAAAAAACAGGCCCAACAATATGAACTTCACAATAAAACCTTTAACAAGTATAATAATATCTTTCCTTCGTTCTATTAATTGGAATTATTGTATCTAAGCAGGGAAACATAGAACTAAACTTTGTTTTTTTTACTTTAAACCAAGGGGGCCTCTGTGATATTGGTGATTCTCCAGCTTCCTCCACTTATAACATCTGTCCGCCATGATATAGCCAAGGGTTTGAAAGTGGTATTAAACATCATTAAACAATATTAACTATGGAATTAGTTTTGCTCATTGTTAAAGGACATACAGTGTCCTGTAGGGTTTTATTTCATTGTCTTTTGGTCTTTGGTGGATAGTTGTCTAATTTACAATCATACCACATCTTCTAATTCTTATATTAGCTAAACTGCTGATTCTTTCGAAAAATACTATATTCAAAATTATGTTGGATGATGCTAAAAAATTCTTAAGGGGTTCCGCAGAACCCTGTGTCTCGCCTACGATTGCTGCAGTCAGTGTAAAAGTGTAATGTTGACTTAAAAGGTGAGTCCATTTATTAGTAAAATACAGAATTTAAAAAAAAAATCAAACTTTTTCTTTAGATGCTATTTCTTGGTCTTGAAGATTAGCTTCTGTCCAAGTTTCATAACAATCCATGAAGGTTTACAAACTTATCATGTCAAAAAAATTCAATCCCAGGCTGTCTGTAAATGTTAACTGTAAAAACATAAGTCCATCTATCAGAAAAATACTGAAAATGAAAATATATTTTCAAAACTTTGCATCAGACATCAGCTCTTAATCATAAAAAAGCTTCTGCCAAAGTTTCATAAAATTCTATGAAGGTTTGACAAAGTATTTGATGTGTAACAAACTTTAACCCTAGACTGTATCTACTTGTTAACTGTAAAAAAAAAACTAAGTCCATTTATCATTAGAATATGGAAAAATGAGAATAAATATTTTCAAAATTTTGCTATGGATACTGTATTTTGATCATAAACAAGCTTCTGTCCAAATTTCATAAAATTCCATGAAGGTTTGACAAAGTTATTGATGACTGAAAAACTTTAACCTCAGACTGAATCTGAATGTTAACTGTAAAAAAATCTAAAAAATCTAAGTCCATTTATTAGTAAAATATGAAAAAATGAAAATAAATATTTTCGGAATTTTGCTCTGGATACTGTATTTTGGTCATAAACAAGCTTCTGTCCAAATTTCATAAAATTCCATGAAGGTTTGACAAAGTTACTGATGTCTAAAAAAACTTTAACCACAGACTGAACCTAAATGTTGACGCCGCACCTACCGGAATCTAGGATCGCTATGTCTCACTTTCGCGAAATAAAAAAAAGCAGAGTACTTATTATACATCAATTTTTATCTATCAAAATTCCTATGAGCTTGAAAAAGATGGGCAAGTAGAAAATATTGTTTTTCAATGGGAAAATTGTTTGGTAGTTGGGAATTAAAACATACATCTTTATTAAACACTAAACCATGCTGCATCTAGTTTTTAATAATGACTACATAATCATGCTGAGACAGAGTTAGTAAAAATGCTATCAATCTCTTTTTAGCGTATGTAACAAAGCATTTACTTTTAAAACTTTTGTTCTCAACCTAGTGCTTATAATCGCAAACTGTGATAACAGAACCCTAATACATGTGTCACCACATCCTCACATCTACCTACAAAACTTATATACAATCTGCGAAAATCCTGATAGTGAGATAAGCCTTTCCAACTGCCACTTACAAGCGTTTCAGCAACAGTGTTCTGTGATAACCTTATCACTATGTAAGAGTGAATAGCCTTAATCACAATCACAAACAATCATGCTTGGTGAGAATTCAATTCCTACATCTGAGTGTCACCAGCTTTTAATACAATCCCCTATAAGCCTATATGTCACAATCTCAATCCAAACCTCTTTCAGAAACCTCATCATCATCAGATTCATTGTTATCTTCAGGATTGAATTCGTTTTCATTGTAACCTTCAGGTTCATCAGCATTGACAAATATTTGAGCAACTTCATCATCAGCCTCAAGTTCTTCATCTAAATCAGCTACTGCAGACAGTGCCCTTGATTTTTCTACATTTATCCAAAACTTTCAGATATAAAATGACTAAAAAGTTTAAGCTGTATAACAATTTTGTTGATATTTCAATACTACAAAAAATACTAATGACTTCCCTCTGTTAGTCAAATGTTAAAATACATTGTATACTATATACACATACTAAATAATTATTTCTATTTTCTTACCTTCATCATCATTTAGTTTCCTGATACGTTCTCCCTCTAATCTTTTGTTCTCCTGCAAGGTAATGAAAAAATAATTTAAACCCAGCATACACCCCTTACCAATGACTTAACATTTTCTAAATATACATATGCTAAATATATGTACACAATTCCCTACAACAATACTCTTTAGTAATGGCAATCACTCATGTATTGATTGATCCTGAATATGCATTAATATTTGCACCTGGACATAAATAAATAACAATCAATGCATAAAAAGGAAATAAAAGAAGGCATACCTAAGTCAGGAATCTGATGTTCAGTAGTTGTCGTTTGTTGATGTGGTTCATAAGTGTTTCTCGTTTCTCGTTTTTTATATAGATAAGACCGTTGGTTTTTTCTGTTTGAATGGTTTTACACTAGTAATTTTTGGGGCCCATTATAGCTTACTGTTCGGTGTGAGCCAAGGCTCCATGTTGAAGACCGTACTTTGACCTATAATGGTTTACTTTTTTAAATTTTGACTTGGATGGAGAGTTGTCTCATTGGCACTCATACCACATCTTCTTATATCTATATAATTTAGAAAGCTGGGTCAACATGTGCTTGATACTATAGGAAGCTAGCTTTGATAGCTAAAACAAATGTAACAACTACCAGCTCAAAACTCAGGATTTGGTTGATTATAAATAACTTTTTTGGTTGTCCTTCTAAATTTGACACAGAAAGTACATATTTGCTTTACAGATAGTACATCCAATTTGTTAATGATAATAATATTACTCATAATGGTGTATCAAACCTCATCTTTTCTTCTTCTTTGTTCTTCTCTTTCTTTCCTTAGTCTCTCTTTCTCTCTTTCAATTTCTTCCTCTGCCAATCTTTGTCTCCTTAATTTAGCTTTTAAAAAATTAAATATCAATCATGTACATTTGTACTAAACTTTATTCTGAATGGTTCTTAGATGGTATACTATGATACTTGTGGTACTTTGGTGGATTGTTGTTATCTTTTGTCTTTTTTTCTGGTAATGGTGTTGTATGTCCTTCTTTTTGACTTTGAGATTTTTTTGCCCCCCAAACACACACACTTGGTATTTTCTTATATGTTTGTGATTTTAACAGTATATATATAATTCATGCGGAAAAAGAAACCTTGATAAAAAATTCCTTTGCTCACCTTCTCTCTCTTTATCAGCTTCATTCTGTTCATCTTGTACCTCCATACGATTTGGTATATCACATAACATAACTTCAATCTCTGCAAATGATACACCACTCCCTGGAGCTGGGCGATGGGTAACAAAATATTCCCACTTTCTTTTAGAGAAATATTTACCATGTACTGCTTGCACCATCCATCTACAACAATGTAATTTGTCTTATGGTCAACAAACAGTCATAACTTTAACATCTTTAGGACAAATAATTTAGGTTCCACAACAGTCTGGCCCATTTTTCAAGATTTTTCATTCTAGAGGTAGCAAGAAAAGTTTTAGAATATATTAACTAAAGATAATATAATCTTTGTCTATTTTTAACCTTTAATTTGTGTACAATCAATGTGCACAGTTTGAACAATGTTGAAAGGAAACTGTTGGAGATACAGATAACACAAACTAGATTCCCTCTAAAGCATTCGATTATAAAAAAAAGCCTTAGTTCCACACATGGTTCTGATGGAACGAGTAGAGCAGTCACTAGACCTGCTCTGGCCTCATGAAATGCAGGTAACAAATACCATCTGGATTCCTTATTGGAAACTGATAATTACATTTGGAAATTAATAAGATGCAAGTGTGACACTTGATACAAGGTTGAAAATAAATATGTAAGTACACATGGTACAAGTTACGTATAATTATCCTTTTATTCTTAAAAGAAGTTTTAAGGATGTATAAAACAAAAGGCAAAAACTTTATAACATTTTGGCATGTTTGATAAAAATTTACACATATCTATATTTATTCCAAAAGGAATAAATAACATGCTTTGTAAGGTGAACGTTAACTTTCATATCAATGTTTATCAAAAACTTAATATAAAAATAAGGAGATGAGATATGATTCCCAATGAGACAACTATCCACCAAAGTTCAAATAAAGTGGATGTAAGCAATTATAGGCAACCGTACAGTCTTCAACAATGAGAAAAACCCATACTGTATAGTTGGCTATAAAAGGCCCCAACATGAAAAATATAAAATAATTCAATTGAGAAAACTAACGGTGTTAGGTTTTCTCTTCTGAATTTATAACAAAACAATTTATGAAAAACAAATATGACAGGTATGAACCAACTACAATCACTGAACTAAGTCCAGTGAGGTTACAAACTTCAAAGGGTGTACTTTCAATATAAAAAGAATTATGTACAAAATCTTGCCCTGGATATTCCAGTCTTTTTTACAGGAATATGGAAAGTTGAAAGGAGATAACACAATTTTTGAAATATGTTTGCATTTGTACTATTGCTAAAAATAGGGTTTATGTAGTTCATACGTGTTTCTCGTTTCTCGTGTTTATATAGATTAGACCGTTGGTTTTTCTGTTTGAATGGTTTTACACTAGTAATTTTTTGGGGCCCTTTATAGCTTGCTGTTCGGTGTGAGCCAATGCTCTGTGTTGAAGGCCGTACCTTGACCTATAATGGTTTACTTTTATATTATAAATTGTAACTTGGATGGAGAGTTGTCTCATTGGCACTCATACCACATCTTCCTATATCTATCCATAAGAAAAAAATAAGGAGATGTGGTATGATTACCAATTTGATAAAATTACAATGAAGGGCTGCTTGTTCTCCTGGGAAGTATCATAATTTGAAAAATATTCTGATATTCAATAAACTTTATAAAACTTTACAAAATCAGAATCCATCTTTAATCAATCATGTTTATTGTTATCCCAAGGAGAAATGTTTGGCTTTGTCTAATCATTCATGTTTATTGTTATCCCAAGGAGTAATGTTTGGCTTTGTCTAATCATTCATGTTTATTGTTATCCCAAGGAGTAATGTTTGGCTTTGTCTAATCATTCATATTTATTGTTATCCCAAGGAGTAATGTTTGGCTTTGTCTAATCATTCATGTTTATTGTTATCCCAAGGAGTAATGTTTGGCTTTGTCTAATCATTCATATTTATTGTTATCCCAAGGAGTAATGTTTGGTTTTGTCTAGTCATTCATATTTATTGTTATCCCAAGGAGTAATGTTTGGTTTTGTCTAATCATTCATATTTATTGTTATCCCAAGGAGTAATGTTTGGTTTTGTCTAATCATTCATGTTTATTGTTATCCCAAGGAGTAATGTTTGGCTTTGTCTAATCATTCATGTTTATTGTTATCCCAAGGAGTAATGTTTGGTTTTGTCTAATCATTCATGTTTATTGTTATCCCAAGGAGTAATGTTTGGTTTTGTCTAATCATTCATGTTTATTGTTATCCCAAGGAGTAATGTTTGGTTTTGTCTAATCATTCATCATAAGTCATCACTTATACATCATACCTGGCCTTATCTTCTGATATACAATCTGTTTGATTTCTGTCTAACATGGAGAACTCCCATCTAAAGTCATTTAGTAGAAAGTAACGTCGATCCAGCTCTTGCAATAAGTTGTAAAGTTCTGACATAACACAGCTCCCAGTGACACACACATACTTCATTGCTGCAACTACCTGAAGACGGTTTATAAAATCAAGTATGAATTTACATACATTTCTTCAACACACTAATCATTTTTATTTAGATTCTGTTCTACACCTGAATGCTGAGTGTTTAGTCAGTGGTGAAAGTACATAAATACAAAGTTTAATGGAGTTTTCTTTTCCTTTGACATACTATAACCTTCTAAATTGTTTCCCCTTGGGATTTGCAGTCATCTCAGTGGGACATTTTTTAACATCAATAATTTGGAAAGGAACCTCTCTTTAGTTTTATTCATAAAATTTGTTCACCTTAATAAAACATAATTTTAGGTAACAGAATCCTTTTTCGGAAAAGAATCTCTTTCCTCAGATGATATTTGGACAAGTCATGTACTTCAGGCAGGTACATTATTTTTTAAAGCTGTTTATGAAAATCAATTGTTAAGAGCTTGCTTTAGTAACCATGAGCAATTAATAAAACAATATATAATTTAGTATTGTTTTACTTTCAACTGTATTTGGGCATATGACATTTGCGCCGATTTTTACATCGCGATGACCTTGAGGTCATCCCGATGTATTGCTATCGCCTAGATTTCCATTATGTAAATTAGTTTTGGGTTTGTAACCGATCTATAAACATGATAAATACGCGCACATAAACGAGTGCAAAATAACATTCCTTATCGTTTGATATAAATACATCTCTTCAATGAATACTGATAAAAATATTTTTGTTTACAACATAAATTAATAATATGAAAATGTTTTGTAGTTAGATATATATATATAAGTAAAAAATCATTGATAATATCAATGCACACGTACCGAAAAATTGTGTTAAAGCATGCGGAAGAATATCTCAAAAAACGTTTTGTGAAAATACCGTCAAGGACCGGTAACTCTGTAATTGATTTTGCGGGAAAATATGAATGCCTACTGGTATCCAATCTTAGAAAAATCGAATTTTTACAGAAACGTGTCCACCATGCACTTGCATTGCACTATTTTTAGAATAGTAGAATAGAATGATATACAAATGGATTCAAATCATATATATATGTAACTGTTATTTTAATATAATATAAACAACAACTCATGCAGTGTATACTGATTTGTATCACTACAATATAATAGTTATTACGGTGAAGTTGAATTTCCTGCCATTTATTCATTATCCACGCACGAACTTGTCTCAGAAAAAAATATATCTCTGTACATTAACCTCAGTTTTAGGTAAAGAGATATGTTTTTTTTTCTGAGACAAGTGCTTTTGACCATCCTCAAGAACTTGTGGTCATCCGATGTTCAGTACTTCAGTACTTTGATTTAAATTTTCCATCTTTCATTTGCGCCAATTTGATTTTTTCATTTGTGCCCATTTTGATTTTTTCATTTGTGCCGATTTTGTACAGGTAAACTAAAGGTGAATGTTATTTTTATTTATCATTATAAACCTCTTCCGTTCGCCAGTTGTACACATGTTATGAATGGTCAATTATAACATGTATATAACTGCTGTCCCCTGCAAGTAAATTTTTGTTGTTTTCATCTGGCTCAGAACTGGTGTTACACTAAGCACAGAGTATAAAGACAAATCAAGTGACACTGGTAAATGCCAATCGCAATTTTTCGGGCTACAATTCCTTCCCTCAGATGAAATCGAAGACTGCTTCATGTTTAACATAATGTCTAACGCTCCTTCTGATGACAAATGTCATGCATTGTTAGACTACGTACTAAGTACTTATATAATTATAATTATGCTCAACTTCACATTATGGACCTCATTTCTGGGTAGCTGCACCCATTGAAAACTAAAAGGATCGACAAATAACAGTCCAGAATCATTACAATGAACAAATTATAACATATATACAATTAGCTAACGGAAGAGGTTTACCATGATAAATAAAAAAATAACGTTCACCTGTATAAATTTACCTGTATACAAATCGCCGCAAATGAAAGAAAAAATGGGCGCAAGTGAAAGAAAAAATTAGCACAAATGCAAAACGCCGGTATATTTCTCTCATTCATTCATGTTAGTGATTTTTTCTGACTGAATTTTATTGTACATTATTTTGTGCCATTTACCTGATAATTATTCCATTTTTTTAAATTTAAACAGGAAGGATTGAGAGTTTTTAAAGTGTTAGTTTAATATGATTAAATGTATATATTCTGTAATTGTCATTCAGACAGCAACCCAACAACACAAAAAAATGCCATATGTTAAGATGCCTGTCACAATTTGTTGGTGGTTGCTTTTAACAATATTGAAATCTATTTGTACCTTTTTACCAGAAAATTCAACCAACAAAACTTGCTCTTATCTAGCTTTTCAGGAGCTTGTAGTTCAAATAAATGTATATCTATTTTTTGCTTGTAAAAGAGTTGTCTACTAACAGTTTTTATCATTCCATTTTTTTCTATTTCTTTTAATTTAAGTTTAGGTTATCATTACATCCACTTCATTTGAACTTTGTTGGATAGTTGTCTCATTGGCAATCATACCACATCTCCTTACTATTACATATCGTTTACATTATAAACCATTATACATGTAGTATAAATGTCTCATCTAATTTTTTTGAAACTGGTATAATTTTAAAACTTTATCAAGACTTTCAAAATATATAAAATGTTAGGTAATGAAATCAATTGTGTTCAGGTTAAACAGGTTGATTCATGTGACTTTACTGTTATGGAGATAAGTTAGAGTATAAATGGCCAGTTTTGGTTCGAACAACTTACATTTTTTAAAATAGCTCATGATAAAATAAAGATAGAATTGAGAACATGTTAGAAAATTGGTTACCACATTCATGTTTAATGCTGCAATGAAATCATAAATGGACAGTGTTAATATTTGTCTGATAAATTTGTCTGGCTCTCCATTTGAAGTTTTCCAATATTTTCATTGAGAATAATAAATGTATAGAATTCAATGCGTTGAGAGGTCATGCCTTAAAAGTGCGTTAGAAGATACATTAAAAAATTAATATTTTGATTGTTATTACTACCTGTGGTAAACTAACACTTCCCATTCGTAGATCACCATATAACATCTGTACTTGGATAGGTGTTAACTCATCTTTTGCATGATGGTCATATTGACTAAACACTGCCTTTAAAACATCACTCCTATTCGTCAGTAATTCACCCATGTCTATGAATTTTACCTGTTGTTTATATCTGAAAAAGTATTTTTTGTTAAAATAATTTTCAATGAAATGATTTGCATTGTTTTAAATAGAAAGCAACACAATTTTGTTCAAATTCATTTGTTCTATATGAATTCTAGTAATTAACTATTTGTGTGATAGTGAATGATTTGGGAAAGTTACCCTGCATTCAACCTTAAAGCTTTTTACTTTACATACATGTGTAAATAATAGATGCAATATACATATATGGTATCCTTGTATCCTGCTTCTGATTCTAACAAAAGGTTAAAGTCAAATTACTGTAAAAGTCTTTCCAGACCACCATTAATCTATCTTTATTTCATTAAAATACAAATTTAATGGCTTGGGCTTGAAGTAAAAAACTACAAATGAGCTATACACAAATGGTGTTTAAGAATAAATGTTAACTTTCAGGATTCAAACAATATTCATACATTGAGGGAAAATATACAATTTATTGGAACTCTCTGTAGAACAGGAGAAAAGCTTGGTGAACCCCAATTTTCATGGTTTTTCTTCCTGTTTCTAAAGCTCTTACAAATAAATTTTAAATTTTCCTACAATATACATATATATAATGATTTGGGAAATTTACCCTGCAATTAACCTTTTTACTTTACATATACAGGTGTACAGATAAATGGAAGCAATATACATATATGGTCTCCTTGTATCCTGCTTCTGATTCAAGCAAAAGGTTAAAATCAAATTACTGTTTGTAAAAGTCTTTGAAGGCCACCTTTAATCTATCTCTATTTCTAAGGGGCAAAGGAACATCACTGTCCAACACAGGAAATTTAGACAGCTTGTTTTAGGTGAAAAGCAAATAAGTAAGGAAGGTTTGAAACCATTACAGAGGATGAAGTCCTCATAACTGTAGGATTATCAATATAAAGAAAAACTATATACTTTGTACTACTTTTTCATACTAGTGAAAAAGATAACTTTTTTCACACATTTGATGGAGGCTGCCATGTTTTAAAGTATACTTTTTCCTGCAAAAGAGTTGGTTTACTAACTTCTAACTTTTGCCCTGAAAATTTGAAAATTTTTAACTGAGATAATGTTGTGAAAATTTGATGAATGCATTTGTTAAAATGTCTCATTGTTTCAGTTTGAGAAAAATTTCACTAATTGAGACATTAGTACTATAAAATTGAGAATGGAAATTGGGAATGTGTCAAACAACCCAACCAAAGAGCAGAAAACAGCCGAAGGCCACCAATGGGTCTTCAACACAGCGAGAAAATCCCTCACCCAGAGGCCTGTTTAAGCTGGCCCCTTAACAAAAATGTGTACTAGTTCAGTGATAATGGACGTCATACTAAACTCCAAAACATATAAATGAACTAAAACTAAAAATCATACAAGACTAATAATGGTACCTGACTTGGGACATGCCCAAAAATGCGGCTGGGTTATACATGTTTTGTGAGATCTCAAACCTCCCCTATACCTCTATATGTGTATTCGTCATAACAAAAATGTAAGTTAAGTTTTTGCATAATTTGGCAAAACTTATGACAGTTTTCTGAAAAATTAAGTGGTGCCAACCCTGGACCACAAATATTTTTGCTGAAATATTCTTTATTTACCATATTCTTCACATTTCAACCAGAATTCAATGGTTGAGTAGTGGCACCACATATCAAATCATGGAAAAAAGACAAAATGGTTTCAAATTTCTAGAAAAAATGGACTAAAATAAATATTTCTATTTCATTCTAATGTATTTATAATTTATAAAGCAAATATATGAATTTTCTTATTATGCTTTCAAAAATAATACATTTAGCAATAAATACACATTAGATTTACTCAAACAATTGAAGCTAAAAATAAGTACATTGACACCATTACAGACATTAAGGAAAGCATTGGGACCCTCAGCCTGGGACAAGGCATATCCATAACCCTATTTCGGATCCCAAGCCATGCTAATATAGCTAGGAACAAGATATTGTACCAGTTGGCAAAAGATGCAGCAAAGGAGGCCCCAACACTAAATGACCAATACCATGTCGGATGTAAGAATTGTAGTCAGGATGTCAACAAACTGAAATGGCAAAGTAGATGGACCATAAGCAAGACTGGGAGACAATTGAATGATCTTGTAACTATTGTTGGTAAAGTTGTCTGACTCGATTAACCAAACCCTGAAATAGGGAGAATTTTGTCTGAATTACTAACAGGCTATAGAGACTCAATAAGTACCGCCATCAAATAGGCCAATCCCTCAAGCCATATTACGAATGTGGTGAAGAAGAAACACTTCCTACTTACATTTGTAACTGAGGGTGATAAAGGGTAATTTTCGTGCAACATTTTCTGCCTTTTTATTTCACATGTTTTCGTGTTTTGACGTTTTATTTCTCGTTTCCTTGTATTTGATTTGATGTGCGTGCTTCGTGTTTCCCCTTATTTATTTTCCATGTTTTGTGTCGGTACTCTTAATTTCTCGTGCTTGTCCCGCATTTGATTAAAAAGTAAACTGGGACTAATTCAAAGTCAGCCCTGATATAATGCTAAATGTTATGATGTAAAATTATGTACATGTATTAATGAACTGATTCTTAGGATATTAATTGCTCTCTTCATTAATAGCCTATCTAAGTACTTAAATAACTACTTTTGCAATTCTATTGTATAGAAACTATTAAATAAAGTCCATCAATTTAATATGAATAATATTTTTTTTTTCATAATCTTATTTCACGTGTTTCCGTATACAGACCCCCCCCCTAATACCACCCTCTTAACTGTGCAAGATATCAACAAGAAATAACAGAAATGATATGACAGTTGAAGACATGGCAGCACTACTGGCACCAACAAGCAAAGAGACTTACGAAAGAATAGCACATATCATTGGAGAATATTTAGAGAGTACAGGGTGATTTCTTCAAAAAACTAATATGCCCTAAAATCTTATCCTGCACCTAAAAAGTACACTCAAGTACCGTGAGATACTACTTAAAGAAAAAGAGTACCAGATGAAACAATTAGCACAACCTGACAAGTTGTGTCAATATTATGACAATAGGATCAGAAAGTCCATTGAAATTAACCTAGATTGATATAAGCTTCACCTACTAGAAAATCTGGAAAAGGACCTCCTGTAGTTGTGATCACAATACTGGTTTACTTAAGCTAGGGTGTTTTAAAAGGAAAATGAAGGAATTATACTGGCAAAAAGGGTGGACAGGATTAAGAGAACATGGGTATGTGGGGCATGAAGTCAGGGGGTGGGAACTGGGGAAGAGAGGGAATAAAAATAGGGATATTCCTGGAAAATTTGTTTTGACTGATTTTCGTCTAGGAGTAAGGGAAGGGAAGGGAAGTGGGAAGTTCGAATTAAATCACCCCTCGTCCACCCCCTCCTGACAAGTGCTTCACAAGCCACATGCATTCCGTCAAAACTTACTTGAAGTTGATTCTTCACAAAAAAAAAAGTACAAAACATATTTGAAATACGATATAGTGCGTTTAAGGATTTAAAAGAACTAACATTTATGTCAGATCAACCTTCTATAACATATTCTCGTGATCTGTCAAACGGCAGCCATTTGTAAACAAATCGCTTTTTAAAGACCATTCTATAAAATCAAATTTGATTAGCTTAAAGGTTTTATATTGTCCAATTAAAAAGACGATATCATACAAAAATCTCTTCCGTCAATTCAACAACATGGCAGAAAAATAAGGGTGTCTATCAACTTCAGTCATTTAATGATTTATTATTTTACATGATGACTTGATTTTTGAACCATAAAGATGAATGCTGACATTGAAAATAATATTCGCCAAAATCATCCATGGACCAAATTGCCACCAAATCTGAAGCAGGTGTGCCTAATGACCACATTATGATATTTTAGTAATCCTTAGTAAAATATTCTAAACTACAAAAAAGATTTAAATATCTCCTTAAAATATGTATCCCACAATTAGGTTTAATGATGTTTTCACTTGGACCTCCTTTCATGCAAACAGAATTTTATCAGTATGTTCTCAGTGACCAAATTATATGGGTCCCTGTATTCTCATTCTGTATCTTTTATATATTATGGGTCCCATACTTGATGTTGCAACTGGTGCCTTTTTATGGAAGTTTTTGGCCTCACAAAGCAAATATCTTCATAACAGAAGGTTCCATGACAAGTTTTCTCCCTGTGACCCCAGGTCAATGTGGACAGTTTAATCATGTAATCGAAATTGGAAATTCATCTTTTCCCAATTAAAATTTTCACAGTACATTATTCAACAATCAATTGATTTCGACAACAGTTGAACTCCTGTTGTCTATTCAATCAATTCATCAAATCAACACAATTTGAAAGAATTCCCGATCATCATGAATGAAACGATCGATAATGATTGAACAACCTCTGTCACATAGATCAGTCCATCAAAATGATAAAGGAGACTTGATGGTTACCAGTGAATATTAGCTAACTATTCAATCAATTCATCTATTTGAAATGGATCAAAAAGACAGATCATAATTGATCATCGGTTGTTAATTCAATCAACTCTTTACTAATATGGAAGGCATGATCATTACAATCAACACAATCGAAAATAATTGAACACCAGCTGTCGATGCAATAAACTCTTAAATAAAATAGGAAAGGCTATTTCATTCATCCAATTCTTCAAATCTGTACAGAAACATTACAAAACAAATGCTCTATTTCATTCTATTTCATTTCAAACAAGAAAGTAAAAGAATTGATTGAGTTGATCAACAGTGGCACGATTTTATCGATTGAATACGATTTATACGATCATGCCCCTTGTTAATTGAAGTAATAGAATCGATTGAGTTGCAGAAAACTTTTTCTGAGTCATAATCATATAACTTGGATGTTTCAAAGCACCATACTTATTCATTTGGTGTTCCTTTAAAATATTTTGGTAATTTGAGGTGACTTGGTTACAATAGCTTGTAAAAAGAAGTAAAGGGATGATCATGAAAAGTTGATTTGATTACTTCAAGTGCAAGTTATTTTCTTATATGCAATGATATGTTGAGCGAAATTTTCACTTAAGTGCTGGACAACATGAAACCATATTCATACCAATTATTTCTTTATTAGAACATACTCACCCCTCCTCGTCCAATGAAAAATCAGTTTTTTCCTTCTAATTTTCATAGTACATGGCTTTCCATGCACTATAAAATGCTATACATGAATGACTTTTCACTGTAGATTAATTATGAAAGTGTACTCCTAATAACTACACTAATGAAGTTTACAATCCCCTGAGGCAATTTCCTTGGGAAAATAGCCTACTGATTAAAGATGAAAGAGAAAAGATTTATAAAAACATTTTGAATTTTGCAAATGTTTATCATGGTACCTATATATAACAAACAAAAAATGAAATGGGGACAAAGATGTAGGTAAAATAATCTTATATTCAATTTTCATACCAGACATTTGAGTCAGTTATTTTTCTTTCTTTTAAGAAAACAATGTCAGACTGCTGATATATAAAGCAAAGGATTTTTTTTTTAGAAAAAAAACCACAATACATGTACATTCATCAATAAAAAGTAAGCATCTGATGTTGAATGGTGGTATTTTAAAATATTTATAGAGTGAGTTTTATGATTATAAAAAAATATACAAATTTCAAAAAACTGATTTATATAACATTGTGTGCTTTTTAAAATCAAGAAATTTATGGTATATGTATTAAATTTTACTTGACGCAGAAGAAAAACCCAAAGTTTGAACAATTTATCCTTTTTGTCCTCACAAAACTATGTTGGTACTATTTCATTCCATCCATTGAAATGATCATTACCTATGTTATACGTTCGTTTTATTAACCTAGTTAACGCTTCATTACAAAAAGTGAATTCTTATTAAGGTTTTAATATTACAATGGGAAAGGATAATTTTGTAAGGTCACTCGAAAGTGTGAATATGTTCTAAATTGGTCAGACAATACTTGGTCATGTTTTATGAACATTTAAAACCCTTGGCTACGCCTTGCAGGCCATAATCTTGCCGGTGAAATGACGATTTAAGTCGCCAAAGAATTTTGAAAATTGCTAAATCTCGCCAGCCGACTGACTTCATGGTGAAGTCAAATCGCTATGAAAATCGGTAAAAGGGAGGCAACTTCTGAATTACAAGTCTCCCAGGTAAAAAAAATGGCGACTGACAAAGAAAATCTAGATTATCGAAACGACCCAAGACTGATACTATCGATGATCAAATTAAATAAATACAACGGCAACTTTGAACATCCTTGAATATAACATTCAATACTATTCAAACGGAAAACTGACCGTCTGTTAAAGTTATCATTTTACGATGTTAATTACCTGAGGATGTTGCGTAATCACTCAGCTGATTTGTTTTATTTTTATTTATTACGAGTCGATCAAATTGTACTATTTGGTGGGTTAAGGGTGGGAATTAACGGTAGATTTATTATGTTCATTGAATAAAAATTGAAATATAAAAGGTAGAAAGACAGCTGATGGATAATGTGATTGCAAACGTACGACACTCGACCAGCAGTGGATTTTTTTTTCACAACAATTTCGTTGATAGGGAAGATATCTTTAAAAAATAATAGAAATTAGCTCTGTATCGGTTAATTAATATGCGATTGACAGATATTTTCATTTATAGGCTTACAATCTTTAACGAGAATCTCAATTTACAACTACATGTAACATGATGTCCTGGACATTCAATAATGTTTTACGAAATAATGACAAGTGGTGATATAGATTATAAATTAAATTCCCAGTCATGTGAAATTCATCAGGTAAACTGAGAGTCATATTTTTCTGGACATTTAAAAATGAATTGAGGCAGATGGGTGAGATGCACACGAATTTAATGCATCATAATATTACTAGGCTACTCCCTCATGTCCCAAGCAACAAATTTTATTTAAACTTAAATTCAAGTTGACAGTACTAATGGTATCAATGAATAAATAACAAATATATTGTCTAAACCTTTCTTATTAAAAACTTTCTATATATACATTTTGTACAATAACATGAAAAAACTGCAAGTATATTTTTTATTGCATATAAAACAATTTCCTTAGTGATAAGCACGAGAACACTATGCAACCGAAACGGCAATGGAATCTCACTTCAAGAAATTGACCACTTCTCCCTCCTCTCTCATGGAAGGAGAAGTCACTTCTCCCTCTCCAAAATCCTAGATTAGGCCCTGACGCCTTGGGCTTTAAATCTTCATAAAACATGACCAGGTATTGTCTAACCTATATTTCAAAAATGTCATTTTATGTATAAACAATGGAGAACGAGCCACCAAAAGTTGATTAAACAAGAATGACCAAAAAAAGTGTGTAAAACTGATTTGCCGGACTGACAGAAGGACAGACAGACGGACAGACAGACGGACAGACTGACAGACAGACAGACGGAGTGCAAACCTAAAGTCCCCTTCGACTTCTTCTGTAGGGGACTAAAAAGACAACTTGTCATGAAAAATTTAAATGTTTCAGAAAAGCAGCAATTCCAATTACATTTACCTGCTAATTCCACAGGTTATGTTATTGTTCTACTTGAATTCTCCACCCAAGCAATGTAAAGTTATACGAGAAAAAAATCAAAAAGTGGAGTTTTACTATCATAAATTTATTGCAGGACAAAAACAAAATACCTACATTGTCAGAGAAGTCCTAATTATTAACACTACATGAATGACATTTTAGAAAAGTGCTTTTTGAGCTTTGCTGTTCTTGTATCTATAAATAAATTTTATGTTTGCTGCTTATGTATTTATTAGGTTACCAGAACACAAAATTTATTATTTCCAGCTAAAAGAACTGTGTGCCATTGAAATTAGATTTGTAGAAAGTACTGTTAAAATTTTTCAGGTGTTGGGAAATTCTCAGAGAGAGTATGACAAAGCCATTGTTTCCTTTAGTATAAAGAATCAGTTGAGATGGAAAGCAAATATTGGTATGTATTGTAAATAAAACCAATAACCCAAATTTGGTTTAACTAATCACTATCAACATTGAAAAACACTATCAGATGAGATATAAAACAGTTATAATTAGCTGTCAATATCCTTTACCTTGTATAAGAAGAATTACAATGGTAATAGTGAATGACAGTCATCGATATTCCTTATTATAAAATCATAAAACCAAGCACAGATATTTGATAACATACACAATATATAAAATCACAAAAATTAAGTAAAAGTTCTCAAACATACGCATCTATAATGATATATCAGTAATAATAATGAAATCATTAAAAAAAAAACATGTAATTTCTTTACTTGAATGAAAAATGTATAAGAAGATATTGAGAAAATAATTTTCCATTATTTTTTGCTTTTTATCATTTGTGATGAATATCTTGTTTAGGAACAAGCCTCTCAACACTGAGGTTGTGAGTTTGAACCACACATATGGCACTTGGATTCACTTTCAATCTCAATTGACTAGGATTGGCAGTTTTCCTGCCGAAGGTCGATTGTTATCTCAAGGCACTCTTGGCTTCCTCCACAAATAAGAATAGACCACCATGAAATAGCCTATAGTGCTGAAATTGGCGTTAAACACCAATCAATCTTGTTTAGGTTCAACTTTCAGGATAGGAATATGTTATAATTCCCTATACATTGACATTGTACTTACACATGTTTAATAAATGCATGCATATGTGTTTCATACAAGTGAGAGGTTTATTAAGCTATAAAACCAGGTTTAGTCCACCAATTTCTACATAAGGAAATGCCTGTACCAAGTCAGGAATATGACAGTTGTTTTCATTTCGTTTGATGTGTGTGAGCTTTCGAATTTGCCATTTGATAAAGGATTTTTATGTAACCATTTGTTTATTTTGACATGGATTAATGTGAATTAAAGAAATAGTAAATATGCCAAAATATGAAAACTGTCATTTTGGGGCCCTTTATAGCTTGCTGTTCAATGTGAGCCAAGGCTCTGTGTTTAAGGCCATACTTTGATTTATAATTGTTTACTTTTTACACATTGTGACTTGGATGGAGAGTTGTCTCATTGGCACTCATACCACATCTTCTTATTTCTATGGTATGTTATCTAAATTCTGAAATTATTTTTGATGAAAAAAATATTCATGTACATCTGAAAAATTCATCTGTTTGTACTTATAGCCATGTGCAGTCTTGTGCACATTGAAATTGCATATAATGCGTCAAATCTAGAGATAGTTTAAGACTTGATAAACTATCAGGGAACAATGCATTTTTCAAACAAAATCAATAAATTTAGGCTGTATTGCAAGCAAAAAAATTACTTAAAATTAAGCAGTAGCTGTAAACAGATAAAAAATATTATCAGTTGTTAAAAGTATTTATTATTTAAGGTGGATGGGGGGTCTTAATTAAGATCCATAGGATTTTTTAATAATTTGTCAAAATGTAGTTTTTACCATGCTATTTTCCATAATATAATAAAAAAAAGTATTGGTCACCGGACCTTTTTTCACGCTACAGGTTGTGCAAAATTGTCAGGTTTTGTATAGATTATGCATGGAAAATCCAATTTTGTGTGATAAAAAGAAAACTACACCATAGAATTTTAAGATAAAATGATAGCTCTTATAACATGCTTTTAGATAAGAAAAAGAAAAAAATGGGGTCACCGGACTTGTTTTCTTGCTACATATTAATTTAGGTAAATTCACAACACTTTCTATTATAAAAATTACTTTATCTGAGTTATCTCCCCTTCTATCTGAGTTAACTCCCCTTATGTGTCAAAGTTGGAAAAAAAATGAATCAAACAAAAAACTTGTGTTTTTTAGAAAATACAGCCGTAAATATGATAAAACACATAATTTTCTACATTAATATGAAGTCTTACACATGAATTACATACTACTCTCAAATTTGGATATTTCATTAAAGATCTAGACCAATTATCTGCTACTTCAAAATCCAAGATGAAGGAAGACACCCTAGCCACCTAAACTGACCGTGCAAGGGCTGTATAGCCAGTCAAGGTCGTTAAAAACTTCCATATAAATATAGTCACCTTAAAACTATTATATAGAATTTATTTTTTAGTAAAGACAATACGGAAAGATGAGAAGAGATATTACATGGATATGTTACAGTATAGCCAGGATCATCTGATGTTATACCCTTACCATCTGTCTGACATAGTAGTCAAAGGACTCAGAGTTACACCATTTGTATACTATACCAATATGATGACTGATATCATGTCACAAGAAAAAAGTTATGACTCGTTACCAAACTTTACTGCAGCTGATTGTAAGTTTCTTCATTTTCACTTTAATTAAAAATCATTTTTTACTTCAATTTACTCCAATTATCAGCTTAATAATCAAGATTTAATAGTCAGAAATATGCAAAAAAATAAAGAGACCCGAGTAGTTATTGAATTCATAAAAACAAAATGCAACATGAAAATTGACATGGAATTGCCACTTTCCCCATTGTTCCTTTTTTGAGCAAACCAATACTTAAGTGCAAACAAGATAATACAGATAATTAATCCCTGCTGGTGGTGTTTTTACACATTGAATGCTAATGAATTTGGATGATTCATCTGAAAATATTTATTGCATAATCTGTACTCATAGTAGGATTGTGAATTGGTTTGTTATCACATTCAGTCACCAGCACTTACCCTGTTTCATAATGATTCACTTAACATTTGCAAGAACTGAACTAAATTATATTGAGTTCTAAGAAGGAGAATAAGTTATATATGATATAGTTAAAAAGCCATTTATATACACCCATCGTAAATGGGATGAACTATGGTATACCATACTAGATCCTGTCTGTCTGTCAACACTTCATACAATAACTCAAATTTGCTTGAACAAATTCTCATAAAAATTTTAACACAGCTTTAGAATTGACCACAGAAAGCTCTTTTTCTACTTTGGCAATTTCCAATTTAGTCATTCCAGAGTTATGGGACTTTTTACATGAAAAATTGGGACATTTTCTTAAAAGTTGTACAAAAACTCAACTTCGCTGTAATCCTTTTTCCAGAAAATTTATCACAGGGCTAGCATTTTTAGGATTTTTTATTTGTCTTTCCAGAGATATGGGACTTTATTTATCTTGTACTATCTCCAGTATGCTTGGATATATTTTAAAACTTACACTATTGTAGAGATTGATTAAAAGAAGATCCTGTTTTGTTTTTTAAAATTTTTTGGTTTATTGTTCTAGAATTACAGAACTTTAAATGTCAGATTTTAGTAAATTTTCACATATTGTACCATAACTTGAGTATGTGTAGATCATTTTCTAGAAAGATTACACATTTGTTGGAATTGGTGAATGTAAGATACCTTTTGGTTTTTTTTTTTGGTTTTTTTTAATGTCATTCAAGAGTTATGGGACTTTAACTGTCAGAATTAAGGCAATTTTTTACATGTCAAGGCTCAAGCATTATTTCTTTTTAGGACTTTTCTGTGTCAGCTGAGCTTTGGTTATAATTGTAAGAATATGGATTCCAGCCACTGTAGGTCCATGGTTATTATAAATTACTAAATGGCAGCAAAAAAAAATTACCCAACAAATTTAAAAGATTATGAACAAACTAATGAAAAGAGCTAGTGGGAAGTTCTCACGTCGAAAGAGTTGTAAGATGAATTAAACCTATGACAGTTTTGGTGATAAAAGTGGAGTTTGTGAAAAAATTAATGTTTATTAAAAGATTTAATATTTGTTTTCAGGTTTAAGACTGCTAGGAATCGGTAGAAATCAGTATATAGACTTAATGAACCAGTGTCGGTCATCCAAAGTTAGTATCAATTATCATTAGGATGGAACGGCGAGTTTTCATTTTAATAAATTACTTTGTCAACACTAGAAAGTCAGTATATAGGGGGAATGAAACTTGACAGATATTCCAGGTTTTTAATTTTTTTCAGATGTCTTTGTCTTTAAATGTGTAAGACATCAATTCGAATAGGATATAAAATTATTTTGTTTATATAAAACATATTTTTAGATTCATTTGATAACAAGATATCCATTTATCAGATGTTTACAAAAAATAGGAGTTTAGGAAAAATGCATAATTCTCAAAATTAAATGAATGCAATACAGATAATGAATTTCTCATGCAGATAAAATTTATGAGTAAGAGATATGATGCCTTTCTTTACATTGTTTTTTTACAGAAATTTTTCCGAAAGAAGAATCCAAAAGAATTATTACCAATCCAACCAATAGATACATTACTGGTTGATCATTGGTGGACCATCTCTACAGGGTATATTACTGAAGAAGATATAAAGGTAAAAATATAAGGAATGGTCAGTTACAAGTATCTATTTTAATGCAAATGTATTGTTTCAATTTATTGATTTAAGTTGCCTATATTTGCTAAATTAATACATTTTAGATAATTTATTATGAGGAATATTAAATGAATATCATAAACACAATAGTGTTCCTCATTGAACTTTAATTAATTAGTGATCTTTTCTTTTTCTTTTTAATATTTTTCAACATATGCAACCGTGCTAGATGTTTAAGTTGGTAATTCCTGAAAATTGGAAAAATATAGTTGTAACTATAAACGACAATTTCAGACTTAAACTGAAACAACTGTTACTGTAGTGGTATTCTCAGTCATGAAATAAAATTGGATTTGAACAATACAAAAAAGAATTAAAAAAAATAGGATACAAATATGTCATTGTAAAAACCAAACATTATAGGGCAGTGAGCAAGCAAACACTTCTCTTTTAATTCTCAACACTTCTCCCTATCAGTTTCAAAAAGAGAAGTCACTTTTCGCTATGATTCTGAAATAGTGTGAGCCCTGCAAATGATTAACAGACAAATTGTATTATATTTATTTACTATATATTTTGTTTTATAGTTATGTTCACAGACAGAAAAAACTATAATTGACAGCATCATAGACAATGGTACTCAAACTGCTGGAGAAATTGACTATGAAGCCTTACATGGTAAGATCTTCTGATATATTTGCAATAAAGTTTTGTTATCAATCTAATCAAAATTAATTAGTGACCAAGCATTCAAAAAATGAGCAAGTGCAGTGATTTAATTTTAATTACATTGCTGAGTTATTTTAATCTCTGTAATGTCCATGAGAAGAAAAAAATGTAAAAACCTTCCATTCCTACTACATCAAAATCATTATTTTGGACCTCCATACCAAATTGTACAAATTAGGGATTCCTAGAAGTACAGTGGGTGCCACATTATTGCATACCTTTTAATAAGAATTAAAAACATAAAACCATTACCTTGTTATCTTTGCTACATTGTTTCTTTTATATGTTTAAAAAAATCATATTAATGCAAATTCTTAATAGCATGAAAATATCTTTTAAAATAACAAGAATGAATAGTAATCACTTTGTTTTACTTTGTATGCTAATTCAATAATGATTTTTGTTTTTGTTTCAGGTTTATATAGAAAAGGTTATGTATATGTAGATGTACCTATAGATGATGATGATTGTATCATAGGTAATAATATGTCATATAAATCATTAAGTTTTAACCTTGTCCGTCTGTACGTACGAACGTACATACGTACGTACGTACGTCCCAAAATTGGTTTCCGTTCTCTAACTAGTTTGCCTCAACCAAATGTTATGAAACTTATACACAATGCTTATTACCACAAAACACAGATCAAGTTTGAATTTTGGTGGCATCGCTTTTACTGTTCTAGAGTTATGCCCCTTTACAAATGGAAAACTGCTGAATTTATCGTTTCCATTCTCTTACTTTAGTTTGCCTCAACCAAATGTTATGAAACTTATACACAATGCTTATTATCACAAAACACAGATCAAGTTTGAATTTGGTGGCGTCGCTTTTTACCGTTCTAGAGTTATGCCCCTTTACAAATGGAATAATTGCCGATTTTTCGTTTCCGTTCTCTTATTTTAATTTGCCTCAAACAAATGTTATGAATCTTATACACAATGCTTATTACCACAAAACACAGATCAATTTTGAATTTTGGTGGTGTCACTTTTATCGTTCTAGAGTTATGCCCCTTTTCAAATGGAAAAATTGCTCAATTTTTCGTTTCCATTCCCTAACTTTAGTTTGCCTCAACCAAATGTTATGAAACTTATACACAATGCTTATTACCACAAAAAAAAGATCAAGTTTGAATTTTGGTGGTGTCACTTTAACTGTTCTAGAGTTATGCCTCTTTATAAATGGAAAAATTGCAAAATTTTTATTTTCTTCTAAATATCAAGTAATTTTTATTAAAATTGGAGTTATCTTCCTTTGTCCATGATTATAATTGAATCAACTACATTCAATGCTTTATACAATGCAATGTTTAATTTTGACTTCCACTGATAAAACACGGATCAAGTTGAATTTGGGTAGTGTCACTTTAACCATTATTGAGTTATGCCCCTTTATAACTCGAAAGATTGCAAAATTTTTAATTTCCATTCTGTAACTTAAGTTTGCCCCAACCAAACATTATGAAACCTATACACAATTTTCATTACCGCAAAACTAAGATCAAGTACAAATTTTTTGTTTCCGTTTTCTAACTTTAGTGCCTGAACCAAATGATATGAAACTTATACACAATGCTTATTACTACATAATACAGATTAAGTACGAAATTTGGTGGCAACACTTTTACCATTCTTGAGTTGTGTCCCTTTATAAACATAAAAATTGCTGAATTTTTCATTTCCGTTCTCTAACTTTAGTTTGTCTCAACCAAATGTTATAAAACTTATACACAACCGTTCTAGAGTTATGCGTGTTTACTAATAAAAAAATTGCTGAATTTTAAGTTTCTGTTCTCTACTTAAGTTAGCCTCAACCAAATGTTATGAGACTTACACACAATGCTTATTACCACAAAACTCAGATCAAGTTCAAATTTGGGTAGCGTCACTTTTACCGTTCTTCAGTTATGTCCCTTTATAACTATATGATAAGCAAGCGGGGGCATCATCTGTGTCCACATGTGGATACTATCCACATTTATTTTTATCTACTTTTGTAGTGTTCAATCATACATGTTATAATATTTTCATTTTTGATATTCGATCTTGGATATGTTACTTATTTTGTTACACCATGAAATGATTTAAAAATGTACAAACATGAAGAATAACTGAAAATGTAATATTATTTTACAAATTTTGAAATGCAATTTCTTTAAAGATTTTTTTCATGCTTAAAGATGACTGTTATAAATGTCCTTGAATTATATATTTATAAAGGTTGAAAATGTGTACAAGTGAGATAAGTTAACTAATGAAAAGGGGCTTAAACATGAGAAGATGATATAGTTTCTTCTGATTAACACAGATTTGTTTTTTTTTCAGTGCCTCCATTAGAAGGATTTGTGATGAATCGAGTTTTAGGAGATTATTTTGAGACATTATTGTACAAAATATTTGTATCTATTGATGAACATACAACTGTGTCCGAGGTAAATTTGACTTAAGAAATTATTTTTCAGAGGTATGATGATAAAATCTGATTAAAAAATATATTGGTTTCAAATTGTTTAAAAGACATTTATTTTATGCAGTGTATTGTAAGAAATCTAGAGCCAGTCTATTTGCATTTTTTCTTTGTGTCATATTCAACAAGACCAGAAATTTGTTTTTTTTAAATTGACCCAGGAATTACAGAGGCAGGAAAACAACCAGATCGGTTTTTAGTGACCAGAGATTTGTGGATTATTCAAAGTTTAATGTTAAATATCATGTTGCAAAAAAAATGATAAAAAAGAATTATAAAATAGAATTTCTGTACATTTTGGGAGGACCTTTTTTCATGGAACTAAAGTTGTATATATAAGGCCATTTTTTATACGACCGCAAAAAATGGTTTTCGCACTAACTTTAGTTTAAGTGAATCGATCTCTATGAAATTTTACCATAAGGTTCAATACCACAAAAGGAAGGTTGGGATTGATTTTGGGGGTTATGATACCAACAGTTAAGGAATCAGGGGCCAAAAAGGGGCCAAAAATAAGCATTTTTGTAACTTCCAGACATAACTTGTGTGTTAGTGTATGGATCTCTCTGACATTGTACCACTTGGTTCCATATCACAAAGGGAATGCTGGGATTGATTTTGGGGGTAATTGCCTCCAAATTTTAGGAATTAGGGGCAAAAAAGGGTAAAAAAACAAGCATTTTTCTAGTTTCATGACAATAACTTGTGTGTAAGTGTATGGATCTTTATGAAATTGTACTACAAGGTTCCATATCACAAAGGGAAAGCTGGAATTGAGTTTGGGGGTAATTGCCCAAAATGTTTAGGAATAAGGGGCCAAAAAGGGGCCAAAAATAAGCATTTTTCTAGTTTCCAGACAATAACCTGTGTTCAAGTGTATGAATCTCTCTGAAATTGTACTGCAAGGTACCATACCACAATGGGAAGGCTTGGATTGATTTTGGGGGTAATTGCCTCAAATTTCAGGAATTAGGGGCAAAAAAGGGGCAAAAAAACAAGCATTTTTCTAATTTCAGGACAATAACTTGTGTGTAAGTGTATGGATCTTTATGGAATTGTACTACAAGGTTCCATATCACAAAGGGAAAGCTGGGTTTGAGTTTGGGGATAATTGCTCTAAACGTTTAGGAATTTGGGGCCAAAAAACAAGCATTTTTCTAGTTTCCAGACAATAACTTGTGTTCAAGTGTATGGATCTCTCTGAAAATATACTGCAAGGTACCATACCACAAAGGGAAAGCTGGGATTGAGTTTGGGGGTGATGAATCATAAGGGGGTTCAAAAAATTTGGGGGGGGGGGGGGGTGGATTTTTTTTTCCTTTTTTTCTTTAGAATTTTCCATTTTAAATTGGTTATTTCTGATTTATATATAAAAGCAAATAATAATGATATGGTTTGAATAGGTAAATTAAATTTTTTAAAGTTTTTTAGACCACATTCATTCTGTGTCGGAAACCTATGCTGTGTCAAATATTTAATTACAATCCAAATTCAGTGCTGTATCAAGCTTGAATGTTGTGTCCATACTTGCCCCAACTGTTCAGGGTTCGACCTCTGCGGTCGTATCAAGCTGCGGCCAGCGGAGCATTTTATTATATTTTTTCATCAATCAAGTTTACTGCCATTTTTTTAAAGTTTGACTAATAATACCAATAATTTTTTCAGCTGGCTAATGTTCTCCAGATTGACCTTGAACTTGTAAAGGTAATTTATTTATTAACAACATTCAATCTATCTAGGCATGGATCAGTTTGAAAATAAACTGATGCAGTAACTGAATTAAATTACATAAATGCCTAATAATGTAACTTTAACACGCTAATGAGTGTTATAAAAATAGTTGTTATATTTTATCTATTCACGCAATATTTCGCTAAACAAATTAGCTTCATCAGGCGCATGCAGCCATCCAGGTAAAAAAACGGATGCTGTTAAGAATTTTTTGCAGCTTATATATATATATATATATATATATATATAAATATGTGTGTGTGTGTGTGTGTGTGTGTGTGTGAAGCATCTGCAAATGAAGTGAGAACAGATATTTGTGTGTTTTTTTATTCAAATATATTGTATTTCTGATGTGAGGAGAAAATCTTAAAGTTAGATATGAAATTAAAACAGTAGTATCACTTGATTGAAGTTACCATTTTAAAAGAAAGTAGAAAATGTTACAAGAAATGTAGAAAAGGGAGTATTGCCTTGTTACAAGAAAATAGAAAAAACATATGCCTGACTCATGAAATAAAATAAAAAAAGATATTATCCACATTATTAAAAGGAATAAAACTGAACAGAAAGAGAATTTTATTTTGAATAACCTTAAATTTGGGAGAGTTCTTTAAAAATTGAAATCATAATAGAAAATAGGGTTATATTTTAGTTGTGATCATAACATATTATTTTACAGAATGCAGTATCTATGTACTGTAGACTTGGCTTTGCTAAGAAGAAAGGAGCAGAATCAATCAATTCAGATGATGTACATCCATCATGGACTAGTGTAACACAAGCATCTAAAAAGTAAGTACTATTCCATTAAAATGAATGTGCCAGAGAAGAAAGGATAGTTTTGTTTTTGGACATGGGTTATAGTTGAATGTCCATATTATGTATGCAAAATTACCCTAAAAGAAAGTTGATTGGTTATGATAAGTTTTAAGAAGTCCTTTCCTTTCTTCTGACATCCATTTTAATTGGATATCTTTAATTGAAAAGTTTAAACTGTAATATGTGATGCTATGGTTATATAATTATTGTATGAATAACTTGATTGAAATAATTTCTTGACACTAAGGTGACCATTATTTTGTATACTGATTTTTAAAATGTTTGCTCAATTATTGCATTCAGTAGATTTTAGAATTAATCTTGTATGTCATAAAATAGTTGCTAATATGTCAGAATATATAGAATAACTTTATATTTCCTTGTGTTTACAGACCATCATCTGATCAGCTGATTGTCACATGGAAGGAAGAAAAAGTAGAACTGAAGGAGTTAGCAGACACAACAGTACAAGAGGAGAAAAGAGATGTTAGTGCTCTGGAAAAGGCAATGGGTTAGTGTGTTTAAGAGGACAGAGACATAATTTTGAGTTTTAAGGAATCTACTGTTCACAATATTTTGTACAAGGACAACATAATTGCTCAAAAGACAAAGATAGAAGTTCAAAAGAAATCGTTTGACCACTGAGCATCAACTCTATTCAGCAAAATTATTGAAAGAGTGTCTAATAAGTTTTTATATTGAAAATGTCTAATATATGAAAAGAATTTATCATAACAATGTTGATGTACAACAAGGATAATCCTAGTAATGAAGTTCATATACTATTCCATCCAAAATTAAGACAGGACATATAACTTATAACTTGTATACAGGAAAAAATTTGCAGACCATTTTATTCTTTAATAATCATATAATGTACTAGCCTTATAGAAGAGAAATAAACATTAAACTTCAATGCAACCATGGGTTCCTAAACGATCATATTTTCAGGCATGACCTTTAAAATTTATTTTTGTCTGACTGGTGTACTTCTAATAAAATCAAATGTACCTCTGTATCCACAAGGCTAAACATAGGGAAATGATTTAAGTCCCCCATAAACTGCGCACATTTCCATATGATTTGGTAGCAATTATGGTTGCAATAGTGCTACATAGGTTCCATTGAGCCACTTAGTGTTTAGTGCTACATAATTCCATTGAGCCACTTAGTGTTTAGTGCTACATAATTCCATTGAGCCACTTAGTGTTTAGTGCTACAAAGGTTCCATTGAGCCACTTAGTGTTTAGTGCTACATAATTCCATTGAGCCACTTAGTGTTTAGTGCTACATAGGTTCCATTGAGCAACTTAGTGTTTAGTGCTACATAATTCCATTGAGCCACTTAGTGTTTAGTGCTACAAAGGTTCCATTGAGCCACTTAGTGTTTAGTGCTACATAATTCCATTGAGCCACTTATTGTTTAGTGCTACATAGGTTCCATTGAGCCACTTAGTGTTTAGTGCTACATAATTCCATTGAGCCACTTAGTGTTTAGTGCTACATAATTCCATTGAGCAACTTAGTGTTTAGTGCTACATAATTCCATTGAGCCACTTAGTGTTTAGTGCTACATAGGTTCCATTGAGCCACTTAGTGTTTAGTGCTACATAGGTTCCATTGAGCCACTGAGTGTTTAGTGCTACATATGTTCCATTGAGCCACTTAGTGTTTAGTGCTACATAGGTTCCATTGAGCCACTTAGTGTTTAGTGCTATAAAGGTTCCATTGAGCCACTGAGTGTTTAGTGCTACATAATTCCATTGAGCCACTTAGTGTTTAGTGCTACATAATTCCATTGAGCCACTTAGTGTTTAGTGCTACATAGGTTCCATTGAGCCACTTAGTGTTTAGTGCTACATAGGTTCCATTGAGCCACTGAGTGTTTAGTGCTACATATGTTCCATTGAGCCACTTAGTGTTTAGTGCTACATAGGTTCCATTGAGCCACTTAGTGTTTAGTGCTACAAAGGTTCCATTGAGCCACTTAGTGTTTAGTGCTACATAGGTTCCATTGAGCCACTTAGTGTTTAGTGCTACATAGGTTCCATTGAGCCACTGAGCGTTAAGCTAGCAACAATCAATCTGCTGAACTCTATGTGAAATAACATATTCATCTTTTTCTCTTATACAAAATGGCCAATCTGAAACAAACATTGATTTTGGAGACCAAAAAATCTGATTCAATAATGGATTTTGAAATCTTTGTAGAATGATCTGATAATAGCTTTAGAAAGTTATTTTGTATATTATAGAAGAAGAAAGTGCAACCAGTGGGGGAAGTAAAAGAATAGCTTTTCTGTTTGACTCTACTTTAACTGCCTTCCTAATGATGGGTAATTTATCACCTGTAAGTATTAATGTATCGTAATACAATTTTTACACATAATACAGTTAAGAAAAGATACATGTTTATAACAAACTTCTGATCTAGAAACATAAATTGAAAATTAGAATAAGTTGTGCTTTAAGTAAAAAATGATTGACATTTGTTGTTTATAACTATAAGTTTGTTTACAGGGATTAAAGAGTCATGCTGTTACAATGTTTGAGGTTGGCAAGTTAAGTGATGAATCATTGGATAGCTTTTTAACAGAACTTGGAAAGGTAAACTTATAATCAATGGATTGAACAATTTATTTTGAAATGCAGAGGTGAAAAAAGAAGGAAAGAAAAATATGAGGAAAAAAAATGTTCTAGTTCTCAAAATTCCTTTCAATAGATCTTCAAAGAATTATTGTACCATCTTAATCTTTCAACAGCAAACAATTGAAAAAATGAGAGTTGAGCATATTTAGAATCTTTATGTGGTAGAGGAATGAAGGAAGGTAGTTTGAGAGAAAAATATTCCAAGGAAATGATTGATGGTTGTTTGCCTTATATTGTTTAGTGGTAAATATTTCATGCATATATAGGATGATCCAAGGACATATAATATTGTGAGAAACAGAATACTTTTCTTCAGTGTTCATATAAATTTTAAAAGTAAAATGAAATCAGATTTTGTCAGTTTTGAGTAATATAAATGTAGGGGAATAATTCACCTTTAATGTAGTGCAGAAGTTATTTATTTATTTATCCAGCAAACTTACAAACTTTTCATTCAAATTATATTGATATGCATGTATAAATATCCGCAACAATAATAAATTGATGTTACATAGGTTGGTTTTGAGGCTGAAGGTGAAGCAAGAAGATACTTCCAACATGCCTTGACCTTGAGAGATACATTGAAGTTCTTACGATACAACAAAGATTTAAATATAGACACAGACAATGGGAATGGACTAGCTGTTGATTTAATTAGATGTGAAAGTTTGTTAGGATTAGATCATGCTACTAGAGCTAGAGTATTAAACAGAAATTATAGGTAGACTTAATTCACTGTCAGCATTTTGGGGGGTAAAGCTTGAACTAAATGCAATAACAATCCTATTGGGACAGGCTTGATAGCTATATAAAGCTATATTTCAGGCCTCATCTCTATCTTGAGAGTACAAACAAACATAGTGCATTTAGGTGAACATTCTTCAGAGCCTGTTCATTTCCATGTCAAGCAATTTATTAACATTTTATCTTCAGATATTCAAAGTTACAAAATTATGTATATGTGAATAACCATTCTTTGTCAAGAAAATAATTTTGTTGAAAACAGCACAAGTTGCAGAAAGTAAATCATGTTGTATTATATATGTTCTTTTTACAATTATGGAGGCCTAGGTGGAAGAGTTGCTGTGTTCAGCATAGCTCTTTATTTTAATTCAAAACAAATATAAAATATGATATATTTTGTGAGTATGTATACCAAATATATATGTGTTAAGCATTTTTAATGTTTACATGTAGAAATATATGTTTGTAGCTTGCTAGTATCCATGGCTCCACTGAGTTATGAAATTAAACCTGTAACCAGTTGTTTACCACAACATATAGGCCCTGCTATAGCTGAGGTATATTTAAAAATACTGTTTCACCTATTTCTGGGGTTAATACATTGTTGATGTTTCATTAAAAATACAAACGTCAAAAGATTTTAAATGTTCAGATATATTGTATATGTTTTGAAAACTCTGAGAATTAAGAATAAGCCATTCCCAAGAAAATTTCCTTATTTTAACTTTGAAATGACCAAATGAACCACCAAGTAAAAGTCAAATAACAGAAGAGAAACCAGTTTGTAGCTAGTTGTTTTTTTTTTAATTTCAACTAAAATCTTAGTATTCAAATCAATTGATTAGAAAAAAGTGAAATAACAAAAATACTGAACTCCAAGAAAAATTTGAATCGGAAAGTGTTCCTTGTTATTTCTGCATTAGTTTAACAGTTGATTTTAGCTCACCTTTAAACTGAACATAACAGTTGGAGTTGAGATAGATGCAAATGCATATGTGTTTTTTTCATGATTAAATATAAAATTCATTTTTTGTTTCAGGTAAATTCTGTGTGGTTCAAGTTATTCATGTACAAGTTAACAGGAAATGGGCCACCTTCTATGTTACTGGTAAAGGGAACACGTCTTCAGAGATTACCCAGTATATTTCAGGTAAAATGTCTCTACTTTGTGAGACAATATACTTTTCATGTGTTAACTTTATCTCTTGCATGCTCTTGTCATTTTAAATAGATCATTAGATTCAACTCAATTTTATAATCATTTTCTTCACCTGATACTAGACTTGAAATATTGTCTTCATTCTTTAATAGTATAATTAATTTGTTCTCATTCTTAATATGCATGAAATATTTGCCACGAGACTTCAATCAGATGTGCTTAAAAATGCTTTTCCAGTTGATTTTTCTTTACATGTTAGTATTTGATATAAGTGTATTGTGTATCAACTCAGCATTAGCATTTCTACCAAATTTGCTTTGGGAATTTTGAATACAAAAATATGCATTTTATTGATTTTATCTGATTTCAATAAGTTATTTATATATATGTTTATTCTAAGCAATTGCTGATTTTAAATTTTATTGAACAGGAATATGAAAGATTACTAGTTACTACATGGGGTCATGACCCAGGTGTAATAGCAGCTTCAAACATATTGGTGACTTTGAATGATGCTCTTACTCACTCTGCTGTTCTAGTTCAGGTTTGTAATGAATTTATTTGAATAATAACATACTTGAGCAGAGTGTCATTTATTTCACATAAAGTGTTCACTGTATAATTTTATATATTTTATGCTAGATCATTTTATTTTAAAGTTTACATTTAAGTTCTTTCTTTGGAATGTAATTGTAGATGCTTATAGAACAGAAATACAAAGTTTATGCTGATTTTATTTTATTAAAATGTATTTGTTTTAGGCACATGGTTGGCAGTCCAAAGGAAAGGTTGTGAATATTTCATTTCCTTTTAAAAAGGAAGATGGTAAGTCATCTATATATAAAATAAGACCAAACTTAACCAACCATGACCAACAAAATAATTTAAATGGTTTTATATATTGTTGGAAGATTAGTAATAAAGAGCAGAAAACAGCCCAAGGCCACCAATAGGTCTTCAACCCAGTTAGAAAATTGTGCACCTGGAGGCAGGCTTCAGCTGGCCCCTCAACAATTATGTATACTAGTTCAGCAAAATGGACGCCACACTAAACTCCGAAAACATATAAATGTAACAAAATTAAAAAAACATGCAAGACAAACAAAGGCCACAGGTTCCTGACTTGGGACAAGTGCAAAAATGTGGTGGGGTTAAACATGTTTTATGAGATCTCAACCATCCCCTATACCTCTAGCCAATGTGAAATAAACACACAGCAATTCACACATTCAAACTCAGTTTAAGAGATGTCCAAGTCCGATATTAGAATAGGAAACAGAGGAAACTAAGCAAAATGACCATGATCAACATAAATTAACACAAGACTACTAGCAGCTACTAACATGCCAGCTCCAGACCATTTAAACTGATCAAAAAATTATGTCTTCATCATAAGAAAATCAAGCACAATCTCTCCAATTTGGGGTTTAGTATCATGCCATCATAAATTATACAAGAAGAACATAACCCGTATCCTGCCAACTACTGGTTTTAGAACAAATGTGTTGATTTCCGATGTAAAGACCCTATGAGTGAATTAATATTAATTCCAAAAAATGCCATCTTTAATGACTTGACAACAGTATCATACCTATATCCATTCTAAATAATGTATGTATTTGACATTACAAATTTGAAAATACCTTTTCAATAAAATGATTGAACAACTTGTCTAAATTTGAATCAATTTAGAGCATGACATATGTTATAGATCTATGACTTTACATGTCTGTTTTGGCTTTTTTATGTTCATAGTAACTTCATACAGTATATAAGGCTATGAATATATACTTACACTGTGAGTGTTTTTTAATGCAAAGAGTTAGTTAAGTTGCAGAAAATGCTAATAGAAAAAACAAAATACAACCATAATAATCTTAGTGTGGAAGAACTTTTCTGTGTTATCGTCAATTTTAATGGTTAGTGAAAACATTGTCATATTAGGTTTGTTGTTTTAAGATTAACTCATTCAGACTCCATGGAAGATATGTATTTTGTCTTCTAATAAATTTTGTGGTTGGAGGGAACCAAGAAATAGATGGGAAATGATACTCCCTTTACAATAATACTATGACAGTATGCCATTTTTGTTTTCAAATATGCTGCAATACTCATTTATTCCCATAAAAACCCTTTCTACAATGTAAATTAAATGATATTGATAGGAATAAATTCAGGAAATAAGATGTAGTGACTTGATAGCAAAGTTGATGAGTGTTTTTTTGTATTGTTTTCAAGAATTTAATTATGTGATTTAATTTTAAAATCCAATCTTGCAGGTGCTTTTTCTAAAGATATAATTCATAATCACCCAGCAGTGCAATGCCTTTGTGAGAAAATTGACTTACAACACTCATGTGGTTATGTTTCTCTACTCAATACTGGTCTTAATTCTAAAGCAGTATGGAAAGATGATTCAGATGATGATGAATTTTATGATGATGTTAGTTATGATTTTAGTGTCAAGGGAGACAATTCCAGTATTTCAAGTGCAGATAACTTTTCCAAAGTAGATGGTGAAAATTCTCCATCACATCCATGTAATGGTGTAAAAGACCAAGCTTTAGCAGACATGTTGGCTTCAGAACTGGATATGTTAGACTCAGATTCTTCACTTAAATCAAATGACTTAGATGTAAAAAATGTAAAACACACAATGTCATTAGATTTGAAATCTGACACCTGTTCAAATTCTAGGAAAAAGTCATGTGACTATTTTACAAAACCAGATGATTGGGTTTTGTTAGATTGTTTCTTTGGCATTCCATTGTTTGATCCTATTCTTAACAAGGAGACATGTGCCAAGATTGTCTCAAATGAAATTTTTAAAAATGAAAGGTATGTAAACTTGTTATTCTTACAGTACATAAAATTTATCACTATTTATTCATATTAAAAAGTAACAGTGGTGCACATATATATACATTATCACATATAAATATATGAAAATAATTTTAAGTTTTCTTGAAAAATTCCTCCCTAACATCACAGAAACCAATACGAGGGTATATAAAACATCAATCTTGGTAATTTGATTAATATCAATGAAAAAAGGAACTATATACTCACATTCTCCTGTCATTTTAAAACTGAATATGTGAGAAACAGATAATTTTATATAACCCTAATTTAAAATGTTTTTTTTCTTCTATTTTAGTCTAGAAGAATTACTACATTCCAATAGAAGGTTAACGTTGATGTTGTTAGATTTTATTACAAAATGTCAGGTAATTTTATAGGAAGCACAAGTCTTTTCTTTTCTTCTTGTAGCTTTTTTTGATGCATTAAGGGAGAATATGTGACAAATTCAATTGGACACTGTCACCTTTGTCAAGTAACAAATTACACTCAATATTGAAATACTTACATTACTTCATAAGTAAAGACCTTTTATTTTTATTTATTAAAACAATTTAAGAATTTGATTTTTAATGGGAGGTAACTCAGATGATTACCTTTAGTGATAAATTGTCCTGTAAATGTACCTATTCTGATATATATAGTACACAAACTAGTGCAATATCTGCTTTTTGTCTTTTTATTTCTTTAAAAATAATTCAAGAAAAGCAATTTCCTCAAACTATATTTTAAGAATAATATCATTTTCCTAATTATTTTGTTTTCTCAATTTTTAATCTTAAAAAATTGAGGGAACTTTACACAATTTGATAATGTTAATACACATTGTAAGTCAAGTTTATTCCATACATTTGGCAGTATTTCATAATAACAATGATTATTCAAAACAGTTATCTGTAAGATGTAATGTTAGGTTGTAAATTACATATTTGTAAGGATGTCACATTTGCTTAGCTTGGGTCATTTTTGTAAGGTTTTGCCCTTTTTTCCGTAATGGTTTTTATGCCCCACCTAGAGGCATGTTTTTCGGTCTGTGCGTCTGTTCGTCTGTCTATCTTTCCGTTCGTCTGTCCGTCCGTCCATCTTCTGTCCTGCTTCAGGTTAAAGATAGTTTTTGATGAAGTTGAAGTCCAATCAACTTGAAACTTGGTACACATGTTCCCTATGATATGATCTTTCTAATTTTTTAATGCCAAATTAGAGTTTTTACCCCAATTTCACGGTCCACTGAACATAGAAAATGATAGTGCGAGTGGGGCACTTTTGTTTTTTATTGTTTTGATCACTGGTGTTTGATAAACAGTTTCACAGTTCAAAAAAAGTTATCTTTGTAACCTTACATGTATAGTAAAATAATTGTTGGGGAAGGGGGAATTCAATGTTTTTTTCATGCACATAAACTGCAATCGTATCAGGATGAATTTATTTGAATATTCCTTACCGGTTAATACATGAGAATAGATACATTGTAAATAACAATATACAGTATTTTATCATGTTTACTTGAACTAGCATACTTTTTATACGCCCGTTTACGGGACGTATTATGGTATGCCGTCTGTCCATCCATCTGTCCATCCGTCGTCAACATGTCGGACATTAATTCAAAAACGCTTTAATCAATATGCATGAAACTTTGGTGAATTGTTTATATCTATTGACGTGAGCTCCCTTTCATTTTTTATAAATTTCAGATTAACCATTTCTGAGTTTTGGGGTTTTATTCATTAGAAAAGGGGGGATTTTCCAGTTTTCGGACAATAACTCAAAAACAATTTCACCAATTTGCATGAAACTTTTGTGAATTGTCCATATCTATTGACGTGAGCTCCCTTTTCGTTTCCGAGTTTTGGGGTTTTATTCATTAAAAAAGGGGGGATTTTCCAGTTTTCGGACAATAACTCAAAAAAAATTTTAACAATTTGCATGAAACTTTTGTGAATTGTTCATATATATTGACGTGAGCTCCCTTTCGTTATTTATAAATTTCAGATTTACCGTTTCCGAGTTTTGGGGTTTTATTCATTAAAAAAGGGGGATTTTCCAGTTTTCAGACAATAGCTCAAAAACAATTTCACCAATTTGCAAGAAACTTTGGTGAATTGTTTATTTCTATCGACATGAGCTCCCTTTTGATTTTTTTAAATTTTAGACTAAACGTGTCCGATTTATGGGGTTTTATTTATTGCAAAAAGGGGAATTTTCCAGTTTTCGTACAATAACTCAAAATTGCTTTCAGCTTTCAACATTTTTTATGAAACTTTGGTAAATTGTTTATATCTATTTTTGTAAGCTCCCTTTTGATTTTTATAAATTTTTGATTTAACGTTTCTGAGTTATAAGATTTTATTTGTTTATAGTCTGACAACAGATTTACTAAGTATTGCGCAACAGCACATTGTATTGCACAACAGCAAGAAATCTTTCATATAACCAATTTCAAGTTCTTTGACTACATTTATTCAGAAACCTATATTATATCAAATATTTAATTACAATCCAAATTCAGACCTGTATCAAGCTTGAATATTGTGTCCATTTTTGCCCCAACTGTTCAGGGTTGGACCTCTGCGGGCATATCCAGCTGCGCTCAGCGAAGCAGTTTATTAATATTTAGACTGGTAAAGTTTTGATACAGTTTTAGGTAATTCATTTTTCATACTTTTCTTTTCAGGCAGTTTCAGGTGAAGTAGCCCAAGAATCATCAACTCCCTCTGGTGGTGAACATAGTACGCCATACCCTACTAAAAGTTTGTTGTTTTATAATGGACAGTTGGACATTTGGGCAGAGAGATTAAACAGAAGATAACATAGACTGAAAACAATAGAAATCCTTTCTTGATTTTTGATTCAGAGCATGTGTATTGTAACAAGCTCATTTGGTTGTATAACATTTAAAAGTTTTGTAGCCTTGCCAAGTATAGGACTGAGAAAAGTTATGGAAATTGAAACCTTGAATCTATCTGTAGCATAAATTTTTCCAACGGTTTCACAAAAACAGATTCAATAGGACCAATTATTATAAAAAAAGAGTGATAAGGCAAGAACAAAATAAGGAAAATTCAAGTAACAACTTAATGTCAACTGACATTTTAAAAGATACAGATGTTTATTAAGATATAATTAACAAATGAGTATGAATACAGAAAATTTAGTGAGTGATGAGGTGCAATACTACAAAATGTTTTGTGGGCTTTTCCCAAGATAAAAATTTAGGATTTAAACCTTAAAATGTTTTACAATGGGTAGACAAAATAAACTTTTTATTTTAAAACTGATTTAAAAAAAAATAGGAAAGACATAACTGACAAGATATTCTTAGTGAAGAGGCAGGAGGATTGGGGATTAAGACATAGTTTGATTTTTAGCTTTTATAAACAAATGAAAATTTGAATTCACGATTATTGTCATTGCCTTTGTAGCCACCTTTCTGAAATACAATAAATCACTGGATACTGTAAAAAAAAAATATCCCTGCTGAAAGAAATCTCTATTTTATAGGGTACCTGCTCATGAAAGACTTGTATTCTCTTTTCTTTCCCTTTATGTACAGGTATCTTATCTTAATCTTGTTTGTACTTAGTGGACCAGTTTTGTTTTTATTTGCTTTGTTTTTTTATTGTGCCGGTAGTTTTAAAATATTCAGAGATGAATTTACAGAAAACTATTGATTTATGGAATATAAAGCTTTTTTAGAGCATAAGTCTTTAAGTCACTGTATGATGTGAACATTTTCATTTCATACTTCAAACTAATTGACTTGACTGTGTAGTTTTATCTAAAGTCTCCATAAGGTTTCTTTGCAGTTGTTACATAATAAAATATATCACATTATCTGTGTTCCTGCACTTTTGGTGGCAACAACATATTTATTCATAGGAAATGACTTATGAAAGCTATTACTTGTAATTATAACATAATATGTTATACAGGTATCTTATGCCACTCTGAAGTGCATGAAATGCAGATACATGATTGAGGTTATGATATGTAAGGCTTAATATCTTCTTGCTATGTTATTACAAGGTGCTGAATATACATGCACAAGTTAATAATCCTAGTCAGTCTTGTTCATTTCATCATACATTTACTTGCATAATTTCAATAGGAAATCCTTATTGTAAAGTTGATTGTGACAATATCTGTATAATTACATGGATAGTTTAGATTTCTATTTCATAATTTTGATGACTTGAAGTCCTATCATTACCTAACCTCGCTTACCGGTAAGTCAGAGAACTTGTTAAAAGTGAAATCTTGTATATGTTACAGGCATTTTCTAAATTTAGGCATTTTGTAAAATGCAAGATTCAGGCATTTTACATAATGACTATTTTTTCTAGGCATTTTATAAAATGCCTGGAAAAATTGAAAGGCATTTTACAAAATGCCTGAAATTATTTTATAGAATGAAATGTTAAAAAAAATAATTGAAAGCTTTGAACAACAGAGCAGTTTTATTTATGATAATTACTGAATGTTAAAGCTTGCAATTTAAGAGTTTTAATAATCAAAAATAAAGTTTTACTGAATTATTCCAAATTCACACAAGCAGAGAACTCGACAATTATTTGTTATTTCTTAAAAATGTTTGGATGACAGAACTGTTACACAAAATGTTTCCTATTTTTTTTTGCAAATACATTTCGGAGTAAATAAAATTGAGAATGGAAATGGTGAATATGTCAAAGAGACAACAACCCGACCAAAGAGCAGACAACAGCCGAAGGCCACCAATGGGTCTTCAACACAGCGAGAAAATCCCGCACCCAGAGGTGGTCCTCAGCTGGGCCCAAAATAAAATTGTGTACTAGTTCAGTGAAAATATGGACGTCACACTAAACTCCCAAACATATAAATGAACTAAAATTAAAAAACATACAAGACTAACAAAGGCCAGAGGCTCCTGACTTGGGACAGGCGCAAAAAATGCGACGGGGTTAAACATGTTTTGTGAGATCTCAACCCTCCCCCTATACCTCTAGCCAATGTAGAATAAAGAAACACATAGCAGTACACACAGTAAAACTCAGTTTAAAAGAATTTGGTTTTAGCATTTCATCCACATTTGGAGAAACTTGGATCATGAGACATTTAGCTCTTTCGTTACTTTTGCTGATAAAACACTTAACGTTTGACAACATTGGGTTTCGCAATAAGCACACACGTCACACATGAATATCTTCTTTTTCATATGTTCCCAAAAGATTCAAAGTACATTATCATGATTAGTTTGACTTGTATCTTTTGGCTTTTAGCTTTTAAAGGACTGAAGCAGATATGCCCATGAAGGGTGATGCAGCAATAACAGGCTTATTCTGTCAATGCAACCATATTTGTCATTTTTGGGTCAATTTTCGAGATTTTTACCACAAGTAACTTCTGTCTCAATAATTCTCAATAATGTCTCAATAATACATCAGATGGCAAAGACCCATGAATTTCTTTGAGGCGGTGAAGATGGAGATACTCATATCTTTGCATCACACCCAAACAATGCCTTGTATGGCAAAACCCATGCTATATAGGGGAATTTGTTTGGATGTGGATGTATAAATTCTCATTCTTTCTGAATGGGGACATTAAATATATTGCCACATGTTAGTAAAGTGCAACACTCTCTGTACGTTAAGAACTCTTTGACCGTTCTGCAGGTGGAATTTTCTGTCCCTTTCCAAAAAACACTCATTTCAAGCGGCAGTCGAAATTTCTGTCCTTTATCCAGGTTAATCCACTGCTGAAATAACTCATATGAATTATAACCAAATTGTTCTCGTCTTAAAATGCATGAAATATTTGCTACTGAAAGCAAGCAAATCAATCAGTCAATTAAAAACAAACTACTTTTTCTCATCTTTATATGTTTCACTTCACTGTTTTGATTCGATGTCCAAAAAAATTCGTTTGTAAATTTTGTTCTATTAAAAGAACAATTTGTCCTTCTGCCATTTTGACAAAATAATCATAAATTTACTATCTAAAAATACAGAGTGAGTACATACCTAACGTAGTTTCACTAAAAAAAACATATCACATGACATACAAACTTTCCCAGCTGGTTTTTGAAAAATAAATTAATTCTACCGAACCATTAGTTATTTTCTTTGCAAGATGTTGTGTTTTTGTCCACTTTTTGTCATATGCATCTCAATGATATCCTTTTTCTACAAATTGCCTGAAATTGAACAGGCAATTTGTTGAATTTTGATTCAAAATTTCAGCCAATTTACATAATGACTAGGTATTTTTAGTCATTTTATATAATGCCTGTCAAGGTTAGGCATTTTATAAATTGCCTGAAATTTCAGTCATTTTACAAAATGCCTAAATTTAGAAAATGCCTGTAACATATATAAAAAATGTCAAGAAAAGCATAAAAAATATTAAACTAAATCATGTCTTTAGTCACAAAATGTCTCAATTTAGACAAATATTGCAGTACATGTAAATGCTTTCTTTCCCTTTAGCTTGCTTGACATATATCACAAAGTATTTTCGTTGATCCATATTTTAACCTTTCATAGTGTGTAAGGAAGAAGTTGTGTATCAGTCTTTTGTATTTTCACAACAGAAGAATAATTATTGTATTGTATGCTCAATTGAGAATGCAATTACATGGGACCACAGATAAAGTGATTAAAATATCAAATAGAATTTTAGGTCTTAACCATTTCAATTTGGTATAAGAAAAAAAAAGGAGAAGAAAATGGTGTTGTGTTACAACTAGTTATCAAATTGCATTTTTTTCATGAAGAGTATTTTAGGCTATTGTAGGCAATTTAGCAGTGCAATTGAATCATAAAAAAAAAAATCATACCTCATATTAGATCGGCAATTTTGCTTGTTTATATTTCCATTTGAATGGTTGACACCATTCATTTATACTGTAAAGAACATTTACAAGAATGAATAACTGAAAGATTTTTGTTGTATTTCAAAGCCTCCCCCCCAAAAAAAAACTTGTATATTAAATGTTAATGTCTCTGTACCAAAGTCATTCTCTAGAAAGCAGTTTAGATACAAGCTAACTGCTTATATATACTCCTATTTTTACAGAAAAACATATATATGTCAATATTACAAAGTAATCTTTCTACATCTTGAAGCACAGTCGTTGATCATATAAGTTGGTACAAAACCTTTCTCAATGAGAATTATTGTATATTATATTGATTGTGCAATGACGTCCCAACAGCATTCACTTCAAAAGCAGACATTACAACATTTAAATTATATTGATTCACTGTTGCCAATCTTACATGGTATTTTATTCTTTGAAATTGTTAATTTATGGAATTTAATATTTTATGTTATTTATCAAATAAAATAATTATATTTGTTGACTTAACAACTTTCATTAGTGCATTAATAAATCTGTGGAAGAAAAATTCTGGTATATGCAACATAGTTTGTATGGATATTTGATAGCAATAAGAAATATCACTTGGTTCAGATGTCGGTGAAAAAATCATATATGGATATCTAATACATAGATATCTCTTGGTTCAGACATCATTTTTATACGCCCATTTACGGGACGTATTATGGTATACCGTTGTCCGTCCGTCGTCAACATGTCGGACATAACTCAAAAACGGTTCAACCAATTTGCATAAAACTATGGTGAATTGTTCATATCTATTGATTTGAGCTCCCTTTCGTTTTTTATAAAATTTAGATTTTACGTTTCTGAGTTATGGGGTTTTATTCATTAAAAAAGGGGGGATTTTCCAGTTTTCTGACAATAACTCAAAATGCTTTCACCAATTTGCAAGAAACTTTGGTCAATTGTTCATATCTATTGACATGAGCTCCCTTTCAATTTTTATAAATTTTAGATTTTACACTTCCGAGCTATTTATTCATAAAAAAGGGGTGATTTTCTGGTTTTCAGACAATACCTTTAAAGTGCTTTGAGCAGTTCTCATGAAACTTTGGTGACTGGTTTATATCAATTAAGATAACCTCCCTTTAGTTTTTCACAAATTTCTGATATGAACGATTGAAATAAATTCATAAAACACATTTAAAGCTGACAAGTTGTTATTGTTGGCATTTGTTTTTGTATAGACCAATGGAAGTAGGTTCTTAATACTAACGGTATTGAAGACTTGATCACTTTGATAGGCCACTAGTCTAAATACCACATGTTAAGATAGTCGGTAAGATAAATTTGTTACATAGTGTGCTAGTGACCTAATAAGATATATGGGGTCAGTAAATTCCATATTGGGATTCGAGCTTTGCTCTCATCCCATATGGAATTTACTGACCCCATATATATCATATTAGGTCCCAAGCACACTATGTAACTAATAATGTCTGAAACAATCTTTGGTATCCTACTATATTCTCATCCTCAGGAGGCAAAAGTATTTAAGATTACTTTTGATTCTTTGACATTTTGAAATCCTTATTTTGGGTGTATTACTTTTTTTGTGCTGTTTATATTTTTCACGAGAAATGTTTTGACTGGCTAGTTAAGAGCTGATCTGACTAAAAGTACCATATGAGCTATATTTTAGTCTTCATTCTGTATATAAATTGTGGTTTTTCATATTTTGTAATGAACCATTAGGACTGTCTGAATAAATTTTTGGTCTGGCTTTAGAATCCCTGCTAAGGCTATTTGACTGCAGAATATATAAATATGCAACCATGTCTGAATTGGGGTGTTAAATCTGATGTGTCGTGTATGGAGATGCCGTTTTTTGTTCATGTTAAAAAAACTCCTATGGAGATCCATATTTGAAATGTTGTTCAGTGTACACCATGACTTATGATCAAGGTCTACTGGGTGTGTTCTTGTTTAAGTTCCTGTTCTTCAGTCTACACCATGACTAATGATAAAGGTGTACTGGGTAGGTTCTTGTTTAAGTTCCTGTTGTTCAGTCTTCACCATGACTAATGATCAAGGTCTACTGGGTAGGTTCTAGTTTAAGCTCCTGTTGATCAGTCTACACCATGACTAATGATCAAGGTCTACTGGGTAGGTTCTTGTTTAAGTTCCTGTTGTTCGGTCTACACCATGACTAATGATCAAGGTCTACTTTAAGATCCTGTTGATCAGTCTACACCATGACTAATGATCAAGGTCTACTTGGTAGGTTCTTGTTAAAGTTCCTGTTGATCAGTCTACACCATGACTAATGATCAAGGTCTACTGGGTAGGTTCTTGTTTAAGTTCCTGTTGTTCAGTCTACACCATGACTAAAGATCAAGGTCAAATTCATTGGATTTATGTGTGCTAGGCATATTTTTGTCATCAATGGAAAAGACCAATATGAAAATGGTTGAATATTTTATCTGATAAAATAAGAAATAAGACATTAATAAATGTACTGCTTTAAAAATAAAAAAATGGCATATACATACAAAAATTAATGATAAACCCCGACAAGTGGTGTGATTCAAATGTGAACTTTTATAAATTAAAACGTTTAGTCACCAACAGAGGATTGGAAATTCCAGTGGGCACCAGTTGTGCACCACTCCTTGGGGACTTGTAAATCATTTTAGTGAATTTTAGCAGAATTAATACAAGGTTGGAAGAAATGAAAACATGATAGCATATGCCCTTAATTTCAGCATTCACTGTCGTCACAGTACCTAAATTGCACATATTTTGCAAAAAACGACGACAATCTTCTAGGTTTCTTAGACACTAAAAAAATTGTGTTTCCCCGTGGAAAATAAGAATATAGACTAGACGGGCATCACATATAAACTACTGTTATCGTAAATCGTATGGATAAGAGCAAGAACACATTCAATAAGTGAAAATATTGAGGAATATTGACATACATAAATAAAACACAAAACAAAATATATGTTTAGAAAAAGGGGGTCCCTTTCCCACGAGCCTGTGGTAATAAGTTTCCTTCTGTGATGTCACAAAAGATTGAATTCTGGCTACAACAAGTGGAACAAGTCCGTGGCCATATTTTACGGATATTCCATTAGATTCAACCAAATCATACTTCCCACTGTAAGCAGTAACCCTCTATGACGAAAAGCCATAGAATATCGTATCGACTTGGAAATATACTACATATGCAGGTGTTTCTTCAATGTTGAAAATGAACCATTAGTCAAAAATTAAAACCACACGTTATAAATGTCATGCCTCCGAAGTGATTTTCTGGATTTATCTTCATCAGGAACGCTCAAAGTCGAATATTTAAAAGCCAAGGATTATGATATATGGAAGAAACATCAATTGAGCAAGCCACAACCAAATTATGTGAACTTCTTAGGGAAACAGCTAACCTAACATCATCATCAAAGGCAAAATTCAACGCAGAGCCGAAATTAAAAGTATGGACGCCCGAAATACAAGTAGCGTTGAAAATTGCAAGGCAAAAATATAATGTTTGGAAACATCACGGGAGACCCAACAACAAAAGTAACGTAATGCTCCAGGAGAAAAATCAAACTAAGAAGAACGTCCGTCGGGCAATAAGAATAGAGATTGCTAAAATAAGAGACAAGGAGAAAGAAAATATTCTCGAAACAAGAGTAAAGGATACAAAAATGTTCCATAAACTCGTACGTAACAACAGGAAGAAAGGAAATGTTGTAATCACGGAGCTAGAGGTTAACGGAGTCAAATACACAGAAAGTGAAAATATCATCACTGGATTTGAGGAACACTTTAGAAATCTAGCAACATTTAATAACCAGACAGACATAGATAGCACATTTCATAACCAAGTTGAAGATGATATTCAGAGTATAAACCGACTCGTGCAACGTAATAACATCAGAAACGTAACGCACAATGAAATTACAAATGCAATCAGATCAATAAACAGAGGTAAATCTGCGGATTTCCAGGGCATAACCATCGAACATATTATCCATGCAGGATCCGACATAGAAACAACGTTAGTAACACTCGTGGAATGTATCTTCAAGCACGGAATTGTAACAGCATCATTAAAAATGGGACTACTAACACCAGTTTTCAAAAATAAAGGAGCAAGACAGCAAGCTACCAACTATAGAGGAATTACAGTGCTACCAGTCATAGGCAAAATAATTGAAACCGTCATCAAAGAGCGTACGAATAACAAAGTATTAGAAACACAAAATAAAAGACAGAGAGGTTTCACTGCAGGATCATCACCAATGAACTCAGCGCTGCCAATAGAAGAAAGTTACAGAGAATCCAACGACAACAACACAACTTTTCACCTGGTACTCTTAGATGCCAAAGCAGCATTTGACACTGTTATTCATAGTCATATGCTCAGAAGAGTTTTTATGGCAGGAATTGATGATGGACACTGGGGACTGATCAAAGATCTACATGAAAACGCTAAAAGTGCTATTAAATGGGAAGGAAACATCTCGCAGCCATTCAACGTTAACCAGGGAGTGCGACAAGGAGGTATACTTAGCACCAATCTCTACAAAATATACATCAACCAGCTATTAAACATGTACGAAACAACTGAGGCAGGATATAGAATAGGAAACATAAGTGTAAATAGTACTGCATGTGCAGATGACATCGCACTAATTAGTGAAGAACCAGACCAAGCGCAACTGCTTATAAACATGGCATGTGATTATGCATATATGGAAGGCTACCAATTACAACCTACCAAAAGTGTAGTCCTCAACGTAACCAACAGGAAGCGAAAACAGGACCCCGTAACAACAACCTTTACTATGGGCCCCCACGAAATGCCATCAGTGAAGAGTGCCACACACTTAGGAATCATCAGAACCACGTCACTAAAAGAAAACATGACTGCTAACGTGGAGGAAAATATAAAAAAAAGCAAGGAGAAGCGCATATAGCCTCCTTGGAGGAGGATTTCATGGTCATAACGGATTAGATGTAGAGACAATGGTGCATCTATACAAAATATATGTATCTCCAGTACTTCTCTATGGTCTAGAGCTAGTATTACCAACAGCAAGCTCATTAGCACTAGTCGAAAACTTCCAAAAAAAGCTACTTAAGCAAATACTTTCACTACCAACTTGCGTAGCAGATATAACTATTAACATCTTAACCGGAATACTACCAATAGAAGCCCAACTACATATCCGAGCACTTGGACTATTCAACAACATCTGTAATCAGCCCGAAGAAAGCATAGAAAAATCACTAGCTAGACGACAACTTATCCTAAAAAAACAACCAAAGTTCTAGTTGGTTTGTCGCTATAAAACATATGCTCAGGAAGTACGATCTACAAGAGGCTACATGGTATCTGGATAACCCCGTAAAAAAATCCTTATGGACCTCAAACATCAAGAGAACAGTACATAACTACTGGAGTAAACCAATAGTGCAACTACTGCCACTATATAATGGACTGGACCATCT